GCCCTACCTGCCTGTAAAGGAGATAAAAGCCTTTTCTTTAAGAGAACTCCACAGTTTGCACCCGGTGGGGCTGTCAGTGAAGAGAAGGAAGGGAAGGTGAGAGGACATAAATCTCAAGCTGCGTCAGCAGAGGTTTAGGTTGGACATTAGGAGGAATTTCTTCACAGAAAGTGTGACTAAAGATTGGAATGAGCTGCCCAGGGAGGTGGGAGGGTCACTGTCCCCGGAGGTGTTTAAGGAAAGACTGGACGCGGCACTTAAGTGCCCTCATCTAGTTGACAGGGTGGTGTTCGATCATAGGTTGGACTCGATGATCTGAGAGATCTTTTCCAACTTAATGGATCCCGCGATTCTGTGTGAGTGGGCGGCCATGGCTGCATGCACACCCTGCACGCCACACAAGAAAACCCTGGGCAGGGCGGCCGCAGGCAGGGGTCACACACAGCACCTGAAAGTGCACCACCCTAATCCAGGTATGCTCGCAGGGCGGAGAAAAAGATAAAACCCTCCCGGCGCGCCGCCCGGCCCTGCCCCCTCCGCTCCTCCAGGGCCGGGAGTTTCCGCGGCCCGCCGGGGGTGGGGCCGCGCCGGGCCGCCTGCCGCCGGACTGGATGGAGCTCCTGTCAATCAGCCCCTCTTCCCGTGGTGCCGCGGCGGGCGCTGAAATTCAAATCCCGGGAGCGGTTGGGGCGGAGGTTTGGCTGTGCTCGGGCGGCATCGGGAGCGGGCACTGCAAGGGCGGCCGCGATGGACCCGTTCACCCAGGTGAGGGCACGGCCCGGTCCCCGGGTCTTCAGCTAGGAAGGAGCCGCACCTGGGCCTTGATCCGGGGAAGGGGGCGAGTTGTCAGTGTCGGGGACAGAGGGCGGGGAAGGGGCTGGTGGGGGTCCGCAGGGAAGGGAATGCGGCTGGTGGGGGTCCGCAGGGAAAGGAAAGGAGCTGCTCTGGGGACGGCGCTCTAGGGGCGGGATATTTCCTCCCAGCTCGACTCCCGGCTGAGCCCTGTCAGCGCCCCTCGTCTCCCCTCGCCGTGCTCCGGGGCTTTGCGGGCTGGTGGCGACCCACTCCGCCGCCCCCGTCCGTCTCCTGCCGGTCCCTCCGCTCCTGCAGCCGCCCAGGCGTCAGGTCCCTGCCGGGAGAGGACAGAGGGGTGATTCACTCAAGGGTGTGCAGAGGAGAGGACCTTTCCCATCCCGGGCGTTTGCCTTTCGTGCTCAATCGGCAGATAAGATTTTCAGCTGGAGCGGAAGGGACCCTGTGAGCGAATGGGAGCGGTATTGACACATACTGTGCTGCCGTATCTAAAGGTCGGATGTCAAGTCTGCCCAAAGAAGCGACCATCTGAAAAAAAATGCGTCTTATTTGGCACTACTGCCACCTGCGATTGGTCGCTTTCATTGGCAGGCACAATTCCTCTTTTTTGTTAAAAAAAAAAAAGTAGTAGTCGGTTGTTAGGGTGGACTTGCCGTGTGTGTGCTTGAGTTTTACAGAGGCAAAACTGTAGGAAAATGAGTGGAGTTGACCAGCTTGATGAAGGTGGGAGGTTTCTTAAAGTTGCTGTGGTGTACTTAAAGTGTATTTCATGTGTCAGGGCTGTAAAGTCTTGAAGCTGTCTTGTGAATGTTTTGAGAAGTGTCCTAGTAAAAGCGGCCTTCAACCCACAGCCTGACTAAACAAAACTCGAATTACTTTAAAAAAAAAAATTCAGATCAGACACACTGATGAACTACTCTCTTATCTCTGCTCTCTTATCCCCTTGTAAACAATCTGTTTATCAAACTGGCATACTTAAAATAATTCGAGTGCCCCAAAAAGGTGACTGCACAGAGCTGATTTTAAAAGAAAGAACACAAGATGTTGATCTAAACAGCTTTACTAAATGTGTAATGCCAAGGCAGAACTACCCTACCTCCACAAAAAGTCTTGCTAAGTGTAAACATCTAAAACTTCCTTCCTTAATTGGTAGTGAGTGACATGATCCAGCTAGTCTTAAATAAACTCCAAGTCCGGACTACTGAACCAAGTTTAAAATGGTTTTGCATGCTGGGAGATATTCCAACCTCAACACGCCCTTTCTTGTACATAACTGACTTTGAAAAGCTATGACCAACTGCGAGGCGGCTCCCCTGAGTAAACTTCATTTTCAAGTGTTAACCAGTATTGCAGAGTGTCTTATCAAGAATGTTTCTGCTGTGGAGAACATTCCACTGTTGTGTAAAGATCTCACCAATATTAGCGTATTAGTGTTGAAGTTCAGTAATTTTCCTCAAAAAAGGTCCAGTGTAAAGAAACCTCTTAACCACTTATTTTGAAGTATTTATGTCCTGTGGTTTGTGTTGGGTTTGGTTTTTCTTTAATATAACCTTCCCTTAGCTAAACTATTTTCAGATAATCTTTGCCTGCAAATTATCGTGCTGTGTAACTTTCAGGGAACTGGTGAGGCGCTGCAAGTTGATTATGTAAAGCAGTATAATTCACAGTCACAGAATATTTGAGCCTTAATGGGCCAAAGCAGGCTGTTAATTCAGGGTACGTTTATCACTTTGCAGTAGCAAATTTTGGCTGGGTCTCAAAGAATTTAAGCTCAAATAAATCTTGCTCTAAAATTCAGTGGAATGCTTTCAAATTAGAGAGTTCTGAAATAATGTTTCTTTTTATTAATCTTGCAAGGAAAAACTAATAACCTTCTGAATCTCAACCAAATTATTAATACAAATCACACTGAGGAGATGGTACAGTGGGTACTTTTTCAGGATATTTTGTACTTTGAAGTAGTTATTAACATTCATAGAACAAACTATGGTTTCCTAGCGTGGAGGATGAGCACAGAGAAATAAGCAATGCAGTTCTTCAGGGAAAACTTGCAAACTTGAGGTTTGAAGTTAACTGTTCATTAAATGTCATGAACAAGTTTGCTCCCTTTGCTCTATTCTGCTAGTAAAGCAGAGTAGTTAGAACAAATTCTTATAATCATATATGGGCCCCAAGTATCTTCTCTAGTATGTACTTTAAAATACTGAATAACTGAGATAGCCCATTAACATTTGAAGTGGAAAGGCCTTTTCTGATTTTCAGAAGGTGCTTTTGTTACACAAGCAGTGATCCTCTGACTTTGACTTAGTAGTCCTCAAATTCCTTGATGTATTGAAATAAGTAGTGCTCTCAGGCATATGGTGAGATTCTTGGGGCTATCCTGTGCAGGGCCAGGAGCTGAACTTTGATGATCCCTGTGGGTCCCTTACAGCTCAGGATCTTAGGTGATTTTAGGCTTCTATGATACTTTGAGACTTTGTCATCAGAACACTTGGAGAATGTAGTTGTAGCAAATACCCTGCTGATGAACTCAAAGTTTCAAGTTCTGGAGAGTGGCTTACTCATTGTGTGTCATAGCAGCATTTGAATTATGGCAGTTGCATGGAAAATTTGAGATACAAAAAGCCAATAGGAGCTGGAGTTGAACAACAGAGGCGTGCATTCTTGGGAAGTGACATCCCTTTTGTAACAACTGAAACTCTATTTTACTGAACTAACAAAACAGAAAGGAATGTGACTCCATTTGAATAGAACTGAATACTGTTGTGGAAGATATATTCAACGTTGTGCAAGAACTGGTAAAAAAATATCCTAATGGCAATTTAAATTATGTGGGTATTACGTGCACCTTGGAGCTCTGCCTTTTATAAGTCGAAATAAGGAAATGTGACTTGTGGACGGAACTAGCATGGAACCTTCATTGAAGGCATTTCATATGTCTTTTTTTGTTTGTTTTGGTTTTGCTTGATTAGTTTGTTGTTGTTGTTTGATTTTTTTTCCTTTCAAAATCCTCCTCTTCTATGAAAATTAGAGAAGCTGTGATTTGCTTTCACAAAAAAACTGTTGAGATTGACATTCTGTTTGTCCTGTGTTGCCCTACAATGGAACATTGTTTAAGACTTCAGCCTTAGACAGCTAAAAATGTGAAATGTGTATTTAATTGCTGTGCAACAGGATGGATAATGGCTGGCACAGTTCTCACAATAATTTATGTGCCACCAAACAAGTGCAGTTTATATGCTTCCCTTTAAAGGCCATTAGTTCAATCGCACGTTTTCTTGTCTCAAAGAACCTTAAAACCTAGATCAAAGGAATAATTAAGTATCCTTTAGATGTGATCAAACTGAGTTAAAACGATTTATGAATGTTGTATTTAAAAAAAACACAACCAAACAAACCACAACATATTTTAAACTTGGGTGCTATAAGGAATTACTTTCTACTAGTGTGGAACATTTGCTAATACAACTATTTTGTATGGAATATGATCATAGTGCTCAAATTTCTAATAGGTAGGGAATGAAAGATAATGTTGTTAGGTAACTTAATTGGTATCTCTATATGTTCTGAATACAGATATCTCAATAAACAGGCTGTTTATCATAATATAACTAGTCATAACATCAGTCTATTCTTAAAATTAAGGCTTCAGGCAAAGCAATTCACCTTTTGATTTAGAAGGTGTAATAGCAACTATTTTTTTTAATATTGATAGCCACACATTTAATTTGTTAAATTCTTTTATGATCACTTGACAACCAGTTCACTGTTGTTTATTTTGTTAGAGGGTTAGTGCCAGTCAGGTGACTTGACCAGATGCTTTAGCAACCTGTCAAAAAAAACCGTACTAGCAAGACTTGACAGATCAAGACTGTCAGGTAGTGATTCAGTAAAAAAAACATAATTACTTTCAAACATTTCTGACTACTTCAGGCTCTAAATGAGCCCCTCTTTAATTTTGCCATTGCTTGTGTCTCTTTACCCTTTTTTCTTGGTTTTCTTTCAAAACCAAGCTAATGGGAGACACTAGTTGACTTTATGACTGGAAATTTGGAACCTGCTGGTTGGCTTCTGGTATTGTGGATCTTAGTATGTCCTATATAGAATTCTACCATTTTTTAATTTGAGTTGTTACTAGTTAATACACACTGCAATGTATAGTAACATGTGATCTGTTGACTGCTCAGAAACTCCTTGAAAGAACCCGTGCCAGGCGAGAGAACTTGCAGAAGAAAATGGCGGAGCGGCCCAAGATGGGAGCAAGACCCACAATGCAGACCAAGAGGGTCAGAGAGCCTTTGGTAGAAACTGGTAACCAGGCTCCTCGTCCTGATGAAGAAGGTATTTGGCAACAAGTTTAATAAAGATTGTCTTTTGATACAAGGCCTATCTTTTTCCCTAAGGGCAAGTGAGAATCCTGAGTGTGTATCTTAAACTAAACAGTGATGCATGCAGTTACCTGACCACTAAGACTAGCTCATGTTTAGCTTGACCTGAGAGCAGGTGCACCAAGGAATTAGTAAGCTATTCAGAAATAATTGCGTAAGGCCAAAGATAGTGCCTTGTGCTTAGTAGATCTGGGAAGGGCATTTTTTTGGGAGGCATATCAGGGTATTCAAAAATCATAACTTTATTGGCACTATAGTTTTGTATTGTCTCTGGAAATATTTTAGGTTGTTTGAGTACTAATTTGCTTGAATACTCTGACCTTTACAGTAAAACCTGATACAAAACCATCACCATCAAAGAGGCTCTGCCCTAATGATATAGAGTCTCAAACTTCTAGTTCGGAGAATGTACAGCCAGTTCTTTCAAGTTCAACAAGCCATGGCTCTCCTGAGATGACTTCAGAATTGCATGAAACTGCTTCTAACAGGGCTTCATCCGTTCAGCCTCTAAACACCAAGTCAGAAACTCCTGCAGCCCTTTCAGTCAAAACACGTATGCAGAAATTGGCAGAACAGCGGCGCTGCTGGGACAGCGAGGGTATGTTTCACTTACTAAGCAGTAGTGGTGTCTTTCGGTGTTTGTATTGATGATTGTTTGGTAGTAGAAGATAATTTTGTGTGTGTTAATGCTACTATTTTAATAAAGAATTTCTAATACAGCATTAGGGAAGGCCTAAAATATTGAAGCTGTTGACCACATCTTAATTTTATAATTTCCCCCACACACTAGTCTGATGCCTTGTTCCTTATAACAGTGACGTAAAACTAATAAACTGCTTGATTAAAAATGTTTAATTTACTTAGTCTCGATGCCTTCACGACTAGTAGTTTGATTCTGTTGTTGGCAGGAACACTAACTGTTGATTAAACTCAATACATTGTACAATGCAAAATATGTAAATATATCTCAATATATTTTATTAGCAAAATAAATGTGTTTTTCTTTTTTCCAGATCCCTCTGAATGTGTTTCTCTGTCTCCTCTCCAGTCAAAAGATCTATCTGTTTCTCCACCTAAGCAGACATCTAATGCCCTGGCAAGTGAAACCCCTATTGGGAGAAGAGGCCGTTTAGCTAACCTTGCTGCTACAATTGGTTCCTGGGAAGATGACCTAAGTCATCCATCTGCAAAGCAAAACAATGCACAAGAACAGCCTGGCACTACTTGTTTATCCAAATTGTCCACTACAAGTGGAGCATCTGCTAGAATCAATAGTAGCAGTGTAAAGCAGGAAGCTGCATCCTGTTCTCAAAGGCTTGTTGAGGCTTCTATTAATAAACCAGCAAACTCAAAGAGAGCGGTGAGTGTCTGATTTGGTTGCTGATTAAAAATTGATATGAGTATTGCAGGGTACAAATGTTAACACATAACTGTTTAATCTGAATTTAAAGATTTGGGTGTGAGCAATCTGTCTATTTACAACTTTCACTTTATTGCAATCCCACATGCTGTTTGTTTAATTGCAGACATGAAAACAGCTTAGAATTCTTTTGATTGAGACTTGAAGATGAGAGTACTTAAATGTTTTGTAAACGTTGGTATCGATGTAATTGATTGCCACTCTTGACCATCAGAAAGGAGCTTTTTACAGCGATACTGGGTTTCACTCTAACCTTATGTAGTTGATTGACTGAAATTGTAAATATTGTTGCTGTATGAAGGCTCAATCAGAATGATGAAATTGGTAGTACCAGACACCTATTGTTTGATTTATGCCATTTATGCAATGGCAATATCTGCGATCTTGTTTAGGGAAAGATGGGAAAATACCTGAAGTAGCTGGCAAGAGCACCTGGAATCAAATTCTGAAACAATTTGAAATACTGGATAAAAAAAAGAAAAGCTTAACATTTGTTCTCAGCTTTTTCTTTTGTTGATGGAATAGATATATTAGGTGATAGTAGGCTCTGCAGAATGCTTTCTTTTTTTTCCTCATCAGAGAATAAGAATGTAAGTCTCATCTTGATGTTTTTTCTTTTTCTCTTGTTCAGGATCCAAACAATTTTTTAACACAATCCTCAAGATCCACTGCTCCCCATTCTAACGAATCTGAAGTACAACTGCTAACAAAGAATCCCTGCAGTCCCAAGAAAACTCAGGAGCATACACAAACAGCAAAATCATCTTTGCCTCAACCAGTTCAGTCCAAAGAAGAGCCAGTCAAAGGAACACATGTGCAACTTGAATCTAAGGGTAAACCCACAACACCAGGTAATCTGTTTTTCAGCTTCAGTAGACGTTCACTCAAATAAGATTTGTGTTCTGTGTTGAAAATGACATATTACTTAGGAATTTAAGGTAACATACCAGATAATACCTATTTCCTGCTGTAACTTGATGAGTTAATCCTGATGAGTTCTTTGATTATCTTAAATCGTACAGCTTCCGTATTTTGCAGGGATATTTTTTGGCCACAGCTTTAGTAATTCTTAAGAGAAAAATCAGTTTAACTTTCTATGTAAAAATGTATCATAATAACATGTTAATTGAGATTATTCAAAGTCTATGTCAAGTTGTTGGGTACTACGCGTATCCAATCAATGTAATGTTAAGAGTCTGCATATGTTAAAGAAATCAAAGCTAGATGTCCCACAGATGCACTAACTTTGCATAGTGTCCTTCTTTCAATTGATAGCATTGATGTCAAAACAAGTGAGCATTCCCAGTTTTAAATTCAGCTGCTTATCGTGTCAGAAACTTGGACTAAGTGCTTGAACTCTTCAAAAAGCAAGTGTGTGTCTCTAGATATGCTGACAATAAAAAACAAAAGCTCAATAAAGTCCGGTGGATGCTGAACAACATATCTGCCATATTAGAATGCTCATTTTCATGAAAGATACAAGTGAAGCTTGTTGTAGAGGAAATGTTGAAAAAGCAAGCCAGTTTAAATAACTGTATCACATGTGGAGTGTAGTAAGAGAGGGACATATTTGCTCCGATTTGCTGCTTTATTAACTTCAGTGCTCTGTTGTGATTTGACCTTCAGGTTCAGTTTGTATAAAACATAATGGAGTAAGATGTGTAAAGGAGACAGCTTAATTGCTTCACTGAGAACCTTCATCAGGATGCAAATTGCAGTGATTTCTTTCTGTATTTTTGGGAATTTCTTTCAAGGCAAAACAATTCTTCTTGCAGGGGGATCAGGAATTAAGCCCTTCCTGGAACGCTTTGGGGAGCGCTGTCAAGAGCGTAGTACACGCAGCCCTGCTACAAATACTCCTGGGTGCAGAACACCTACTGTTACCCCAAACACAAGGACAATCCAGGAACGGCTTCTCAAACAAAATGAAAATTCCTCTACTGCCAGTTTAGCGCTTCAGCTTAAGCAGGTACGACTTGTGAGGTTCACAGCTTTGCATATAAAGATACGGGGAAGATTCTTAGTGTTCTGCACCTATCTGAGGATTTTGAAGTGTCGCAGCATCTTAAAGCTGTCACCTTTTCCTCCATTCCCCTTTATTTGCTTAGGAACGTGAAAGAGAACTTGCATGCCTTCGTGGCCGATTTGATAGGGGCAATCTGTGGAGCGTGGAGAAAAGTGACAGTTCAAAGAGGAAACTTCCAGAAGCTAAACCGGTAATGTGTTACCTGCATGAATCAAAATATGAGAGTCTGAATTGCTTTAATGTGTCCTGAATACAGGGATAGATGTGCAAATATAAAAGGTAAAAAAACATATGCTTTGAGAATGTCCAGGCTGTGCAAGACCACTTGTCAAGTGGCTTGTATGTTTATTAAGAAATTATTAGATTTCTTTTCTCCTCTTGCAAAATCAACTGAGACAAGTGATGCTGCTTTGAACCAACAAATTTATTTACTTTTGATGATATTAAGTGTGGGGGTATTTTTTGTATTCTGTAACTTCAAAAGCAGAAGAAAGCTCCTCACACAAACAACATTTAGTAATTCAGCTAAATTTTTTAAATAGATAGCGTACTGGATAGGCAACATCTTTTTCTTTCTGGCAGGTTTTCTTTGGTTTTTTTTTTGTTTGTTTGTTTTTGGTTTTTTGTTTGGTTTTTGTTTGGGTTTTTGTTGTTGTTTGTTTTGGGTTTTTTTTTGGTTTTTTTTTTTAGTTACTTTGAACATAATGTCCTGAATGTACTATGTTTTTGTTCTTGCCAGGAAAACCAATCTCAAGCTAGTCCAAAACGCCCTCCTAGTTCAGATGCTACTGCTTTTGGATCACCAGACAACACACCAGTAGGTGACGGGCCAGTAAAGTCTCCCAGTGTGGAATCTTCGGGTAAGACCTGTCACAGTTTCCGTGTTGCTGTTACTGGACAGAAGCATTGCACTTGACCTCCATGAGCAGATAAAGAGGCTCATAGCACTGATGTGTGGAACTGGACCTCTTATTTGTTTACTGATTTATCTACATCTTTTCATATGATAATAGCACTCTGCACTCCTGTACCACTTGAAAGGCTCACAAGGCAAGACTGTCTTTTTGTTTTTCAGTGGGTTTAGCTCTGTTTCATACTTTCATGTAGGTTAAGAGTAGGGAAGTGAATGAGAATTGTCAGTTACAGATTTAATCTATGCTGTATCTGAGAATTCAAATTTCCACAATAATCTAATGGGAAAGAACTCTTCCCTTGTCAGTATCCCTTTATGATATTAATTCTTATAATATGAGACATGAAAAGAATTCTGAGATGCTAATGATATCCTTTCTGTTGCTTACTGAGTGGAAGAATCTCTAGCTTTCCATACAAAAAGTGTGAACTTAGTTAATACTTCTTCTAGACCTTATGGGAAAACAGGCTGTTAAATGCGCTTCTAGAAAACCAGTATCATATCCTGCTATTGGATTGGGTTTGGGTGGGATGGTTTGTGTATTGGGTTTTTTGTTTGCCTTTTTTAAATTGTTCCTTTTTGCTCTTGAGCGACTGCATTCCGCTATGATTTCAACATTATTTCTTGTGATATCAGTTTTCTGTTCATAAGACAGAAGTCCAGATGTACAGGTTGTGGAGGTTATATGTTCTAATGCTTTTCTTTGACAGCCAGCTAACAGCAATACTTAATATAGTGGTCTTTTGTTATTAAAACTTCTAAAATTCAATAATTAAAAAAAAAAGTTCAAAGGCTAGACATAGTCTTCAGTTACTTCTTTTTTTATAAATCACTTAGATGCTTCTAAATCTGAAGAGACTGATAAACCCAGTCCTCTGAAGATCACTGAGTCAAAGAGCCCTGTAAAAGCGATGTCTGTCTCTGGACTTGAACAACTTGCCGAGAAACCAAAAGGTTTGTATTGAGTAGATGTATATTAATGCACTTAGCTCTCTGCTGCCACTTGTCTAAAACAGTGTTAATATCCTTCAAGTCTGAACAATGAATTCACCATACATACGCTGACCTCATGTGTGTTTTGTAATGAGGTTTATATAAAACAAGCAACTTCTTTTATCATAACCCTTCTCCCTTGACATTCAAGACTTCAAGGAATATTAAAAAGCTGATGTTAAGAGTCCATTGGGTAAGGTACTGTGGGTCTTGCAGTTAAGTTTCAGATGTATTGGAACTAAAAGGTTGAAAGTTGTCCAAGAGGCACAGCTTTTCATTCCCTCTGTATCGATTAAGGAGCATATATGAAAATAGCATTAAAAAATAATCATAGAAGTGTACTTTTGGATTCTATATGCCTGATTATAAGAAATGCTTTTTAATCAAGCTTGCTGGAAAAGCCAAAATAGTTTATCTGTTAATAGCACTTCACTCTCATTTAAGGGAAAGTTTAGTCTTGATGCTACTAATATGTTTTAAAATGTCACCCTTCAGGTGAAGTGTGCCAAGTCGAAATGAGTGTGGATGATGAGATGAACAGCTCAAAAGTGATAAATGAGATTTTTGAAATTCTTCAAGAGGATGGTCCAGACATAGAAAAGCTGAAGAAAGAAATGAGCATGAGCCTGGAAGGTGAAAGTGATGAGGATGAGCAGGAAGAGTCGCTGAATATTTCATCAATGTCTCTGTTAACCCCTCTAGTGGAATCTGTTGGTTCAGAGGTGAGAATTCTTATGAGGTGGGGAAGGACACACAGAGATGTGCAATTTGCTTGTGAGCAGTGACATTTTGTTCTATTAGGATACCTGAACAAATAGAGAATGACATTTTGCTAATGAAAGCATAATGAGGCAGTTATTTTCCTCTGAAAACAGTGTAACATATTGGATGCTCTGCTAAACAAATAGTTTTTTGCTAAATCAAGCTTGGGTATATAACTATTATTTGTACTGAACTTGCAATGGTAGACATGCATTCAGTGAAGTGGTTGCTGATGAAGATCTGAAGAGATGTAATTATGCAACTATACTGGCTTAGAAACTAAGGGTGATGTCTCATTGAGTTCAATAATCTGTTGGTGTCCTTAAAATAAAGAAATAAATTTACTTTGTGTCCTAGGAAATATTTGTAAAATTTCATCTGTTAAATAATATTAAGCACCCTGCAAGTTTATTGTTTACATGCAAAACAAGTAAAGGTGAGAGAAAACAGGTAATTGATAATGTGGACAGGTACTACAACCTTTTCTTTTCCCCAGGCCTTTGCTTCTTGTAAGTCAACTGGGGAAGGTAGCAGTACCAGTGATGTAAGTCTGAAGTCTGACAAGTTCCAAAGGACTAAAGTTCCCAGGGCAGAATCTGGAGACAGTATTGGCTCTATGTCAGAAGATCGCAACCTTCCATATAGGTAATAAACACAAACCTTATCCCTGATTCTGTAAGTGTACAAATTAAGACACTGGCTTTTTTAACTCTTCTAAGGACATGTACTGCTTTAACTACAACCAAAGCTTTTTTCCAGGATCTCAGACTTTGGTAAAGATTGTCTGAGCGTAGTCTTTTATGCTGCTTAAACTTAAAATGAGCTGATTGCATGCTTTTTTTTTAAAAACCAATTAGTCAAGTTGGAAAACATCAATATACAGTACATATGTATGTATGTATGTTAAAAAAAAAAAAAGGCTTGGCACACCTGTGAAACATTTCATGGGATTTCCTCTTTTAAAAGCATTGACGCGTACAGATCTCAGAGATTTAAAGAAACCGATCGTCCTTCAATAAAGCAAATCATTGTTCGCAAAGAAGATGTTGCTTCCAAGCTAGAAATGAAAAGGAATGGCCCATCTGACCAAGTCAATATCAAAAAAAAAATGCAGGTATCTAACATGCTTCGTAAAATCCTTTTTCTAATCTACTATTTCTGCATTTAATTTCCCTCATGAATCAACATACTGCTTAGAACTGCAAAATTAGGTTGTTTAACATAAATATTTAATGGTAGGAAATGATAGTGCATAGTTTGAACAGCTGATGCATCTCTTAGAAGGATCATGGTATAAAGAGAGAACAAGACATTGTTTTGAGAAGGAGACAGAGAATCTGCATCTTATCACTGCCTTTGAATTAGCCCATACTTTCAGTAGGCCATATTCTGATCTTGACTAGTGCCTTGTTCACCTACAGTGCTGAATTTCTGGTTAGCTGCTGCTTTCCTCGATTGAAGGGAAGACCAGGCTGCATGTGTAGCATACAAACATTTGAGTCCATATTTAAACTACCCCACCATGTTTAAATTGCCTCAGAGGTCAAAAAAAGTTGTACTGCAATATTCTTTTGCAGAAGTAACTGTAAATTGCAAAGTTTTTGTAGTTTACTAAGTGACCTGATCTTTTCTGAAGCATAGCCCCAAAAATGTTAATCTTGAGACATTTCCTTGTTTGAATGTAACACTAAATAACTCTTCTGGCTAATTATTTCTACTACTGGTTTGCCCTAGGAACTGAACAATGAGATCAACATGCAGCAGACAGTGATTTATCAAGCCAGTCAAGCTCTGAACTGCTGTTTTGATGAGGAACATGGAAAAGGGTCACAAGAAGAAGCAGAAGCAGAGAGACTGCTTCTCCTTGCAAGTAGGTTTTTAAACACAAGTTCAATTCTTTGTCATGAGCACTTTGTCAAGAACACTTTAGGAGGAACTCTGATAATACACACACTATACATAATTGTAGATATTTATAGTTCTTTACCTAGAAAACAGGAGAGGATATCTGTTTCATTTCAGATTCTTTTGTAGGCGAGAGGACATTCTTGGTACCTTTCTTGACCCTAATATTCATACTATTCTAGAAGATGATTAACATTTGTGTTGCATTTTATATGCTTATGGCAAAAAAAAAAAAAAAACGGTTCAAGTACTACTTTTTCCTCTGTTACAACTGTAATTAATTTCTCTATGCAGCTGAGAAGAGAACTGCTTTATTGGAAGAACTGAATAAACTGAAGAGTGAGGGACCTCCTAGTAAAAGAAATAAAAGTGCTTCTATGTCCCTTGAATTTGCTCCATCCAGGGGATCTGTTTCCATTTCAGAAATGCGTCTACCTCTAAAAGCAGACTTTGTATGCGGTACAGTTCAAAAGCCAGGTAAAGCTATCAGCTGAAAGCTTTTAACCCTTTTCTCTCCCTTCCCTCGTTCTCCCAGCATTTATTTCTTGTTCATTGTCCTTGGGCTTTTTTGTCTTCTATGTTGATGTTCTAAGAAATGTAATGACAATGATAATTTAGCAATTACTTTCAGTTCATCTACTTTTGACTAAGTTTTCAGTATTTTTCATGGTTGTCTGAGTTGCACTTTTTTATGGCTTGTGAGACTTAAGAAACTTATCAGGACTTTTCCATCCAGTCTTAAAGTTCTTTGTGGTTTTCTGTAATCTGTTGGAGAAGAAATAGAATTTTCTATCTCAGGCTGTCTTCTCTCTTGCTGTCTTGGAATTTTTTTGATGGATGCAAGTTTAATACTGAAGATCTTTACATAAATTCTGACCTTTGTGGCATTGTGACATGCTCATTAAGCCTCTGTTTTTTTCAATCCTTCTGTTAACATTGCAAAATACTTAAGATGATAGAATACTAGTATTTGTAAATTGTTATAGGTAATCAAGCTGTCAAAACGTGTATTTGTTTCTTCTTTTGTTCCAGAAGAATATCTAGTAATATCTCTCTGTAGGTTTAGAGACCCATCCTGGAATAAAGTAAATTTCTGGCATGTGGTTGTTTAAAGAACTGCAAGCCCATAATAACCAGTGCTATTTTATATAATACCACAAAATATGACTGTGCATGGACAGATTTCTGCTTCTTGCCTCACTAAAACTTGAGGACAAAAGTTACTGGACAAACATGTTACTGCTCCTGTTGCAGGAGACAATTCACCTCTGTTATAGGGAAACTTGTCTTTAGGTTACAAAAATATAAGTTTAATTTCTGTCAATAATTCTCAAAACTAAGTTTTCTAAAGAAACAACTATGAACTATTTGTCACAAAACCTTTTTTTTGAAGCATAAAACTTGCTATGCCTTGTGCACCAGAAGCTCTATTAATCACTTCATCTGAAGAGATGATCAAATATAAAGCATACAAATCAGTGCTTACTGGAGTTTACAGCAGTTGTTCTGAAAACTGTGACTTGTCCTATACAACAGAGCACTCAGACTGTTTGGGGTGTTTTGGTTTGTTTGTCAGTTTGTTTGTTTGTTTGTTTGCTTGATTTTTTTTTTATTTTTTTTTTAAAGTCTCATATTGCTGAACAGTAGACAAAGCAAGAGCATTGTGCAATTTGCTGCACAAACTCCAGATTATCTCCTGACACTCTGGAGATGTGTGCTTGTGGTGGTCTTGCTTGTTTTCCCCTTATGTGAAAGGTTAAGGAAACGAATTGTCTGGATAACCAGTTCCTTCATAGGACTGAAAAAAGCACGAGAATGGGCAGTAGCAAGAGCTGATGTGTGCTTGAGCTGACAGACCTAAACAGTGTAAGGAACTAAGATTAGCTGCTGAATCTGACTGAAAGTTCTTCTTCTCTCTTCTCACGCAAGGGTTAGTGTAGGTCTGGCCCGAGATGCCCCAGGCAATAATGTGATTTTTATGAATCCTATGGAGACAGTCCTACTAGTAAACACAGCAAAAAACAAAAAATTGTTTTAAGATTAAGTTTATAAGTAAGCCTTAACTGTAACCAAGTGTTTAATTAGGGTGAAACAGATGTATTTAATGGTAATTCAGTACTCTGGGATTTTTTAGATACTTTGAACTCCTCAGGCTAACAAAACTATCTGACATGTGTTTACAGACTCAGCAAATTACTACTATGTAATAATCCTGAGATCTGGAGCAGAAAACATAGTTGCGACTCCGTTAGCAAGTACTGCCAGTTCCCTGAATGGAGATGCTCTTACTTTTACTACAACATTTACTATGTAAGTATAAAGAGATCCTTTTTGAACCAGTTTCAACTCTGATGGTAGAGCAGGCAAAAAATGTTTAAAATCTTCATACAAGGATGTCATATTCTGCAAACAAATATGACGAGATTTTGTGGTATAGGCAGGTATTTCCTGCTTCAAGAAATAGCTGGAATGCACTTCTCTCAGAAGAGCAACCTAGACTTATTCTACATCCATCAGCCATTTTATTTCTTGCTTTTTGTACCTTCGTTATCTCCTGGAACACCTGCAAAGACAGATGGATTACTGTACCTGAAATGTGTTTTTACTCTTTTGCAGTGAATAACATTTTATATAGCAATTTGGTTTTAGTATCTGGAAAAAATAGTACTCTTACAACTAAAACTTTAAGCTCTCATACGTCATCTAAAAAGGTATTGCGAGTTCAAATGGCTGTTTGTTATCAGAAGTCTTCCAAAAGAAATAAACTCCCTTTTTCAAAGTCCAGTTGAACTGGAATTTTCACTTAAAGCTATTTACTCAGACCCAATCTGTTTCTAGAAGTGTGTCTACTGCAGGGTGCAATCCGAGAAATGGTAGATGTATTTGTTTTCCCTTTCCCTTTTGTTTTTTGAATTCTGCACTAGTAATACACTGAAGTCTTAAAAATAGCAATGCTTGCACTGAAGAGTACTATTGTAAAGGGAATGGATCTCAAACAGCCCTATTGCCCTGCAGGAGCAAACTAAGATTTACTAATAAGACTAAGCTATTAGTCATCACTATGACTAAGCTTCTCTGTAGAACCTAGCTGCTCCCTGGACAGTTTTAAAGAGCTGAAGGAAGGAAGAAATGAAGAGTAACTCAAAAAAACCCTCCAAAACCTCCACCACAAACCAAAAGAAAAACCTTTTTGCTTCAGTCTTTGTTTAACCTATTTTTCCCCTTCCTTCCTTTTAGGCATGATGTGTCAAATGACTTTGAAATAAATGTAGAAGTTTACAGTTTGGTATGTATCAGTTCCTGTGAAGAGGATGTATAAGGGAGAATAATGTGCTGTACTTTCTTAATACCTTCTATCCTTACAGGTACAGAGAAAAGAAGTTACCAGCACTGATAAAAGGAAGAAGGCAAATAAATCTAAGGTAAATGAAACATGAAAATCAGTATGTTAAGTTTCAACAGAAGGAAGACTGCAGTGTTCAGGGAGAACTGGCTAATAGTGTTAGACAATCTGTTGCTTGCTTTTTCTCTCCTTCTTTCTTGGAACATCTGCAATGCCAGATGGATTATGGAGACCTGCAGCAATTAGTGGATTGGACCTGCAGCACTTGGTTGAATCTGAAATATATTGGAGGGGAAGAAGAAGTTGTCTTATTAGTTCTGCAAAATGTTATGCTTTGCAGACTTATTTATTAGGTGTGGTGCTTCTGATAGTGATTTAGTGCCCTTATTCTCCCCTTTACTTAAACTGCGCCAGTCAATATGCCCTACCCTGGAGTTTGATTTGTCTTAAAGATTTTATTGATCAACTGAAAACTTTCTTTCTCCTTGGTGTTAAGTAAAACACTAGATGCTTGGTTTTTTAAAGCAAACATTGTTTTAGTAACTCATTGGACAAAATATTTCAGCTCGGATAGGGTGCAGGTATAAAGTACTTCATTAAGGATATGTAACCCTAAACAAACCAGTGACTTTCTGGAGGTGGTTTGTTTGGGTTTTTTTGTTGGTGGTTTGTTGGTTTGGTTTGGTTTGTTTTTTGAGGGGAGGGGGAGAAGAGAGGTGGGGTGTATTTTTCTTCTCATCGTTCCAATAGCTGGGCACACAGTGAGTAAATGACTTTAGGTCTGATTTCCTCCTTGTCAAGATACGTCACTTAGTAAAAACAAGAAACTTGAGTGTCTTTCAAAACATTTGGAATGAGGACTTAAATCCTGTCTCTGCAAACAAAAATAGGACAATTCTTTATTCTTTACTTCCATTTGGCACAGTGAAACCATGCTTCTACCTATCCTCTAACAGAAGTTTCAAGTCCAGGGTCTTATTCTCTCCTGCGCTGAAGCGTAGAGGAATTTTTACTTAAAACTGGTTGGTTTTGTGGATTAGCTGCTTATGTGGGGTTGCAGGTTTGCCAATGGTATCCTATATCTGCTTTTTGACAAGTTTCTTAGATTTTTCCTTCAGCTTCAAGTAAAGATGAGTACATAACTCCAGTTCATGTTTGATATACAATCTCATTTAAACTTTGAGATCTTAATTTGGAAATAATAGATAATGTATAACAATAGCACATGGAACATCTCTGTACTTTCATTGTTAACTTTCACCTTTAAATAAGCAAATGTAACTTTGAAGCCTCATGTAATGAAGTTAAAAGGCTTACTAAGATTGCTTTTTCAAACACATGCTGTTCATCCCAAGATAATGCATGCTTAAACTTCAGTAAAAATTTCTTTGACAGGTAGTATTCTTTCCACTGAAATACATTACATCCAGTCAAAACCCAAGATTTACTCATTACAATGAGTATCCATTCAAAGTTTATTTAGATAAACCTTCAGTAGTTTCACTGTTCAATTTTCACACTAACGTGGTGGACAAATTCAGTAGCAAATGCATTATCTTCTTGTATTCTTTTGTAGGTTATTACTCCAAAGAGATTACTAACATCTATTACCTCTGTAAGTATGAGTTTAACATTGTAACAAAATCTGGTTATAACCCCTTCTAAAGGCCATATTCTCACACTAAATAAGACTGTGCCCTTAGTAGGCTCTTTCTGTCCCTTAGTTAAAACTCTATCAACTGCCCAGTTTTTGACCAAATTCTTCAGTCATCAGCTCAAGAAATAGACATGAGCTCCAAACATGTAATGCTGGAAATATGCAGTTGCTACACATTTATTTGGACTTTCAAGTTTTTTTCTGTTTCTTTTTTTTTTTTTTTTAAGTATTTCAAATGTAGTTTTGTTCTAATCTAGTTTTGTCTTTTGTAAAAACTGTCAGAATTACTTTTCCATTAAGCCTTTATTTCTCTCTCTCTCTCTCTCTCTTTCTAGAAAAGCAACCTTCTTACTCCAGGTAAGGGAAGTTTAAACATCTTATGCCAAGATGAATAATCTACGCTTTCTGTCAAAACCAGTGTATAATACTTGACAATTTCAGAGTAATAAGAACCAAATTTGCCAGTCCAGAAACTTGTCCTGTGTTTATATCTGAGTTACCATAGCATATAATGGAAGAAATCTTTACAAAACCAAAACTAATATCTGGTATCAGAGACCCGTGGTTTGCATTCTTTTCCTGAAAATGTGAATTCAAACGAATTTTAAGATTTTAAGCTAGAGTCTGAGGTCAACAAAGTTTTACAGAATAACTTGAAAATACAAACAGATCCTGAAGTATTGCTTGTGTGTAGTGTTGTATACAGTAACACATTTAAACGTTTATGTATTTCTGACTCTTGAGAGGAGGGAAGAACAGCATCTCTGAGTGGTTTTCTAACTACATAAAAATGTGTTATACACTGGTATGACTAGAGTATGAGATACTTGAGCTGGCCTTGGTACAAATTGCAACAACAAGGAGCTCAAGAACTAACTCTGGTATGTCTACCATGCTACTGCAACTAGTAAGATTCCTGTGCCTGAGCTACAGTGTGTGTGTTTCTATTGCTAAAAATGCAAAAAAACCAGGTGTACAAATTCTAGAAGACTGCAGCATGTCACTTGAGAAGAAGTGAAGGGATTTAAAAGGTGTATTCTTACTGCAGTATGTGTGCGCTTTGTAGCATGCCCTAGTGTGCTCTCTGTCCCTCTGAGACTTCTTAAAACGCTTTTTCTCCTTTGTGGATACTTCAAGACTTCTTTCTGAAAGAAAAGATCTACTGGGGAGGAATGATGTGCATCAGGATTCTCTCTGAATGTCCTGCTGGGCTGCACTGCAAAGAGGGCTTCCCCTGGAGTACTGAGTAGGGCATGCATACAGCAGTACAAATAAAGCCTTTTTTTTTTCTTTTTTTTTTTATTCTTTAAGCCTTGCAACATCCTGATTGTGTGTTGTGTTGTGACTTCACTTTAACTTCTTTCTCCGCAGCCATGGCCAGTCCAGGTGGCCCCAATGCTATACGCAGTACTAATTTCATCCTTGTTGGATCCCACAAGCTATCGCTGTCTTCTGTAGGAAGTGCCAAATTTGCATTGGACAAGGTAATGGAAATTACTGGTTACTAATCCAAAGGTAATTGGATATTACTAGAAAAATGGATATGAGTCTGGGCATGCTGTTTTCAGGCGAAATTACCGTCCTAGAAATGAAACATATAAGTTTATAGATATGTTATTTATATATACATTAAAAATTTATGTTTAGTTATTACTTATATTTAATTTCATATGACTGAAGTGTAATTTGGAGATACAACAGAGAAAGACTTACATTACTATGCCAGATGCTCTTTCATTTCTGTTGCTCAGTGTAAGGTATGGTTATGCAAAGATAATGAAGGCATTTGTTTACTGATTTGCTTTCACTGACAAAAAATTGATGTATGCAGTTCACATCTCTGTACCTGGTCTTCGTATAGTTTGTTGCTCTTAGCCTTGCAGTTATCACTAAATAAGACATTTAGTGTGTTCTAATGATAATGAAGTATTTGAACTTTTCTTCGTTTAATTGACCTAAAAATTGCCATTTGTATATAGTTAGGATTATGAGTTTTTTCTTTCATATCCCAATTAAATTTGTAAAAGCAAATAATTTTAGTATTGAGTGAGCTATTATTGAGTTTTATCCCATTAGTTCCTTGTCTAAACAGAATGTTTATTGGCTTTTACTGTCAGAAGGTTAAAAAATACATTTTTACACTCATTATAATATCCTAACCTTGTAATATCTAATACCTAAAACCTATTTTAATAGTTGTGTATGCCAGCAGCTATCTTAAGCTAATTTAAATTAGTTAAAAAGTTACTACACTTTATGGTAGTACTAAATCACAGCTGTATCTATCCAAACAGCATCACTAGTATAATTTTTTCTTGGCTAATTAAGTCATATGTATTGATAGTATTTGCAATTATAGCTTCTGATGAGAGATGAGATAGCAAGAACTGGTAGTGTTTGTGCATAAGACTTAAAATATTGCAATAATACCAACTTACTGTTTAGAAGTTTTTTTACTTCTTGCAGATAGAAGCAGACTCTGTTACTGAGACAGTTGGCAGAACTTAACACTTGAATTGCACTGGTGTTACGGACTATGTGAATTTCAGAAGTAACAGCTTTGGTTCTTCAGCATAAGTGTTCCTGTTAACCAGAACTATGTGTAGAAATCTTTGTGTATGGCTTGCTTACTGGAAACTCATTCTTCTTGGAGTTAATGGAATCAGCTTTTGCAACCAGCAATTTGGGTTTGAACTTCTTCAGTTTATTCGGTGGGACAGGACACCGGACTAGGACTCCAGAACTGTAGCACAAGCACAAGGCTTAAATAGAATTTCAGGGAAACCACCACTTGGTTAATTTTTTGCAGGTGCAGTCCTAGTTATCTGACAGAAAGGGGAAATCTTGTTTGTCACTTGCACTTTGTCAAATTATCATGTCAGTAAATCTTCAGTTTCGACTTGACCTATGGCTGTACCAAACATCTGCTTTTTAGTTTGCTTCATGCACTTCTAGTAAAGAACAAACTACTGTCACAGTGGATTTTTTGTTTCATTCCTCTCTTTTATACATACTGTTAATATTCAGGGTAGGAAAGGACCAAAATAAACTCATGTATATCTGTGTCCTTTCTTCTTCTGGACTTTAACTTTACACTAATTGCATTGAGCATGTTTCTTTTTTCCCTAGATAAATTTTGAAGGGGAGGAAAAAGAACTCTTGGGCTATATGTTCCAGGACAAGGTTGCTATAATCCTTTAGTTCATAACTTAAAACAGGAAACTGCTTTCTAGTGCATGTTGCTTATCTCTGCGTGGCCTTTTTGCAATTTTTTTTTTGTTTGTTTCAAATTCTTCTAAGAAAATGCTTACAAAAATTTACTAACTAAAACACAAAATGTTAGGAGCCTGCATAATTCTCCCCCTTATTTTTCACAGTAATAAGCATGCTACTGGAACTGAAAGGTATTTAGGCTGCCTAGGGCTTTTCCTTAACTAGCATGTGCCTCTTGTCCTCCTAGGTCACTAGAGGAGGGATTTTTTTACTTCAAAACAAATTGATGTGTCTCTTAAAGATTGCTAGTCAAGAAATTTGGGCCAGCTTCTTTATGAACTGCAGAGAACATAGAATCAGCTACTCTGTTGATAAGAGAACCAGAGAAAAATGACTGGTGGCCTAAATGTTGGTTTAACTCAACTTGTTGCTGCTGAAGAAAATTAAAATCACCTTGGACATAGATATCTAATGTCTTATTCTAACCAGACCTTGTTCTGGCAAGACATAGCAAGACCTTTTTTTATAAGCAAAAAGTGATCATAAAGAACTGAAGTTTTAAAAATATTAAACATGTTAAAATGTGAGGTTTTTTTATTTGTACACAAATATGCACTTAAAATATTTTGCTTGGTGTATACATTTTTTGCTTTAGGAATTAATGTGAATTGATATGCTTAAAAGAAATCATTTGTCTTCAACATCTGAAAATAGTTTTATCTAGTTAATACTTTAATTGAATCTATCAGAAAAAAGTGTTTTAGATAAATTTATATGGTTTTGCTTAAAATTAAGCAAGTGATAATTTTAGTACTTATGTCCTATTTTTAATCAAGTCTCCTAAGATACCAATTTTTCAATTCTTGAATTATCTTGAGTACTTTTACAGATAATCTCCTATGACAGTAGGACAACTGCTTAAGGCAGAAACCTCCATGAGCACCAGAATTCAAGCTAGCCTAGCCATGGGTTTTAGTTTTCTCTTCATCTATCTGGATATTTGACAACTTGCTTTCTTTCCATCACCTCCACCCCTTTGAAAGTGATTGATTGATAAGTAGAATGTAATATTTTCTCATTATGTGTACAAGAGGGTATTTCAAGACCTGCTTTAGTAATTAGTAATGGTGTTGCAGGTTCTGCAAAACTGTACGTTCTGTTTGTTATACAGCCTCTTTGCTTTACTGTCACACAGCTCTTCACTGGTAAACTTCATAATCATTGACTAGATTATTCTGTCCTGAGATAAACCAGAAAGGAATGCAAAACCCATAAGCTTCAAGTGAGGAATGCCCAAATGTCCCTGAGGCCCCCATTCAGAAATGGATTTTACTGTGGTTTGCTACAATATGAGCCAGTGTTCTCTGATGTAACATGCAGGGTTATAGTTGTCTTTGCTGATAAAAAATCCAACTGATTTCTATTTTGTTGGAAAGTTTTACTATTTTTTTCTTTTCAGTTGGTCATGTAGACTTCCACCTGATGCTTAGAATTTTTCTGTGCTATACTGTAGGACCGAGTATGCTGTGAGAGTTGAGTAGATCTAACTGTAAAAATTATTTGATCACCTGCCTGTGCACACATGCATCACGTCTGGAAAGAAGCTGCAGGGGTCTACAATTCAAAGGCAATCGGTTTCTAGCCATAACACGTATTCTGGTGTTCTGCAGGGTTCACTGAGGCCTACAGATGTGCACTTTTAACTACTGCGGGTGATTCTTGTTCATCTTAAGTGCTAGCGGTATTTAATTCTATTTGATTGACATTGATTCTGTGGCTTTAAAAGCTACTTCATTGCAATGTACACATGTTGATTCCCTGGCAAGTGGTTCTTTCTTTGTGTTTGACTAGCACCATCAACTTGTCTGGTTTTTCTACTATGAGAAAACACTGTTTCTACTATATTTTTAAAATATTATTTATCTTATAATATGTAATAATATATAATTTATATTATTTTTAATAGTATTTTCTGATTTTTAAATTATTATTATCAGAAACATTCATGTTTCTGTTTCAGCTGGGGGTTTTTTTTTTGCAAGATTCTTAAACAACATTGCTTATTTAGATTAGCAACAAAATATGGTATGTAGAATGCCCTGCAGATCATAACTTGCTTGTTGTATTAGCAGTTTGTCTCTTAGCTTCCTTATGGGGAGTAATAAAAGAAGGGGTGTGATATCGTAGGAGTAGTCAGTGTAATGGGGTACTATGTGTGGGAAGGATTGGGAGAAGTCCAAAGGCAGACCTTGTTGCATGCTTCTTCTAAAAACTCTTTGGCTATCAAATAACTGTTTAACCAACCTCTAGTACAGTAGTTAAGCTGCTTTTTTTTCCTTTTCAGTGGCAGAAGATAGGACTTAGAACCCTTTCTGTTAAAAATTACTTAACACAGGTCTTTAACACCTTGAGTGCCAGTTGTGAAGAACTGTTTTCATTACTTTTCCCCCTTGCTAGTTTTTTTAATACAAAGGCTTATCTGAGTAGGCATTACTACATCAGTATCTGCTAAAAATACTTATGGTATCCAAGTACCGCTCCTGTTTAAGCTCACTTTGATATTTTCCAAACAACTTAATGTCAAACTGAGGCAGAAGCTTGTAGGGTGTGGACTGGTGCCTTCTGTTGTTTCTAACCATGCTTGGAGTGCCTGTTTTTATAGAGAGAATGCATGTTTGTCCATATGTCCTGAGCAAATTACTAAGCAAATAATTCTTAAATGACCTTGAAACAAAAAGTGATCATGACTGTCTTGCTTGAGACTGACTGCTGCTTTCTGGCTGAAGATGCTAGGAGCAAGACAGTGCTAACATCTTGGTGCAGGTGGCTTGCTTGGACCAGTAAGAGTTGGGAGGTGTCAAAAGTAAATGATTAATTGTTTTATTTTTTGCAGGTTCCCTTTCTGTCCCCTTTGGAAGGTCATATATATCTAAAATTGAAATGCCAAGTGGACTCCTTGGTGGAAGAAAAAGGGTTCTTGGTAAGGTATTCACTTGAAACTTCTCCCTTGGGAATAACAGGTCCTATTAAATGCAGTCACTTTTTTAACTTCGCATATGTATTTGAAACTTAAAAGTGGATTGATATTTTTTCCCCCTCTGAACCAGACCCCAAATGTTTCCTAGTTTATCTTCTAAACATGACTAAGTTAAAGCTACCTTTTAAGAATTTGTGTATCTCTCTTCTAAACACTGTTAATTTCTTAATTTAACTTAAGTTAGCCTTCTCTTGCTGTAATCTGTGATGCAAGATGAGATTTTAATCTCTGGCAGAAAATTTTACAAGTCATCTTGGTTTGGTGGGTTTTTTTTTTTAGTCTAGTAAAAACAAGATTGGGGTTTTTTTTCCACTGTGTTCACAGTCTTTGGAAATGACAAGGAAGTGACAGTACTTTTTTTCAAGAAACATCTTTAGCAGTTCTCTCTCTCTCTAAAACTGGACTTCAAAAATGCAGCCAGTACTTGAGCCTAAGAGATGGAACTGTTGAGATGTCCAGCAGATGGCAGTAAATGTGCTATGGAAATCCTTCAGCACAACATTAACGTTTGCTGTTATTGTGGTGTTTTCAGAAATCAGAATTTCTTAAGGCTCTTTCCAGACACTGCTTTCTGTCTCCTTTCCCTTCACTTAATTGAAGTTGAACAGATTTCATTAGATGCAAACATTTCTCATGCTTATGGTATTTGCTGTCCCATGTTTCTGCGTACTAATTTAAGAAAGTCCATATTTGCTTTGACTATACATACAATATGTAAAACTGGAAGAGTGGTGTACATGCATATTAAATTTGTCCAGAGTAAGGGTTTGGAAACTCCCTGCACCATTAAAAATCATAAACTGAATTGTGATGAGAGAAAAACACAACACACACTAATTAATTGGGAAATAAAAGTTCTGTACAAGTTCAAGGGCGATCAGGAGTAAAAGTCAGATACTAAACTTTCCATTCCAGTACTAAGGAAATGGGGCTTGAAATTGACAAAATCCTTCATCCAGTAAAAGAACTGCCAACATAACCATTTAAAAATCAATTTCTAATTTCTTTTAAACTGACTAGACTCCTGAGCGTGGCCTGTTGATTAGTCAAATATTTTGTAATTGTGAATTGTAAGTCAAAGATGACTTAAATATCTAATAATAATAAATTGTTACAGGTGTTTTGTGAACTATTCATACTGTATCTATAAGTAACCTTCCATTATCTGTAAATAACGGGAATGCTGGCCACCATCAACATGAAAACCTGGTAGTTTGAAACAGCAGTGATAGGTGCATTTTGAGCAAGAGGCTGCACACTTGAGAATGATAATGTGAGCCCATTTTCTATGCTATCTTGAAAATAAATATCCTGTGCTAATAGAAGGCTCTCCCTGTATAATTTTTTTCTTTCACTTTTGTTTACTCATATAACAGATTGTACTTGTAAAACCATTTTGGTAGCAAAATAGTGAAGTACAGATCAAGCTCAAGGTATAATGTTACCCCACTTTTAATTTTTTTATTATTTTTTTTTTAAGACAATGTTTGAAGATGTTAGTGGATTTGGAGCATGGCATAGGCGCTGGTGTGTGCTGTCTGGAAATTGTATCTCTTATTGGACATACCCAGATGATGAGAAACGAAAGGTAATGCTGCTTTATAGAGCTCAAGTCTAAAGTTCCGTAGTCCCTTACACAACTACCTGTTCATTTTTAAGGCTTAAAGCAGGTAAAGATGTTCAAAGTATTCAAGCTCATAAAGCTTCCTTGGAGAATGTAGGGGACTTGTCTTTATAAATCTGAACTAACTGGGCAAACCTAGAAGCTGACAACTCTGTCTAGTGAGAAAGGGAAAAAGTGAAGGAGGATCCATATTTAATTTCCCTTTTGGTCTTAAAGCTTTCCATTGTGCTTATCAAATGACTATATTTAATTGAATTTGATCACACTTGCACAGCTTAATAAGCAGACTGTATCTAGTTGCCTTAAGTTTTAGACAAAATATGACTAACAATATGATAAAGAATGACTGTGGGCAATCCTTCTATATTGCAGAAGCATAGCTGTAGTTAGGGACTATCTTATTTGCAGTTATTGTTGTCTCGCAGTTCCACATTATAGCTGGAACTGGTGCTTCGTGCTTCTCACGGAAACAAAGTTAATGTCTGGCTAATTAGACAAATCAGAGGTTCATCTGTCACTGAGATGAACCTTCCTGTCTCCTTAGCCTGTTCTCTCAGCATTTGCTAAAATATTTCCAGATCCTTGTAAGGATTGCTTTCAAGAGAGTTCTTCTGACTCACTAAAGTTATTTACCATTAAACACTTTCTTGTTTATTGGCAGAACACTTTCATTCCCAAACTCCATGGCAAACTGGTCTTTTTGGGTCTTCTATGCCAATCCAGATGCTTGAGTTTAGTTTCTTCCCTGCTAACAGAAGAAGACCATATGCTGATCGTTGACGTTGCCAAAATATATCAATGTACTTTCTTCCCATGCTAAAAGAGAGGGAAAAATCTCTGCCCACTGTAATAGAAGATAGGCAAAAATTAAATTAATTAAGCAAGAAAAAGGTTCCTATTCTTCTTTTGTCTACAAGAAAGGGGCTTTGGTTTGTTTTCCTGATTCTGTTCTTGAAAATCTTATAGACTTGTTTGACTATTGTTCTGAGAAAGACTCAGCTGTATTCTTATGTTATATCTACAGCAATATTAAACTTATTAAATGCCTCCCCTCAATCCTACTATATCTGTTCCATCATGCAGAGATAGGTGTAGCTCAGATATATCAGTATTAGGCCATGATTGCTTTAAATCACAAAATGCTTTTTTTCTAAAATAAATTTCCTATGGCTGTACATATATCGCCAACATGCAACTCTTTTCTTAATGTTCCTTGAAGTGGAGCCGTCTTCCTTTTTCCTGTAACTTGGGTTATTTTAACTGTCTATGAAACAGTGTAGTGAGCATGCCCAATAAACAGTAAACTCTTCTCCAAGCCAAGAGCAGCCTGTGGTGTTTCCCTGATGGGGTATTCTGTAGGTATGAAGAATCAGTGCCAAGGTCTGTAATTAACTTCAGGTGCACAGCTGAACTTCTCTCTATAGTCAGCATATACCTATATGTGACTGCCTTGAAATTTGGAAGGCTCTTCAAAGAGACCTATCTCATGACTACAGAGGGAGCTAAAGCAGCTGGACTCGGGACTTAGGTGTCTTAGTTGAATGTTTGCAGATGAATCCATATATTCTTTTATATAGGCTTTGACAAGAATGATGCAAGGATCCCTAAAGTGTGTGCTTTCTATAGGCTTTGACAGGATTTACTCTTATCAGTTTGGATTTTTTTACTAAGTTCTCTTGAAATTGAGAGTTAAAGCATTCTAAGGAATAAAGGCGAGGTACATCTTTCTGTAGCCTAAGCCTTTGGTAGGGGATAGATGTGTTAGTGGTATTGTATGTGACTGAGCAGAGCATGTTCCATTGCCTGTATGATCTTGCTTTCAGCTATGGCCCTAAAATGGCAAAAATTGTTGAAGCGTATGTTGTTCAGAATTAATCTTGATAGCAATATCCTTGACTGATGAACTAATTTCACTTTCAGCATCCTTTGGGACGGATAAACTTGGCTAACTGCACCAACCATCAGGTTGAACCTGCCAACAGGGAGTTCTGTGCCCGTCCCAACACTTTTGAACTAATAACTGTCAGACCTCAGAGGGAAGATGACCGAGAGACTCTGGTCAGCCAATGCAGAGACACACTCTGTGTTACAAAGTGAGTGCATAAAGTCATGGAGGTTGTGGGAGGCTATGGGATGTGTACAGGATAGTGTTTTACCTCACGTGATGGTTTCAGTAACACAGGAGCTTTACAACTTTGTCATATCAATGCTAAACTCATTTAAACGCTAAGATTTTTGAACGGCATTTGAAGTGTTTGGTTCATTTTTAGACCTATTTTGTCCTGTTCCATTTCAGTATTCTAAGAACAAGGGACTCCACTTTTCTAGAAGTGGAAATGCCAGGTGGCTTGGTAACAGGATTGTGGAATGTTTGACTTCGTTTTTTATCCCTGCTATTTGGGCTTCTATGGTTGATCAGTCTGACATTTTTCATAATAAGTGGAGGTGGAGAATAATCCACTGGGTTCTTTGCCTTTAGGAACTGGCTATCTGCTGATACTAAAGAAGAGCGTAACCTTTGGATGCAAAAGCTCAACCAAGTCCTCGTTGATCTTCGCATGTGGCAGCCTGATGCCTGCTACAAACCTGTTGGAAAGCTTTAAACTCTGGAAGGGAAATATGAAGAAAATATGCGAAAATCCTCATTAACTACACAAGAAAAGAACTGAAATGAAAATATGGGAAGTCCTCTGGGTCACTTATGCTTTAAATTTGAGAGAGTATTTAACATTATGCAGGACTGTGTTACGCAGTATTTTTATTTCACTTAAAAAATTTTAAAACTTTTTTACTTCCTAGCTTTTGAGTATGGTAGGAAGCAATAAGCAGCTTCTTAATATTTATGTAACTCCTTTTTTGGAAGTCTTCTAGCTAGGTACATTCTTTCCTTTAAACAACTAAATTATTTCAGGAAATCACACTTCAGGGCAGGAAGGGAGGGGCAAGCTAGTGAAAAACAAGCTTTCTAGATAACTCAGCTCCCTAAAAGAAACAATAGCTCTAAATACTCCAACAAGGATGCTGCTGAAGCACAAGATTTAATGTTGGAGGTTTGTTGGGGTATTTTGTAAGGATCAGATATGGAAGTTACTAGTCAATTTTATTCTACAACATGCAGTATAGATATTTCTTGCTTGTACAGTATCTTTGTGGTCAGAACAATAGAAATGCACAATATATTCATACTACTTTTGCAATTTCTTATACAAACCAGTATGGGTAAGTGCATGGCATGTACGCTGTGGGATTTTTAGGTGTGGAATTAAGTATGCAGTATATTGCACTTTGATAGAAATGAAAAGTCTTGAATATTTCTGTTAGGACTGCTATTTAAAAAAGAAAATCTAACAGAGAAATTTAGGTTTAGGGTTGTATACATCAGTATTTCCTGGGACTTGTGGTTTGTACAAGCTTGAATTCTCCATTTGAGAACCAGGAGTAGGTTAATAGGTTGTAAAAGTGCTTTTGGTTTTTGTTTGTTTTTTTTTTTTAAATATTAAGACTTTACAAAGCTGCTATGTACCAACTAATACTCCGCTGGCCGAAAGTACGGGTCTTCCTCCCCTTGACAGAGATGTGCGCAAATACATATAAAAGCAGTACTTGAGACCCACCAAAATGGCAAAATTTCTCAGTTAAAACTTGCAGTTTTCACAGCTTTTCACTGGGCTTAGTGAAATACCAGCTCACTACTTCACTACTGTAAATGCGGTAGCGGAATACTTAAAATTGCTACTGCTGTTACATATTCACACTCAAAACACTAAATTCTGTTAGCTTATGCTGTTTTCATCCTGCCACTTTTGTACTTGCTTTTAAATTGTTTTCTTTTTCTTTTATGTCTCTAAATATTTCCAAACTATGTATTGAGATTTATTTTATTCATTTAAAATAAAAAATAAAACACCTGCTTTTTTCATAGCATTTTCTATGCATTTGAAACACTAGTTTGTAGGCTAAAGAAGAAGTGCTAGGATCCACACAGTGTTTGAGAAAGGATTCTATTTTGTATGTGTATCACAAAATTTGACTTTGTTTGAGAAGATAATTTGAGGCATTGGAGGTAGCTAACACCAAATTTTGTAGTGGGAGGCCAGGTTGTCCATGTCCAGCAGTTCATCAGATATGAAGAGGAGAGATTGTTCTTTTCTCTAGTGACAGAGACAGGGCAGCAGAATAACAGAGTAACATGACCTGCACAGTGCAAGGGTAAATTTCATGCTGGATATATGGGAGGCTGTCTTCTTAGACTTCCAAGTTGATCTTAAAAATCATTAAATATAGAATTATCAAATGAGTCCACAGAAAGGTGCTACGAACAGGATTGGATGTATCCAAGGGAACAACCTGTTTTTATTTAGGTTGATTGGGCTATTATCCATCGTAGAAACCAATCTGTGTTTGTTCAATGGCCAAAAAGTAGTTATCCCTTATCAGAGAAAGGTAAAAAGTGTAACAGGTGCTGTAAATTAGAAAAGCTCACCTGTGTGCTGAGTTCTGGGCACAGGCTCTCAGTGGTGAGGACAAGGGCTACTGTAGCCAGCAGAAGCATGGGGTGCCAGCTTAGGGGCAAGCTTGCACTCACAGCTTTAGGGCCTTGCACTGCTGCGTGCCACCTCCTCCCATGCTCCTCTGCTCTTTTAAGGGTGAGCTGAGGATTTTGCAAAACAATGGTGACATTTTTTTTCCATGTTTGTAGCAGTTCCTTTTTAAAGGGGCCAGGCTGTGAGAATTCAGATAGCTTTAGGTAGCTTTGAATGTTCTATACCTCAAAAACAGTTCCTACTGTCTGATTTCAAACAAAGCTCTAAGTTTTGTAAAAACCATTTACAGAGCAAAGTCAAAAAAACCCTTTCAATTTGCAGTGTGTCGGACCCAGCCAGTGACATAATCCCTGCTGTATTCACATGCTCGGACTCCCCTCCAAAGAGACCTTGACAGATCATTCCTTCTAGAAATACGTATTGCTGTAAAGTTTGAATTGCACGGAACTATACTTGGCTTTCAGAGATAAACTTTTTGTTTCCTGTTTACTTCTCTCTTCCCCATGTATCTGTCATCTTCAACCAATCTAAGCACCAGGAGACAGTTAAACTAATGCAATAGACTAGAATTCGTAGTTCATTACTGCTTTAGCATAAGTAAGCTTTTTCAGCAGCATTTTTTTAAGCATAAGACATATATTTTTAGAGTGGTACTGGTAAGTGATTGATGGTTGGGGGGTGCAGATCTTCAGCTGTTTTTTGCATTTGAAATAATAAACACAGTGGTTGTAAAAGCTGATGGCACAATAGGCCCAAAATTCATCTTTATTCGCAGATAGTTACTGCATTGCAAATCAAGTTTCTGCATACAGCCCAATTTGGAGCTGCAGAGCTCAGCTCTAAAGTATGGGGGCACGTGTTTCGGTCAGTGCAACTCCAGCTGGAGGCAAGCCCATTCCTTGGTGTCCCTCAGAAACCCCATATCCAGCATGGAGCAATGGCACTGGGCAAACCTTGGAGCTTTGTTTTGTGGTTCAGCTATGGTTTCAGGTTTTTCTGAGAAGTTGTCACAGTTGTATAAAACCTGTTTTTTTTCCCCATTGTTTGGAAATTCAAGAAGTTCACTAATAAGAAAGTCTCTAAGTGAAAAACGCTTTGCTCTGGGCAACGAAGCTCATTTTAGCTGAGGAAATTTCAGTTTTACTAGTTTGTAAAACTCTTAATTGGTGTTATTAAGCCTCAAATGAAATACAATAATTTGCAATGAAATTGCCTTGAAAATTAGGCTTCTAAACAGGATTCCCTTCCCCCTTTTAACTGCTACACTTCTGTATGTTAGTGTAGAGGAAATCATCTGATATTCTGTAATTATTGCCGGTGCTGTAGTTGGTCTATAGTAAAACCATGTGGATGCACTTGTTTCTGTCCTTGTGTTATATTTAGTGAAACATAAGAGGCCTGAATAGGTAATAAAAAATAGAAGGTGTTCTACCTGGCCAGAGTGCATGGAATGTTACGTTGTTTGGAAAGAATTTGCACAGAAAACAGGGAGATTTCCTTCTAACTCTAAATATCCCCAGGCACGACTCTCTGGAGTTGAAACTACTTCTTGGGAGACTGGATATTTTGGTAAGATCTAAATGCCTTGAATGAATTGGGGCCTTATTAACAAGTATCATTCAATTAAGGAATGTATTCCCTTTTGGTTTCCTAAAGTAGGTGACGTGAATATTTACTTAAGTGTTAGATGTTCCTGTGGGATTACTGCTATCTTAATAAAAGACACGGCATTGACTGTGCTCTAAAAAAAGGCATAGGATCTAGCGAAGCAATAATGCACGCTTCAATCAAAAGAATATAAGCCAAGTCATCCTCTGCCTATTCAAAATGCTGAGCAGGTGCATCTCCTAGCGCCAGGCATCTCCTTTGGTTCGGACCACAGCCTGAGAGCTGCCTCACGGGTGGCACGGCCTCATACAAGGGATATGCTCAGAACAAAGAGCAGAGCTCAGGTCTACCTGAGCTTTGGCCAATCAGGGTGAGCTTCAGTCATGTCATGTTTAAGCTTTCTATTTACCAGATTTTTTTTCCACCTGTAATTAATGCCATTTTATGCTGTCTGATCCTTCCATCATCAGTAAGGTTGTGAATAGGGTAGAGCTGTCTCTAATTTTTAAATATTTATTTATATATTTTGTTAAGAACACGGATAAGCTGGTGAAAAAATACAGTAATTCTCAATGTTCAAATCCATCTATGAAGTAGAGCAGGTAAGGGCTGCCCAGTATTTTCAGTGGTTCCTGGGTCATGCCTGTAAAAGACGTAGGACTGGGCATATTATTTGTTAGGAAGCTAAAGAGCAAAGATATATTACAGGTTGAAAAAGCAACCTGTTTTCAATACATGAAGGGTTGTCAAGTTAGTATCTTATTAATGGGGGGAAGAGCACCTGTGCTCAGTCAGCCTGTGCTAATGCTGCCAGGCAAATCAAAATTGTAGTGCCTTGTTATTCCTGGCACGTTTTAATAAGCAAATAGCAGCTAAATAATGTATTGACAGTCAGGGGCAATTACATACACACAATTTATAGCAACATAATGAGTTTGAGGTTCCCCTCACTCCTTTTGGATCAGATTAACCATTGAAACAGTACAAATGGAAAGTCAAGTAATAATGTTTTGCAGGGGGGAAAAAATGAGGTAGGGCTAGAAGTTTGCTATATATAGAAAAAAAATCTATGGATTTGCAAATTGGTACAATAAATGGTCTAGCTGGCAGGTATCCTTTGATTTTTATTTTTGTAGCTCCACAGAAAAAGCATAGCCTACTTGTGCAGGTGAGATACAAACTGAAAAGAATGCTGTTGTTCTATGTCCGCTGCTACTGGCTCTGATAACTTCCCCTCCCCCTTTTTTAGTGTGTGTCTTTAATCATCTTGACTCGTGGAATGCACTGGGAAGCATCACCATAAATCACATTATGGCTCTGGCAGTTTGAAAGTCAGTGTCCACCTTGATCTTTGAATATAGCTTCAATCTGGTCATTGAATGGATTCTCCTTTCCAAGCACTTGAGGCCATTCATGTAGCGCCTTCTGCCAGGTAATGCTTGTTCCAAGGGCTGCAGCAATCTGCAAAAGCACAAATACCATCAATATCTCATGTCTCTATAATGTAGTTATTTCACGCCAGCATTTAGGAGACCTCACTGTAAAGAAGCCTCTATAGCCACATGGTGGACTGTAATCTCTAACCAAAGGAAATACCCTATTCCAGCTGCTTGACCAGAGCAAAATCCTTCTGAACAGTAAAAATACACTGAGGACTATATATCTGCACCTCCCTGACCAGTTGTTTGTCTAATGATAGTCTGTCTCTACCCACTTGCTGATGCCTATGCTGTCCAGTCCATAAACTGCTATTCAAGAGCCCTAAAGTCTGATTTTTATTTTTTCCCCTGTTGAACATTTTGAAAGTATGTCAAAAGAACTGCTTGGATTTAATGCATTGGACTATTGTAAGTCTAAAAGAATTCATGCTTCTAAATAACTCTGGTACTTCTAATAAATGTTCTCTCTGCTCTCCTGGAAGGAAACCACGCGTGGAGGAAAGAGGCCCAATTATATCCAGTTTCGAAACTACCTGGCTCTGATGCTCTAAGTTTGCACCTGCTGCTGGTTGTCTTCAGAGGTCTTTTCCCATGAGACCTGTAGAAATGCTATAATAGCATTTCTCCTCAATAGCAGTGTCGGTCCAATTTTCATCGAGGTTTTTGCCATGGAAGTTATGCACCGAAGAGAAACTGTATCTGCTGAATTGCCAGAGTAGCAGAAAGGGAGAGAGAGAACAGCCTGATTCTCCCTTAACCAAATTTTCCCAGGATGCTAAAGCATTTTGCTTTAACTCCTGACCTACAATTATATTTGGCTTATATGATAACTTTATTTTCAAACACAACCTTTTCAACACTGATATTGATTGCAATTACAAAGGCTAACAAAGTTGGTCTGGTTTTTTTTAAGGACTGAGATAGGTTAATGGGATCAAACTATTTGAATACTGTTGTTTTGGAGTTTGGGAAAAGACAGAAGAATTTTTATTCACTTTTTTTAAAATGTACTTTCGAAAGAAGCTGTAATGAGGAGCTAGGAGACAAGAACTTACTTTTATTTAGATCTTGTATACAAAAAGATATATTTATGGTATGGAAGCTTTTAGACTCTGGTCACTTGAGGTTTTGTTAAGCTAATGGAGGAATTGGAGCAGGGAAGAAGACTGTACAGTAGAGTTTTCTTCTGGTTTGCAGTTTCTAGTGACTAAACATTTATTCTGGGACACGCTGAGGCACATCCCTGTCAGAGTGGTCCCTCCTGTAGTCTCCAAACCTTCTTCACAAGTCCCTAAGCCTTCCATATATATTTTCAGCAGGATTGGTTGATTGGTTTTAAAAACCCTACTATCTTTGCATGGTACGCTCTTTGCAAATGTATCACCAGAGTTATGCTCTACACTGTTCAGACTACTGTTGACTGTAATTTTAGGTATATATGCTTAAACTACCCTAAATTATTACCTGAATCAGGTCCTGATGATTTCAATAATTTACTCTTGATGAGTAGTGTGGCACAGAGAAGGGTTTGTGATTCTGGAAACTGCATTTCTTACAGGTGTTTTTTTTTTTTAGATTCCAAAGTTCTAGTGCTGTGAGACATGCTGTAATTTGTATGGGTTTTGAAATGAATGTCTTTTATGAAGATGGCAAGCCCTAAGGAAGTTCTTTGAAGGAGATATTACCCATTCCTCACAGAGCTCTGGGTGACTGCAGCTGGGAGGCAGTTGTGTTACTCCAGCAGCTTCAGGCTATCTGTTTTCTCCTTCTGCACCAGACTGGTGATGGGCATGCCTCTCAGCAAAGTGTAAATACTCAGCTCATCTGATATGCACCACTTCAGCTTTTTCTCTTTATTTCTGGGTGGAATGTGCTTTGCTATGACTTAAGGAAGAAAAAGGGAGAAGCTAATCACACTCAAGCTGTGCTTTCCTGCCTGTACGCAAACATTAAGAATCTTCCAAGCGTCTCAGGTTCCAGTTTGTGACGCTCAGGGCTTTCACGTTCTCCCTGGTAACTTCGTAAAAGCAAGAAATGGAGCTGTTTGTTCAGGATCCTGTTGAAATTCATAGCCCTGTCATCCAAAGCAAGCAATAGGCTGTTCTAGAGGGAAGTGATGTCCTTGAAGCCATCTGGCATTCACAAGGATTTGCAGTGAAATTTTGTAGTAAGGAAGAGATGCTGAAGAAAATTGCTGGGCTCCCTCTCTAGTTACTGGGAAGCAAAAGTCGTATTTCTTCCAAGAACAACCAAGCTGGACTTTGGAGAATGGTGGCTCAAAGACAGCTCTAGAGGGAACTCGGGAGGACTGAGTGATGCATTTTGCTTTTAGGTGTCAAAAGTAAATGGTGTGAATTTCCTCCACCTCCATCCTGAGCTGGGTGTTTGGTAAAAAACTTTATGGAGGCAAATTTTAGCTTCGAGGCTTTAGTGGAATGCAATTATGCCAGTAATGAGTGTTTTGCTTGCAGCTTATTGTTTTGCAACTTAATAAAAGCATGCAGGAAACACCTTTACTGCGCAAGAAATTAGCAGAAAGGGAATGTGGTTCTGGCCCTGGCTAAACAAACAAGTACTTGGTGTTTATCCCTTCTTTCAAGGGTTTTTAAATATAAAATATTGTCTGAAGTGGGGACTATATGGGCTAGTTTTCCCTGCCTGAGTGCCTTTCTCCAAAGTAGAGAAACTGCACTAGCTCTAATGGGACAGGGTGAGTGTTGTCTTTTTTCTTATTTTCTTTTCCTTCACCCTGTAATTGTAGGTATGCAAGCTTCAGTTAGGAAGCTTCAATTCCCTCCCACATCCCTCTGGACTGTCTGGGCTGCTGGACAGTTGGATATACATGCTGACACCTACTTCTGCTGTGCTTATACCAGCAGATGATTTTTTAAAATTAAACAGACAGTAGATAACAGCAGGTGAATTCCAGGAGCTGAGAACTGACACCATCTTATTCCACCCACTGCTGTATCACAATGACTAGGGATCACTGTATACACTGCCAGCTCAACCATGGCAGAGAGGGGCACCGTGGTTCTTTTATCCCAAACTCCAAAGTTTCTCTGCATTGAAGGCAAGAGCTAAAGTATTTATGCTTTCCTTGGAGTGTTGCTCAATTCCAAAATTTGAGAATATTTGTCAGCTACTTTGAGGTCTACAGAGGGAAAATTCAGCAGAAATGCCCAGGCTAGGTCTTATCTCTTGTATGTATTTGTCAAGCTGTACATGAGGCATGGGGAGTAGCTGCTGAGATTAAAGTAAGAGCCTCTGTTCACTTCATGAGCTGCGTGGCATCAATCCTCTCCTGCTAGGTAGCATTATGTGGTAAAAAAGCCATACCTGGCCAGAGGCATTTGTGTTGGTATAAAGTAAAACTTTAAATAAAACTCATGTGAGGAGTGAGTGAATTGTTCATCATCTTCCTTAACCTTAATCTTACATACCACTCTGCTAACACTTCCCCTTCTTTTTATTGAGAGAGTCAATATTTTAGAGCACAGTGCTATGTTTCAGTCCAAATAGTGCTATGTTGATAACAGACTTCTGTACACTAACAGAGAAAGAAAAATGGTGAATATTTGGATAAGGTTAATTAATAAATCCTGGAAGGACAATTACTCACTCGAAGTGAGGCATATCTACAGCTGGCACCTTGACTGTAAGGGAAAATGTACCTATAAAAGCAGTAACTGTCATCCTAACAGCAGGAGGGGGAAATCATAACCACTGCAGGATGCCAGGTCCAGAGGGAGTGAAATAAGACAGCGCTTGGCTGGATCCTGCAGCTCAGCACTCTGGGGGCTGCATGTAGGTTTGCAGCTGCCCTTCAATGTCCTCTTATAACTTTCTTTTTGCTCAGGCAGAATTCCTTTAAAATGTATTTTTCCTGCCTTCAACTCTGTGCTACCTTGCAGCTGCAGGATGGGGGCAAGAGCCTGGATGAAAAGTTGTGATATGGTAAGCTTGATTCCCATGGTGGCTTGGTGCCAGGGGTTATAAGAAACCTCAGGCCAGCCTCAGGGTAAGACAGCAAAATGATGCAAAGACCTTTTCTGCTTCACTCCATAGTCTTTGTATGGCACAGTTTCCCCAGATGGCAGGGTTGGGAATGGGGTTTGTTTCATCATGCCTTTCACTGTCATTTCATTTGCCAAGTTTTCTCTAATTGCTTCCTTGCAAAAGGCCTGCAGCAAAAAATCCAGGCACACTTTCTCCGCATCCCCAGGCTGTGAGCTCATACTTTCATGCACCTATCTTCTGGTACTGTGTGGTAGACAGGCAGGAATTTCTGCTATGAAGGAGTCCCTCTTTGAACAGGAGGCTCTTTTGACTTGGCAAGGCTAAGCAAGGCACCGTATTGCTCCAACTGACTGGGTTGGAGTTTCTCATAGGTGTAAAACATGACAACTAAAGCATCTATTTTGCCTTTGAATTTCCCCCTGCGGCTCTCCTCCAGCTGAACTGACGGCACATTCAACAGAGAAGCTGCTGAAATGTCGGAATCCATCTATGCTTCCAATGCATACCCATTGAAGTGCTTCTCCACTGACTGCTCTTTCCCAGTGCGGAAAACATCGTTGCACTGCGTTGTGTGAGGATGGGGGGTGTGGGAGTCAACACATGCAGAGTGTTAGCTCACAACATAAGACTGCTCCATAAAATCCCCCCATACTTTTGAACAGGAGGCACTGCCAGTGGCTGGGCAGCATGGTGGGGTTTGCTTGCATGGCTTGGTCTTTCCGAGGTGGAAGGGAGCGTGCAGTCGGAAGTGTGGGGCAAGGCAGTGATGTCCTAGACAACAGCTTTCCCCAAACTGCTCTCAACATGGCACAGAGCTGGCACCATGCACCACAAAAACATCTCTGAGGAACGTCACTCCTCCTTCTCCTAGCTGTCACCCAGACCTGCACCGCTGGCCAGGGCAAGAATGCTGGGAGTGGAGCTGGACGGCACATTTCCCTCACAGCAGCAGGCAGCAAGAAACTTCCAGATCCACTGGTAAGTATAAAGGATGGAAAGAAGCCACTGCTGCTGTCAGGCAGAGCCCTCTAACAGAGCAGAAAAAAACAGCTCTGCTGTTGTTGCTATCCCACTCCATCTTGTCTGCTTCGGGCAATTTGTCTCCTTTGTAATTTAGCCCAGCCTATTTCTTGCTCCGAAGAGTCAAGATTGAAAGCATGGAAAACAGGAGTGGTCTTTGGTTTTGGGACCTGCCACCACCCCGTGTTGACTCTGTGGCTGGGTGTGACAGTGTTGTGGCCCTCCAGAGCCTGGCCCACTGCCAGGCTGTGCCCACTGGTGGGAGACCTCCCTCTTAAAGGCTGCACAGGGGTTTTCAGCTCACACAATTTTTCCCAGTATTGTATAGAGGAGATTGGCTGCTGCTTTGCTTTGCACACGTGTTTGAAATCTGCAGCTAGCATATAGAAAACCAAATGGCTTTGTTTTCAGCTGATTGCAGAACATGCTCTCTCCATGTGTTTTACAGGGTCAGAAAAAAACTAAACTATTTTGAAGTGAGTATGGTGGGAACCAGGCAACCTCACACTAAGTCATCAAATCCAAGCAAGGACTTAGAGCAGAGCAGCTGCTTCTCATTCCCTTTTGTTTACTTCTGTCTGTAAACCTTCTCCTGCCACCTGTCCTAGGAGGCCAAGCAAGCAGGAGAAAATTTACTAATATATAGCTGCTGAGCATAAGAAATTTAAATGCATAGCTTCTAAAAGAAAGCCTTGTTCCAGGTTGCAACAGGGAAACCCACAGTCCCAGAGGCTGCAGGGCAGGGACAGGGCTGGAGAGGACCTGTCTGGTCTCTGCAGTGCTGCATTTCTGTCCTGATCCTGCAAAATTCCTGTGGGTGTTTGGGAAGTCTGGTGGCCAGCCTAAGTGGCAAGGATCAGTTTTTGCACATTAAGACCTGTTTGGCCATGGTATCAGTCAATGAGGGGAAGAGGCAGAAGACTTTGCAGGAGCCAGAGTGCAGCTGCCTGAAACAGAGATGTCGGCTCTGGGGCTAGAGGCATCATTTAGACTGGCCAAAGAAGGCCAATGGCACCTTGGCTTGTATTAGCATTAGTATGGCCAGCAGGACCAGGGCAGTGATTGTCCCCTTGTACTCAGCTCTTGTGAGGCCACACCTCAAATCCTGTGTTCAGATTTGGGGCCCTCTTTACAAAAAAGACGTTTTGGTGCTGGAGCAACTCCAGAGAAGGGCAATGGAGCTGGGGAAGTGCCTGGAGCACAAGTCTTATGAGGAGTGGGTTAGGGAACTGAGGTCTTCTAGCCTGGAGGAAAGGAGGCTGAGGGGAGACCTTATCACTCTCTTATCACTCTCTACAACTACCTGAATGGAGGTCAAGGTCCTGATGAGGTAGGGGTTGGTCTCTTCTCCCACAGGACAATCAATAGGACAAGAGGGAATGGTCTCAAGTTGCACTGGGATGGGGTTAGATTGCATATTAGAAAAAATTTCCTCAGGGAAAGGGTTGCCAAGCAGTGGAACAGGCTGCCCAGGGAAGTGGTTGAGTCACCATCCCTGGAGGTATTTGAAAGACCCGTAGGTGTGATGCTTAGGGACATGGTTTAGTGGTGGACTCTGCAGTGTTAGGTTAACAGCTGGCCTCCATGATCTTAGAGGACTTTCCAACCCAAATGACTCTATGACTCTCTTTTAAGAGAGAAATACCCCAAACCTACACCCCTGTGGCATGCCAGCTGGGTGCCTGGCGCAGCAATGGGCACTGCCATCTCACACGCTCCCTCACCCTGCCTGCTCCCACCCGTCTCTTGGGGCCGGGTTTTTACCTGACTGGGGTGGAAGCCATCGACCGGTTCAATCAGCTGCCAGGGCTCACCTCCCATCTTGCGCCACTCCTCAGCCGCTGCAAACAACGTGAGCAGAGGGGTTATCACAGTGAGCACGTAGACGCCCTCCTGGAGATGCACCCTCCCCTCTGCTGCAAAGCACCGCTGGTATTTTCAAGCACACGACAGCTCTGCATGAAGATTATGATAATTCACATAAAGTTGTCAGAGCCAATAGCGTGTGCAATCCCCTCTCCTTGGGGCAGTATTTAAGACTTTATTGTTAATTTTTTTTTCTCTCTCTGCGATCTTTATGCAAGAAAGCGCTTTGAACATAAATGATCATAAAACAATTCGCTTTCCCTCCCAACTAAGATGGATGCTGTACCAAGTAAAGCTGTAAATTATTTAATACTGATTTAGTACTTTGCATTTCCCACGTTAGTTGCATCCTCAACAGTGCAAAAAAAAAAAAAAGGGATAAAGAAAACAGCGCTTTTTAGAGAAAAAGATGGCAACAATATTCACATGGGCTGAAGTCTGCAGGAACGACTGTCATTTTTGGTTACTTCTCTTCTGAGCAGTCTTTTTCTCAACTCCAACCAAATAACCTTTTGAATTACATAAGCGTGACATTCAATGCAAATGATGCTGTGCTATAAGCCCTGGAGCCATTAGAGAAGTAAAAAGCTTTCTCTGTTCAAAAGGGCTGTGAAGTGATCAAACATGGAACTAGTGGATACGGCATTAACAGACTGTAAATTCAATTATTCCTTTTATAATGACAGATTAAGAATTCTTAATAGCATTATGCAAGCATCCTGTCAGGAGCAAAATGTTCTCCATTCAAGCACCACAGTTTTGATCTAGATTAACCACTGCTTTTTGGACCCTGGCTATTGTGTCAAAAAGTGGTGTCTGGGTCCCCACGCTAACTCTGAATTCACAAAAAGGCAACATTTCTGCTTTGACTATAGAAACCCACTCGAGATGCTTCAGTCAGCACCCAAAGTAACCTGTTTCTAGACACAGGGTTTGGAGCTTTATTTCAGACTTGCAATATGTTGGGTTCAACACATATTCACCTTAGATTACACCACAGAGCACCCCTATAGATGAACAGAAGGAACTTGCCTAACTCCTTATATATATGATATTCTACACAGAGTAAGAGGCTTGTGTATTGTGTTTTACTTTGCAGAGGGACTACTACTGCAATGCCAGAAATAGAAAAGGGATAAGTAAGGGTTGTATCAAGATAGGTCAATTCAGGCTATTACACTCGACCTCCAAAAATCCTAGAGCAGTTGAGCAAATAACCATTAACTGAGTATGTCCAGAGTTTGTGTTAAAAATGACTGTTGCTTTGGCTAGACTAGACTAGAGTTTGCTCCCATCTGCACCAAGAAAAAGTCCAAAAAAACAACACGTATTCCGCCATTTATTACACTGCTTCTTAAAGGAATGACTAATTTCCAAGGGCAGCATGTGATCTTGAATGTCCATTTAAATCTAAGATAAATGCTAGTATACTCAAATATTACTTTGACAAAGCTGGGAGCTGCTACGTACATATGTGTATATATATACATGCCCAGGCCAGCCTGAAATCAATGTATGCATCACAGTGTGCAACCACTGCTAAATATTTGATGTCTGGAGAGTTTCATGGAGGATTTGTGCTTGCTTCAGAAAGAGACCACAAAAGTAGGTCAGCAGCCTTAGCTGGTTTTTGAGCACACTCACGATCTGACAGCTTTCCTGATGGCAAGCCCGAATTGTTGGCTCCAGGGCTGCAGGAAACTTTGCAAAGTGTCTTTCAAAGCTGATGTTTGTGTATGCATGTGTGATTTTGTTTACTTCATTTATTTAACACGATGTAATCAAGATCAGTAAATTATATAAAGATGTTTCTTTTTGTGAAAGCAAATAAATTACCTAAAGTCGGTAATTTAACTTATTAAAGTAATTTGCCTACCCAGCAGGTAGTTCATTTCAAATCCTAACGACTTGTTAAATATTAAGTAGCTGAGGCAAAAGCCACAAAGAGACTTGGACACCCTGAAACTCTGTACTGCAATAATGAACCTGGCAGTAAAGCCCACCTCTCTGAGAGGAACTTTTGGACAGAAAGACTTCCTCGCCTATCCCCACTTTTACCTCCTCCTTCTCCATATGGTCTTCATGGAGACCCAGAATCAGCTTCCTGAAGTGGGTCATGCAGGATAAAATAAGTTTGTGAATTTTGATAGGATTTGGCTGCAAAATGAGTTTTTAATAGTCTTAGGTGCCTTGGCAGCTTTGTGCTTTCTAGGACAGCCAGGCACTGATGGGGAGAGGTGTTAGAGATGTACACTTTAAAGTATTGACAGGGTGCTTCTGTCCCTTCATGGCCCCAGATTTAGCTGTCTGTGTGCTGGAATTTAAAATATAATAACCTGACAAAATTTTTCAATAAGGGCCAACACGGAACTTTCTGTGTGAATATAAAAACATGGAAATTCAGATCAAGTTGTTTTTTTTCCAATTATTATATAGTATTTTTGGAACATAAACATGCATGTTATTGGGGAGAGCTGCCAGGTAGCTAAGGCTGGAGCTCCTGCCCTGTGAACAGGGGCTGAGGGACAGGGACAATCCCTTCTGGGGAAGAGCCTATGAGGAGACAATGAGGACAGGGCTAATCTTTTCACAGCAGTGCACAGTAAGAGAGGGAGAGACAACGGGCAGAAGTTGAAACATGGGAGATCCAGTCTGAAAAAAAAAAGCCTTATCCCTACTTTCCCATCACTGTCTAACTACTTTAATATGTTGCCCAACTCAATCCCTCACTCCATGCTGGTTCTTATTTTTAAAAGGAGTATGTTTCTCCTAGTGATGAAGATGGGCTGATGTTGGGTGATGCCTCAAGCTGGACTCCAGTGCTTCTTGCAAGGGAAGCCAAGCCAAGAGGGATCCAGGGACAGATGTGGGACTGTCCCCAGTCCCACAGGGACGCTGTCTGCTTGTGCTCATGGTAACAACAAAAATATCCTGGTTTTTTAATTCAAGTGTCAGTTGCAGAAGAACGATTTAGGTAATACGCTTACCTAATGTCACTAAAGACCACAGAAGGACAAGTTTTGTAAGCTCTTCAAGTCAAAGTAGGTGTTTAAAGAAACATAGGAAAGAAGACAGTTATTCCTGGGAGAGGTGCTTCTACTTTTGAGAACAGTGAGTTAGGAGAGTGTAGCTGTGTTATTCAGGCAGAAAAGCAGACGATAAAAGTCCTCCTTCCTGAGGCACTGCTCGTCCAAGAGGAGACAATACGAAGCCTAGTCAGTGATGTAGTAAACTACAGCTCATGAAGACCACCTTCACCATTGCAGATATGCATCTCCAGCCTAGATGACCTGCTGTAAAAAGCCATGATCAAAAATATGACCAAATCTTATGGACCAATACAGGTTCAAGATTTCTTTTTTTCCCTCACCAGCCTGAAACTGCAGTGGACAAGCAGGAGGCATTTTTAGCAGAGGCATATCTGCTCTCCCTGTCCCCTTGCCATGCAAAAGAAAGTGGCCTGTCTGCTGTGCTTCACTGGGGTTGTGGGTGCTGGCAGCTGGGAGCAGCATGGACGTTGTAGTGCCTAGGCTGGTGGTGGGGTCTTGTCTCAGCAAAGGTCCATGGCTGCTCCAATCAGGGAAGATGAGAGATGGCATTAAATGTCCCCCCCTTGACCACAGCCCTACCAGCAGGGTCACCTAGGCTGGCTGGCTATTCTGCCCTTTTCCTGGAAGAGAGCTAAAATATGAGGACCATATTAGCAGCCTAACACTTGACTAAATGTTTTGTGACAAAGATAGGAAAAAAAAGCTGCTTACTTTGTCTCAGTGGGAAATCCATGTAGAAAATATCAAAGTTGGCAAATTTCTCAGATCTCGCTATTTCTTTCAGGACGTTGGAAAGTTGTAAAGCTCTCTGCAAAAAATCAAGTGATTTAATGACTCATCATTGCTATTCATCCCGCTTTGCATGGATTCAGCTTTCATCACTGAAGTACAGCCAGGAATTTGATAGCTAATGTTGCCCTTTCAGCTGGGGGAAAGGAGGTGAAATGGGGCTCTTCATCATAACAGGGACTTGCATGAGCACCACCAGCCTTTGGGCTACCCAGTTCATCATGCAACACATCCTTGCAGGTTACATTGAGGCCTCAGCTGATTTTGTAAGTTTAATACAGCATATGTTTATTTTACTGGAGACCTCTTTTAGTAGTATCCATAGGCTTATATAAATATTCTGAATTTCTCTATTTTGGAGGCCTCTTGATGAGTGGCAGCCCAGTAATTTTCATTTCTCTTAAAGAAACCCAAAACTTTTCTACAACAGAAATGTTCTGTTTTTGTATTATCCTTCCTGCTACTATGTTGTAGATGTTAATGTTTATCTATGCAGACCAAATTCTACCTTTACTTTCAGCAGAGTAAATTACCTCCATTGAGCGTCTGCCTAACTGATACATCCAATGTAATTTCTACAGCCATAACAGAGATCAGGATCTCCTAAATATTTAAATTGTGCAGTTTGGGTAATAACATAGACAATTAGTTTCAGACAGGGGCTCAGAAAGATTAATTCATACCCTGCAGGCATATGCATTGTTCATGGACAGAAGTTACATGTACTCTATATTCTGTATTGTTGGTACGAGTATATAAACTGTAATCCTACAAAGATTTAGGAATGTGCTTAATTGCCTACTCTGAAGCCAAGAGGGACAGGGAATAAAATGAAATACATATGTAAGCTTTGGTTAAATTAAGGCAACATTTTGTTGTTTAGTGAATGCAAATATGAATACAACTATACACAGAGATGATACCTTTGATAACATTTGGTTACTGGCTCTTTTACTTGACTGCAGAGGATTCCTGGGATTAAAGATCGGTTTGTACCATAAGAAAATAAGTGCCTGGTATTATGTGTCATTCGCTTCTGCAGCCAGATTTTTAAGGTGAGTTTTAAGACGTCTCTGTTCTGTCTGTTCCCATTCCTGCACTGATCCTGGATGCTCCCTGGTCACACCATCTGATGATTAAGTCCACAGAAATGTGTCTGAGGAAGATTAGCACAAATCCCAAATGAAAAAAGGGTAAGGCTCTTGCTCTCAGGACCTGCTCCCGTTGCCAGCAAAATCTATGTAGCCAGCTTGTCATACCAACAGCTAGTTGATTCACAAGTCTTTTCTTCCTTATCAGGTATGTCCTCTTCTTAAAGAACATGAACCTGAACAGTTTTGTCTCTGGGAGATCACATCCCTTGAGAATAAATTTGGGCAGCTGAGAGGTTATAACAGGAATACCTTTACGAATCTTTCACTTGAGCATGCTGCCTCCCAGAGCCTGAGAGGCATTTGAAAGGATGGGTGCGGATGTTTCCTCATTTTTTTTTCTCATCGTTGGAAGAAAAAAATGTATGCTGAGGTAATTTGGCTTATATCCTCAGACACAAGGACAAACTGAAATAGTATGTGCTGTAGCATTGTTGAGACTTACCTCTGAGGTCAAATTCCTGAGGGTCTCATTGGGGGTCAGCCAGCCGCTGCAGGGGCTCACCTGGGCAGGAGTGGGGAGAGGGACTTTAGTAGTGGGACAAGAGGAACAGGGGACTAGTAAGCTACAGCCAGACACCTTACCTGGAGGCAGTCAAGGAAAGAATAAATTTGACTGTATGTGACATCCTTGTTCAGCTGCCCTGCAAAGCACAGAAAGGGAAAGTTCATGTGCCTGATGGCCAAATGTATCTTCATTTTTCAGGTCTGTGCATCCCCATGCGTTACACCCCTGCGTGGGGAAAGGCACCCCAGGAGTGCCACCCCACCCTCAGGTTACCCTCCCACCACCAGAGCTGGGGTGCAATAGAGGTGGCACCAATGCTTTCCTCCTGCTAAGTGTCCACGTCTCCACAGAGTTGCTTTTGCTTCTCCTGCATCCCTCTCCTGCCTTTCATAGGTGATTTGTCTCACATGTGGGGTTAGTCATCACAGCCTATGTCAGTTTCTGAAGTGAGTGACTGATATTTCTTCCATTAACATCTCTCACCTGCTGCAGAAATGCAGGGTTTGCAAAGTAGAAGGATGCCTGTGTACACTTGCATTTACCTCACAGAGGTTAGCCTTAAAAGGGAGAAGCAATTTTGCTGTCATGGAGGGAACTGGATACATTTGTGTGGGTGAGGAAAATTCAAGCACCAAGTCAAACACCCAGCTGACATGCCCTAAAATTCACTGTGCTATACGATAGCCTGGCTTGATGAGAAAATTCTCAATTTTCTTGACCTTTTTGCATCTTTGGTAGCTATAGCTAAGATGAGAATTAAATGGCCACTCAGTTGTCTGAGTTTAAAGTGCACTGATCATTATGTCAAACTTTGATATTTATGCAGTACTGAAATATGAAATTTTTGTTGTTGTTTTAGGAACTGCAAAGTATAATCTCTCCCAAGTGAAATGGGCTCCTCAGGTTGCTTTACCGTGACTCCCTGATACAGACGTTACTCCTGCCTATCACACAGCTGCCCATCATCCAGCAGCACTATCAGCTGCCCAGGGAACAAATGAGGGGAAGTTCAAAGATCTAGTGTCACTCCTGGATATTAGGGATTTCCCAGACCCCTATAGCCTGAAGCACCAGGCCCTGGGATGGGCTGTCAGGGGGACCAGGGATTTGGCTTGAAAGCCAGACTGGTGTCTGGTCACGCCTGATGGACTGGCAGCCAAATGGGGAAACCTGCTCACAGCCCATCGGAGAATCTGCCAGAAGCGATCACTTGCTGCAAAACGTGTTGCTTAGGATTAATTGGGTCCCTTCAAGGCAAATCAGCCCCTCTGAAAAATTTCCAGCTGGTTTTATAGTTAATCACTCCTGTTTTGGCTGGTGCCAAAAAATGCTATGTGTTTTCTCTGATAATTAGATATCAAGTAGAGGAACCATCCCTGTGATAAACATGCACTCAAGGAAAGAAATGGGTTTATGTGACTAAAAAATAATTATCACAGATTTCCCTTGCTCTGAAGGGGGCAAGAGTTTCTCTTTTTTTAATTATTTTTATTTTTATTTTTTTCCCATTGGTAGTAGTATGGTACTTATTAGAGAAAAATATAACAAGGTATCAGGAAAAGAAATGGGAAAGGTGTGGACCCATTGGCAATGATTGGGGAATCTTGGGGAAACCATAGCACAGAGTCTGCTGACAGCTGTGGTTGCCAAAATCATCTGCATTTGTAATCTACCATTTTAATGATGTAATTTAGCTTCTCTCTTTCTTTGCTGATGAGAACAAAGATGAAAACAACTTCTTGCTTGTTAGATGGAAAAGAGATTCCTTTACACAAATACAAATAAGTACGTGCTTTTGGTCTAAAATTTGGCAGTGGAATGTCCATGATGGCATCTTGTACACACTCTTGACTGGAGAGCAAGGGACTTGCTTTATCTGTTTGCATAAAAACTTGCTTTGCTACCTGCATAAAGTATGTCACATTCTTTATACACTGCATGGTGGTATGAACTTGCAGAGAAGGGGTTCTGCAACCAGCTTCCATGCTTCCCCAACATCCCACATTCCCAGGGAAATGCTTCCATGCTGACCTCAGAGGCACAGCTATCAAAACTAACCAAGGATGGATGTCACAGTTCAGTGCAAATGAATGAAGCCCCCTAAGATGACATTTGTCCTTGCTGCTTGGCACAGGATGAAGCCAAGGAGCAAGTGGTCTGCTAATGGTCAGATGTACAGCTTCATTCACACCCTGAGATGACAGGCTCCCAAAGGCAGCCTGCAAATCTCTGGAAAAAAATGCCCCAAAGCTCTTTACAGCAACTACACTCTGAGGGAACGCCCCAAAACCTGCCTGCACATGGCGTGGGGTTTCAGCCATTACACCTGTAGGTAGTGTAGGAGGTGGCAGGCACCCAGGAGGAAAATTTATTTCTCTAGTATGTAACCAGTCTTTTGCAATTCCCTGACTTAATCTTCTGTCCTGGTACACATCCAGTTTTACCATAACATCCACCAGTCAGTGAATGGAGGTGTTAACTAAACGTCCAGCTCCAGCTGTATAAACAATCAGGATTAAGTGCAGGCAGGCTGTCCATGATTTTGGGCCAAGGCTGAGGCACAAAAGCTTGTTTCCACATCTACAGCATGTGTTGAGCCTGGTTTGGAGCTGAGTAGTTCTGCCTGGTGGGGGAACCAGGCAGGATAGGGATCTGTCCTGTCATGCAGTGGGGATGGTAAGAACTGTCATTCCTACTTCTGCTGCACAGCCAATATCTGACTCATGTTTCTCACATCTTCACCACTCTGCCAGGTTTGCTTGAAATTCTGAATAGATTCGTAAATAACTTAGGGAGCAAAGGCAACATGAGCAGACAGATAACCAGGAGGAACCCCGCAGCACCTCATATTTACCTAGAGGATGGTATCTGTCATGCAGGTTATCCCAGAGGAAGCGACCATCTACCAAGCCTGTTAAAATCACGTGGCTGCCGTTTGGAAGACGGGAGTCCAGGTATCGCAGGGCTTGCATCACGTTGGAGAGCATTTCTTTGGGTGTGGTCATGTGGGCCAGCGTGTCACGGTTCCTAAAGAAGAAGATGCCAACAGGACATTGTGTCAGGCAAAGCTGTGGCCTCAAAAAGTCACGTGAAACAGTGCCATTTTCTTTATTTGCTGCACTTCCACATTTAGTCAGATAAATAAAACCTTATAAAAACGATACCATGTGTTTTGGTTTCTCATTGTTATTACCAAAATCAGATGTGATACAGAAACCTCCCTCCCTTGGTGTAACCTATCTCTCTGCTAAAAACACAGATACGTTCCTTTTTTATGGAGCGGACTCCTGTTGTGGGTTAGCCCCAGTGGGCAGCTAAGCACTACACAGCTGCTCACTTGCTTCACTCCTGCTCCACCCAGGGAGACAGGGGAAGAAGAAAGAGAGAGTAAAAGCAAGAAAACTTAAGGGTCAAGATAAGAAAACCCCAAACAAACCAGTTATTGTTCAGTAAGGGAGGAAAAAGCAAGGAAAAGAAGGGATGCAAAGACCTCATCACCTCCTGGGTAGACCAACACCCGGCCAGTTGCTGAGCAAAAGAAGGTTAACCTCCCTAAAATACCCTCTTCTCCCATTTCATTGCTGACCATGATGTTACATGACATGGACTATCCCTTCAGTCAGTTTGGGTCATCATTCCTGCTGTGACCCCTCCCAACCACTTTTGCAGCCCCAATCTATTCATGGAGGGGGCAGAAGGAGGAACAGAGAGGGACCCAACGCTGTGCAAACACTAAACAGCAACAGTTAAAACATTATTGTGTTATGAGCATTGTTTTTATAAAAAAAAAAACAAAACCCACAGCACCATAGGAGCTGCTATGAAGAAAATTAACTCCATCCTAGCCAGGCCCAGCACACTTTCATAAAGAAAAAAGGCTTAGATTGCCTACTGGAATTATTTTATAGTTTGCAAATGAGTTAGGCTTTATTTACAGTGCAGAGAGGAGAATCAGAGCCATGAAGCTAACAATGACCACATGTTTTGTGGTTCACTGTCAGGCACAAACCTCTTCAAGCCAGAGTCCCAAGCTCAGGTTTATTCTTCCCCTCTTGCATTTAGCTGTAAATGCTGCAGGAGATGTGGGGGAAATGAAATCCTGAAGTTGAAATATGTTTCAATTTATATAAGGAAAACAAGCAAGCAAAACCACCCCAGGCTGCCTAGAGAACACGGCTCTAATTATGTTATTAAAAAACCCACTTTATTACAGAAAAAGTGTTCACCCATTTTCCCACTGAGAGCTATCACCACATTCTCGTGGAGCACATGCCTGTAACAGGGGCTGAAAGCAAGGGGGTGGTCACAGCTGTCCCATCCCAGCAAGAGAGGATCCATGGGTGTCTGGTATGGGGAGGAACCCCAGCTCCGTGACATCTCATTCTGGCAACACATGGGGGGCAGAGCAAGGCCCACTCTGGGCAAAGGTCTCTCTTTGCCTGGAGACGTGCCATTGCACTGTCTCAGCGTGAAGAGTCAGTGGGATGGAAACAAGGACACCACTGTATGTTTCCACAAACCCCAGGCACTCCAGGTTGGCCAAGGCTCCCTTGGGGCACACAAAGCAGAGCATGGAAATCTATTAAGTTGCCTTTTTTTGAATTGGAAAAGGAAATAAAGACATGCATTTGCAACACAAGCTTTCATAAGAGCCCCCAGACACAGCAGCAAGGGTACTGTAGTCGGGATTTGGAGCATATCAACATCTATGACCATGTATGGCATGGACCAAGTACCTTGGGAAGCCATCTCTTGTGATAGTTCTCATTCTGCCTCAGTGCTGTGGCTCAGCTGACCAAGGCATTCAGGGAGAAAAACTCAACACCTGCTGGGGACCTGATCGTGTTGCTCAGTAAGAAAGACAGGGGATGTCCTTCCAAGTAGGAAAATTGCACTAATGTTCACCCTCATTGCTTTAGTGGTTCCCACATTCTCTTCTTCCCACCTTAGCAGCCAGGAGGCTCCATCCAGGTCCTTTCCATGCGAGAGACCTTAAATCTCTTTCATGGCTTCCCATGGGTAACAGAAGGGCAAACCTGTACATGTAGTGCCTGGAAAACTGCTGGGACAGGGTCAGATTCCTTGTCAGTGAACCCCATAGAAGCAGGAGCTTTCCAAAGCATTGTTGTTCTGCCTCAAGGCATTAAAAATGTTTGGGCTCAGATGGGGGGAAAGGTGCTGAGTCCTGTGTGGGAGAACCGTGTTCCCTAACAAGGATTTGGGATTCTTCAGTGAGCTGTGTTTTGCACATAAAATAATAATTGGGTGAGTTTCCTGGACGCAGAAATTTATCTTAATGCAGCATGTGCTGCTGAAACATGTGAAACTTTTTGATTAGGAAGAACTGAAAAACAGCATTAAGATTCAGGTTTATCCTTGTGACAGCCACCCAAGCAAGCTACTTCTGAGATAAGACTGTGGTTTTGCCCTGAAATTACTTCATTTCGCCTACAGGTGTTGCAGCACTTGATTTCAAAATACTGCTCTGATGCAAGGCCTCTACCACAAGTAAACATGTCAGTGTAAGCCAAAATTAATAGGACATTCATAATTCCACTTTCTCTGTTGAAGTCATGAAGATATTTCAGTGCATTTCTTCACATTTCTTTTCTATGCCAGGTTATGAAATTAAAACCAAACAAGAAGAAAGCCATTTTATAGGCATATTAGATTTGGGCTCTGCCAGAAGGACTTCAAGGTGCCTGGCACCAGGGCCTGTGGTGGTACCATCACCTCATTCTCCTGCAGGGCAGCAGCCCATGAGAGCCTCTGCCCACCTGGGACCTTTGGAAGCTGATGTTGTCCACAGTTCATTGTGTCAGAGCACAGCAAGCAGACATCAATGTTAGGATTCCTGCTGCATTGGATCTGGGTATTTTAGGGAGCAATCCGTGACTCCCATAATACACAAGTACACAGTAGGATTACTGGATGTGCACAGAGCTCCTGGATATCCTAACATCATTGGCGCTCTAGCTGTGCACACAGATAGAACAGACAGCCTCATGCAATCTGTGCTAAGCTTTTCCAGCTCTCCTCTGTCACACAGACCTCCTCCAGTCCCTTATAACAGTGTCTGGCATAGTCCACACACAGCTCTCCACCCTCTTTCCGCAGTGTTTGTGAGCCTGGCCTGCCACATCCTACAGGGCAGCAACTCCCCCTCCCCCTAACCCCAACCCAAATAAATACTTCCCCAGCCAATGTTTCAGCCATCCATCTGCTTTCCAGCCACGTGCTGTTACATGCCCAGGGTTTGGGCCACTGGCACACAGGGCCAGCTGGGGTGTGACATGCCACACGCACACACTTGCACAGGGCACATGCACATACGTGCAGAGCTGGATCCACAGCGCAGCAGCTCAGCTCCAGCTCGCTGCAGAGAGGTGGGATGCCCACAGCACGAGGGCTAGAGGTGTTGCCTGATCACATACTACTTTTAGGGCTGGAGGGGTGCAGCAGCTCTTTGGTGCTGATACTCTTACAACAAGGGAGCATTATGCTCTTGCTGGCACTGGTGCCACTCTGTACAAATTCCTTTCCCAGTGGGTCTCTGCTCACCCTGCTTTGCTGCTGTCACCTTTCTGTTTGTTGCAGATGCAATAATTGTAGATCTGTGACAAAGAGGCTGGAGAAATGGGACCTCACCCCAAATGTAAGTAATATGTACATCAATAGCACAACATTTGAGATTTCTGTTGCTTATTATTTTCTTGTCTGATTTTTTTTTTGTTCTAGGTCTCTGTGTCCCACATTTACACCTCAGTGGGCTGAGAGATACCATTGCCATCTGTCTTTATTTTTCTAACCCCCCTGTTTGGACACCACAGCGTGGAGAGTACTGTGAATGTGTAACACAGGCTGCCAATTTCATTACCTTTTCCCTCTGCAAACACCCATATTATTCATTGCCCCACTCTTTGCATGGGGTAAAATACTCGCGTTTTAACAACTCTTTGGCTAAGAGCCGTGTCTCTGGTATGTTCAGCACACTGCTCTCTTTTGAAGGCAAGATGGAGGATAAGGCCAAGAAGGCTCAATTGCTGCAGTTTAAAGCTGTCCTTGAAGAGGTTTTTATTTGTCAAGCCCCAGGTTTGAAGTCAAGCCCATCAGATGCTCTGCATTTTCTGTAACCTCTGTAGCTACATCAGAGCCAGGGCAGCTACATACAGTGGCTGGGCACTGAAATCTCTGTCTGCTGTACATCCCCCTCAATGGGAACAGCACATTCTACAGAAGCTGCAGAATCTTTCCTTGCTGGAGGCACAGGGGTCACTAAAGCCTAACAGCCTCTTTTGATGCTGTGAATGTTTTGGAAGTAAACAGACAGAAAACAGTAGAGAGAATCTGAGCAGACAAAAGTGTCTCTGCCAGGTAATGGATGCTGGGATAAAAAGACAGCAGAATGTCAAGTAAGTAATAAATACTGTTCTGGAAGGTTTTGGAATGTACCAAATGGGTGAGGCAAGGTCAAAATGGTTTAAATTTCTGGAAAATTTCTTTTTACTTCTGGCAAGAGTAGAAAGCAGCGTTAGAGACATTGTAAGTGAAAGGAATAACCTGCAGAGTGAGGAATAAAGCAAAGGGAAAAGAGGGACTTTTAGCAAAGGCAGTGACACAGCAGAATTGAAATATGTGCACAAAAGAGCCGAGGCCAAGCCTTAGAGAAGACACATAGAAAATATCCATAGCAGGAGCCATGGACTTCAGCGAAGGTGCCTTTTTTTTTTTTTTTGAAAGAGGGTGGGGAGGGGCAGGGAGGAGAAGGGGACTTTATCACCCTGGTGGTGGATGAAATGATACCTCCATAAGCTTCTCAGTAAACAGATCCCCAGAACAGTCTTGTCAGCAAGTAGCAAGAGGCTTGTGACTGGTTTTCCCACCAAGTCAGAGAGTGATGGCTTTACTTTTGAGGATTTGTGTGTCCTTCCCATAACAGGTGCTGAGGGCAAATTTGGCGGTTTTGGGAAAGGGTGCAGAGAGAGCACGAGCATCAGACGGTGAAGATTTCATGGAGGTTATTTCCGTGTGCTGCCTGCATGTGGCTAGGGCAATCGTGATGTCAGGAAAGGACCTAAAAGGTGGCCCCTGTGGTACCATTTCTGCCCTGGCTGAGGGCTTCCAGGTGTTGCAGTGCAGCTGCAGGAAAGGCCCTGCCTGGCTTTTGGACACCCTCATCTGGAGAACAACACCTGACAAGCAAAGTTTCAGCCCATGAACTGCCTGATAAGAGAAGTTGTAGGATACCAAGCCTTGCCATTTTAATGGCCAAGTCTGACAGCCTGCGCAATAGCTCCAACTTCATTATACAACCTGCAGGTGAGAGTCTTCAGTAGCTTTAGAAGAAAACTCAGCTGAGTGTGTGGCATTTATTAAAATGAGTGTTTTGAAAGTCTCCATGTAAGTCAGATTTATTTCTTCAATGTACAAGAAAAGCTGAAGATTGGTCATGGTGAAAATAAGGTTGCACTAGCAACAGCACTCAGACCTTCTGCAAAACCAAAACTGCGGTATGTATGTCCCTGTGCATTTGCCTGGTTGCAAGGTGTTTTCTGCCTTCCCACACCCGGAGGAAGGGAAACATCCAACTAGTGACCTCTTGGTGTCCCCGTGACATTACCCATTCTGGGTAACGCCAGAACTATTTTGAAAGCTTCAGTTCATTCTCCTGCAGAGCTTATGACGCGAGTAAAGCCAGAAAGACAAAACACCTTGTCAGGAAAGCACAGCAAAGACTGCAGGCAGCGTGCAGCAGAGGCAGGGTAAAATGGACCTCGACAGGGGACGGTGTTGTGATTCTTCAGAAATGATAAACCAGTCACGCTCTCCCTCCTGACAGGAGGTGACACACTGGATAAGACAGATATACACACTTTTAAACTCTTCTTCTCCCCCGCCTGTTTTTGTTATTATTAATTTCCTCTGCTAAGTTAGAAATGGTTACTTCAGACATGCCATTGGTCACTTTATGACTGGCTCTAAAAGAAAGAAAAGAAAGAGAAGGTCCAAATGGGTACTGGTAGATGCCTATGACAAATACAGGTAAGGCAACAACCCGCACATTCAGCAGAAAATTAAGAAAGAAGGACAGACGAAAAGCAAAGAAAAATGCCATCATGGAGAAGCACAAAACAATGAGACACAAATGTCCAAGCACTCAGCAGTATTCCATAGAAGTCAAATTTATGCTACCATAAAAGTTCATTTAGTTTACACCTTACCCATTGCAGACATCATTCCCAATTGTAGCATAGATAACTATGGCTGGATTGTCCAACAGCTGGTTTCTGGCCAAGCTAAAAGATAAATATGCAGCTATATTAATGTGGAAATACACTCTCAGTGTCTGAGTCACACACCATGCTTGTGTGAGATCACATTTGGAAGTAGCCTGCTTGGATATGGCCAGTGCTGAAATGACTACATTCCTATGTTTGGGAGAGTTTGTGTTTCTTTTTTCTTGGATAGTTGGTTTTCCTTTTCACTTTAGTTTTATATTTTAGTAAAGTGTCTTAAACACATCTTTTTTCACATCTCTCTTTTGCCCCTAGTGGACTTGTCTTTTTCACTGCTTTTCCTGCCGATTTTCTATTTTCTTTGTATTATTCAGAGGCCAAATCAAGTAGTTTCATTGTGGGGCAAAGACATGAACCAAAATGGGATTTTTTTTAATTAGAGATGGGAGAGGAAGACTATGTTTGGCTGACAACTAAGTCTACGTGTAGAATTGAACTCAAGATCAAATCAGGATGTGGTTTGAAGCTCAGCGCTAGAGGGCAAGGATTCTTTACTACTTTTTTTTTTTCCAGAGGAGAAAGCAACAAAACCCCTTGACACGTGAACTAAAGTAAACTAAATCAAACCTGACTGACCCATAGCCCGCCCACATCATGTGAAAAGGAGAGCTGCTGCCTCTCACTATCCAGTAGATATGCAGTTATATCCATATGGAGATAACAGTGGACCTACCCATGTCTATCTACTTTGCTACACACACAGTTAAGGGGACACAAAGCACAGATGTATGGAAAGGCGTAGTCTCTTCCCTAAGATCACTGGAAATCACCACTGGTTTGACTGGGCCAAGTTCAAGGCCCTGGAGATGGTGCCATCCACACTTTAAAACAGTTTTTCTTCTGTTCATTAGTGTATATAATAAAGAAGAAACAGTCAGCACTTCAGAGCACAGGGGTCAAGGGAAGCTGTGCTTAGAACATTATTGTGGATAATATATTCTTTACAGGCCTTTGCTTGTTTCTTTCAGAGAAGTCTATCAATGCTTCCATACCCTGAGTTAGCACTTGAATCCCATTAAACACTCACCTTTTTATTAAATAGAGGAGGTTTCCAGAAGAACCACCTGATCACACAGAGTGGGAATAAGAGAATTAGTACAACATTGTCATAGCAGGGAAAAAAAAAATCAAACCAGAAAAATAACCAAAACCCAAAGTGCAAACCCCAACTTTACTGCACATTTCCAAAAATGTAGAAGCATTAAAAATAAAAATGGAACAAGAAGTAATCTCTGTAATCGTTTTAGGTGCTGGCATTAAGAACTTAAGCTAAATCCAGGGACTTGCTGCCTCTTACCTGAGCCTCACACTTCTGGTTGTATTAAATCAAATACTTTTAAGTGCTAGGTTGTTTTGATCTGGCTTTTAATCCAGATCTGGCAGCTTCTTCCCATCTGTTGAACATAGTAGTCTCTTGTAAACCAGCCAACCTGACTTGTCAACAGTCATTCTACTTTTAACTTTCCCTATAAATTGCAAAGGGAACTGTTCTCACTCTTCTGAGAGTAAGCGTCTCACAGCTATACCACACTGGGACTGATTCAAGTCCTAAACATAGACACCAAGTGCCATTTTTGACATCCCAGACTACCCAAGACACCTGCAGCAGGCCTGGCAGATACATCATAGGATGCATGAGAGGTTGTGCTCTTCTGGAAAGATAGCTGTAGATGGGAAAGCTACTGTAAAGCACCTAAATAGCTGTAGACATCAACATTTGCGTTTCTGCATTGCTCTCCTCACAAGTGTTGGACTTAAAAAAAGTAGTATTAGACCAGCTGCACTCCTCCCAAGAAGCTGTGCATTTCAATGGATTGGATGCAAATCTTTCCTGCTTGAGGAAAAGAGCTGGCTACACCTAAGCATCTGTGAGCATCGATAATCTTTCATTTATGTTTTGAATGAGAAAGGCATTCCTGTTTAGTAAAGTTTTTATGCATTAAACTTAGCAGCAGGTCTTTAAAGGCTGTGCATATACATCCCCAGCACACAAATCAAACTCCATCACCTGCTGTATAACTGTTAGCAAACAAGGAGCCAAAAAAGAATTTAGGCTTTGTTCAAGATGAGACGAAGGCTGTGATTACAAGAAGCTCACCACACAGCAGTGTAGAGAAGCATAAACTTCAGAGAAGCAGGCCCTACAAGTAGTACTTGCTTTTATTTTGTAGTATTATCACTCTCTCCTCTTTTCTCACTCCTTCTCCTCTTGTATTACGCTCCCTCTATTCTCAGCTCAGCTCTTCCCTGGTCTCTCTCTTCTTTTTTCTGCATTGTGCTTCTGAAGCTTGCTTTGAGCAGCAAATTCTGTCCTCCCCGCAGCTCTTGGGAGGAAACTTGTGGACAGAACATCATTAAATCCCTGCTGGATTGGTATGGGGGAAAGATCTAAGAGATAAACCCCTAAGGTAGCAATAATACACTTTGCATTTTAATAGTGGTGCCTTTGTTATTATCACTCACAGTGACGCCAACCACATATATCAAGGAATCCTTTATGTTTTATATAATCCAGTTCTTCCAAGCTAAAAATTAATATATCTGTCTGCTGTTTCTTTCCTGAGGGTTGCTGATTAAAAAATCCAACCCTTCTGTTGAGAAGTTCTTTTCAGTAGGAAAAAAGCCCCACAAAATCCTTAGAAAATATGGCTTGGAACTACCAGCAGTTTATTTTTTTCTGTTTAATAGCCCTTCTTTCAGCTAGAGTTGAACACCCCCTCTGAAAGCCATTCTATCACATGGCTCCCTGGACTGGGGCTGCAGTTCTAGCACAAATAAACTAGTGGGACCTCTAGAAATTAAAAATGTATTTACAAAAAAAAACCCAATAAGCTGTTTTTGGGTATATATTAACTCCACAAGCATAGTAGTTATAGGCAGCTCTGTGGAAAGCACTAGCACAGTTACAAATCAAAACATCTAGAAAATGAAGGGGTTTTTAGAAAACAGTTTTCATGGGTAAATTGGGTCTTTAAGGAAGCTTTTGTGATACAGGATGCAATCTGTGATAAAAACATTCAAGATACAAAAAGAGATGAGGTAGAACAGTTATTCTTATTCTTTTGAATGCCCTGGAAGCTCTCCCTGGATCTCTCCTGCCCTCCTATTTGTTGCTTTCCAAATATTTTCACACCAGTGGGGTTTTTTAGCTTTGGTTGAGGAATCAAGGTTGGGTTTCCTTCTGCTTGTGAGCAACTCTGAATTTCATAAACCTTGGAATACTTGAGCTGCACTGCTATATTTTCTTGTACTTAAACCTTGCATGGCTGACAAGGAGTGGCACTAAAGTGTCCTGAAAGAGCTGGGGTCCGGACAGCACCAAAAGTGCTGCGTGGACAAGAAGGCTTATTGACTTCCAATCTTTTGCTCCCTTATGTTGTAAAAGCAATTGGAAATATAATGGTGCAAAGAAAAAAGTATCTGGTGTTCCCCAAATGAACTTCAGATGGGCTAGAATTTCCAGAACAGATGAAGAAAAAAAAAAAAAGAATTATTATTTCTTAACCAGTTTTGAAGCCAGTGTGAGATAATTGGTGGTTGATGGCTCAGGGACCCATAGAGCATGTTAAAAAGGACTACTTTTTCTGGTCAAAGGCAAGAATCCCAAAGAGACAGATGAAACTGAAAATGGCAAAGGAACATAAAATGCTCATGCTTTGAAATAGCCTAGATTATCGAATTGTGCACTTCTGGAAAGGTTACATTATCTCACGCAAAACATGGATGACAATTGCAAGATCGTGCTGTAATTATTTAGAAATTCTGAGGGTATTTTTTTCCCCAAGTTTATCTAACCAATTCCACTGTCAGGATGTTTCTATCAAAACAAGGGATCTTCAGCAAGTGCTGGAGAACATTTAGAAGAACTTTCTAACTCCACACCTGAGCATTCATGCCAAGCCCTCACATCTGGAGATCCCACTCACCCAGTCAAAAACAGAAATGGCACATGGCTTATCAACCTGTGTAAAGCTGCTGGAAGGAAACACAACAAAACCACATTGAAAGTAGTGAACCAATAAAAATTATCTGCAGAAAACTGTTCAGCTAGTCACTCTGAAGGAAAACACCAGTTAGGACAGTGAGGTGCTTGTCATGCAACCACAAGCTGTACTTCCACAGTAGCGGCAGAATAGAACAGATTTGTTACGAATTATTAACTTATATTTCATATACCACACATTTTGTGGGATGCCTAGTGAGCAAAACTGGTCACCCAAAATGAATGTCAGCAGTTCTGATACGAGTATATTCACAGTCCATGGTTAACATACTGAGCTAAGGGGCACCCTCCCTGGTCCTGCCCCTCAGACAGATGCAGAGAAGGGAAGGGTCCACCATCTCCAGAGGATAATGGGATTTCTTAAGAAAGGGAAGGTAGAAATCCCACTAGCACAGAGGTTGGGGGAGCCTTTCTCCAGAGTGAAGATGCATGTCCTGAGAAGGTCAGTGGGGAATGTCCCTCTGTGCTGAGGTCTGACACAGTGCCATCCCTGGGCTCTAGCTCTTGGCTGCACATCTTGCCCAACAGATCATCCTCTCTAGTGACTCATCTTCTCATTGCATACATGTGGGGCTGGGAAGCATCATTTTTCAGAGGAAGGTTTAGTTGTCCTAAATGGGCTTAAGTCATGCTGGTGGCCAACATTTTACTTTATTGCCACTGAGAGCAGCTATTTAAATCCTTCCATTCAGGGAAACTATTAAACCGAATGAGGCAATAAAAGTGACCCTTTACAGTGTAGTGTCAGAGCGATGATTCAGAGAAGATACCGAGGGAAGACATTCTGAGATTTTTCTCTCACTTGTAATTTTTTCCCTTTTTAAAATTCCCTTCTCAATTTTCTTCAGAGTCTTTTGCCCTGTCATAGGCTCACCTCTTTTTATATCCTGCGGGTGTCTGTAGTGTAAGTGGAAAGGAGACATGTGGAGAGAAAAATGAACGATGCACACAGTGAGAGATCATTCAAAAAAAAAAAAAATCTATGAGGTAATTGGGAAAAGGAGGTGCAGGAAATAACACCCCCATTAATGTAAAGAGAACAGAACAAGGTAATTAGGCTATCAGGTACTGTGAGGAACTGGATAGAAATGAGAAGAACCACTGACACCTAGTCATCCATGACCATCTAGTTTGGCCCTTTTTTTTATTTTCTCATCACAAAGCACACCGGTGGGACTGCAAGAGCCACCAACTTTATCGCCCTGCATTTTACAGGCAAAAAAGTCAGAAACACCTGATTGATGACAACAAATGCATTTTAAAACGCTTTCACAGAAGACTCAAAGCCTCAGGAGCATCATGTGTGCCACAGAAAGGAGGAAGGCATATGAGAGGCATTGCCAGTGCCATTGGTGCTGGCACCAGAAGGCAATTTTTAGGGTGAAAATGCCCACCTGAGCCTGGAAGTGATTCTTGCATCATGCTACCTGTCTGTGCAATTTCTTCTGTCTGGTAAAATCAGGGAATCATTAGAGTTGGAAGGGACCTCTGAAGATCATTCAGTCCAACCCCCCTGCCAAGGCAGGGTCACCTAGAGCAGGTTACACGGGAACTTGTCCAGGCTGGTTTTGAATGTCTCCAGGAAGGGAGACTTCCACGATCTCCCTGGGCAACCTGTTGCAGTGCTCTGCCACCTTCATTGCAAAAAAGTTCTTCCTCATGTTGAGGTGGAACTTCATGTGTTTTAGTTTGTGGCCATTACTCCTTATCCTGTCACTGGACACCACTGAGAAGAGTCTGGCACCATCCTCTTGATGCATGACTTTGAGATATTTATATGTGTCTCTTTGTTGAAGGTAGGTGCTGAGGCAGAGCCTTTCTGATCCTAAATCTTGCAGGAAAATTCCAAAGATTTAACAAGTTTCTAAGTAGCTCTAGGGGCAGCAGTGCTCCTCACTTGCAGCCAACATGAATCATTTGTTGGAGAGGAAGAGCATCCCATAAAGCCAAATTATCTACCCGAGGAGAATAAATTTTCCCAAGTTGCTGCAGCCAGGTTTCTGAAGCATGAAAATTAATTAAATACAATGGAAACACAAAGGGATAATCACAGCATAATCAAGTGTCTTTTAAACCTGCTGTTGGGAATATCACTTAATCCAAGACACAAAAGCTAACATCCTAAACCTCAGTTTCTAAGGAAGATTACTGTCACGCCTTCACACAACCTCTTTGACAAATTTAATCCAAATCTGTCTTGAAACAACTCAGAGTTTCCTGTTTGCCCTCATTCCTCTGCTTTGAGGGTTACCCTAGGTTTTTGCTCCTTGTTAGTAATTTTTTTTTTTAATTTCCTCTCCAAACAGAGGTAGGATTAATGAAAACCCATGTGCTTGTACCAGAACTATCCTTCAGTTCAAACCACTCTTCCCACTCTGCGGTGTTTATAGCTCAAAGGGATTCAAAACCATAACACCTTTTAATTTTTGCTTTGCTCAAATGCCAGGGTGTCTTCAGAAGTCTCCATTGACCTAATTCTCTCCAAAGCCCTTTTCTGTATCTATACCCACCAAAGTCAGCCCTCCCTATACAAAAGGGGCCCAAATTCTGAGTTCTTATCGGTGACTTATATGAGGAAGGACTGTCTCCCTGTCTCTAGAGAAATGCTGTGTGTGATGCATCTTGCAACCTCCTTGGCCTCTTTCCAGTTGATCCTGCACTCCTGATGGTTTCTTGGAATTTCCCCTTGGACCCAAGTGCCTCTGTCCCTCCACCACCTCTGGCTGATGAGCCACTAGTTTGCAGGCAAATCTCATCACTAGTTCTGTCACAGATGTTTTGTACAATTACATTTGCTGCAATTCCTGTCACTGCTGTTCCCAAGCTCGTCTAAATTATTCCTGGGTAAGGATGTGTCCTGCTCTAGGATAGTTAATACTTTGCAGTTTTGAATCATTCACAGAAGCCATCAAGCATGTACCCTGGTCTTTGCTCTAAGGTCACCACTCCAAATGTTAAGCTGCATTAGCCTCAGGAGAGATGCACAAGGGACACAGATTCTCTCTCAAAGCCACTGCTCTTCCCTGCTTAGCTGTTTCCTTAGTTCTAGGTAAGTCAGGTCTTCTGTGTATTTATATGCATATATATATATATGTCAATGTTTTTTCATAGAAAGAAGATGTTATGCCAACCTCACAAAAAAAATTAATTAAACCCCTCCCTGCTCAGAGCCAGAAGAAAAGATGCTGAGTTAAATAAGTTCTGTTCTCTATGTTTTCCATAAGAAGTGCATGCAATTAGGAAGGGATTTCTCTTTGTTTCTGAAAGATGTTCGTTAATGCAGCATCAAGTATCAGCAGTAACAATGTCAAAAAAAGAAATCAACAAACAACAACAAAAAGTGAAAAAAATTAACATACCATTTTGGGAAATGTTCTGTAAGTCTCTGTGATTACAGCGATTTCTCTTGCGTAAACGTAGATACAGAGAGTCTGTCCAGCCTCTGAAATAAATTGAGAAAATGCAAACTGCTAAACTCATATGATATTGATGAAAATACGGCTGATATTAATAATGAAGTATGTTCTTGTCTCTAAACAACTCAGTACCCCAGTTACGTCTATACTTCTATTTCACCATCTGTCTTTTTTTGTGGTCATAAAGCTTTTTAATCTTGAACAGGGTTGCCTAAAACAAAGCCAAGATATCTTCTCAGAAACTATAAATTGATTTTTATATATATAAATATATATTTATATATATATAAAGAATATAAATTCTTTGACATTGTTCCATCTAGGAACAATGCTTTTATCCTGGTCTTTCAGATAATGTGTATAAAAGCCTTTTTATTATACATCATTTATCAAAACAATACTGTTGATTGTTCACAAATTGACTTTTCAATTGGCTGTTATGGAACAGTAAGTAAAAGAGAAGAAATATTGGCAGAGAAATCATTTCCCAACAACATAAATCTTGGACAGATTAATCTGAAAGCAGGTTATGCTTGATTGTGATTAGTTCTCTCCTTTACTTTGTACTGTTGAGAAAAACCAAAAAGCAAGTGAAAAGAATAGCAGCCCAAAGGTTGATAAGAAGACCAAGCTCCCAGTCACAAGTACCTGGTCGTCTCTATCTGGGCTGCTGATTTTCTGTTTGAACCGAGAAACCAAAGGAATCAGATAAATATCACGGCTTAAGAACAACAAACTTGCATGAAGGCAAAGATACAGAAGACAATCATTAGTTTTAAACTGGCAACAAGAAGTAACTACCTGCATAGAAAAACATCAGCCAATCACCATGCAATGGGCCATACAAGAAATGCTCAACCTCTTTGTTTTTCAGCAGAGAAGGTGGGCAGAGGAAGAGGAGCAAACACACCTTCTCATTCAGAGGATATTAGTTAAAAAGTGGTATCCCTGTTCGCCTATCAGGGGGTGGGAAAGATGGACACACACCACACCAGTTTGTATCTCTGCTTGGGCAGACTTGAAGTAACTGGCATCCTCCCACTGCACATTGCCAGCCAGGCTCCACCACACTTATTCTGGTGTGGGATTTTGAACTACTTCTCTTAAAGATACCTTGAAGCCCCAGACAGTTGTTTGATTTTTATTTCTTCCAGGAGTGAAAGAGATTAAAAACTGAACATTGGACCAAGGCTTGTCACTGACAGCTTCAGGGTCACTTCTAATCTCTGATCATTTGTGAACTTCAGATTCTTTGGAGCCCAGACAAATGCTGTGTATTGAGTGGCTGGACATTGTAATAGATTTTTAAAGGTCAGTTTTGCTATGGCTCTGATAGAGGAGGCTGCACAGATGTTCCCCGTTGGTTTGTTGAGTACTAAAGCCTCTTAAAGCAGACACTGTGTGAACGTAGCTGAGGCTGGGAGCCTGGATTTTTTACAGGGAGAAAAAAGGAAGCAAAAAGTGTGTGGTGCAACAGATATTTTTCCTGGAAAAGAATATAATTCTGCCAACTTTTTAATTCTGTTGGTAGAAACCCTGTTTAAGCTTTACTCATGCTTGGTTTGGCATTCAACTGTATTCCTGACCTATCTTACAGATATAAAATAAAAATTGTTTGAAATTCAGGTCCAACCAGATACTGCTGATGATTGTATCCTACAGTTCTGGCAGGATTCAAAGGCCTCTCTTAATGCTGACCAGACAGATGATTAATAAAATTATGATTTTTTTAACTTCACAGTTAAAACTGCCGGCACTTCAAGTGTTTGGATTTTATTTTCCTTCCTTTTTGGCAGAGACTTCTTTTTTTTCCCATCTATCCCTTCATCCTTCCCCATCCACATGAGCCAAAGTAACACAGCAAATTAGGTCACAGACTCTTCCAAATTCTCCTTTTGCTATTTCCCTCTAAATGTGTTAAAAAACAAAGGGGGTGGGGTGGGGAATAGAGAAAGATTTCCCCCTAAAAGGGAACACCATGAAATAATCCTGGGGTTACCATTAATTCCACTGTTTCAGCAGCAAAAAGGAAACATGAGGAAGAGGAAAAGATTAAGAAAAGAAAAAGGCAATGCTGATTTTTGTTAGTTTCAGCAATGCTTCCCTTCTCCCTTACCTAGAATTTTGTAAAAAACGAGATTTTCTCCTTCTAAATTTCAATTTGACCAGTTCTAAAACCTACCCCAAATTTCAGGAAGACCTGGTTATATACTTAAAAGATTTTTTAAAAACCCTAAATCCAGTATCAGTCTTGATTTCAGAAAGAGCAGAAGCAGAGCTGAACAGATTTTTTATCCTTCCTTTAAAGCACTGTCTTGTGGGTTTTTTTCCTTGCTGTGCTTTGAGGGACCTTGAGACTTGCTGTGACTTGGCCACCCTCCCTGTCGGTTGTCTTACCCGATGGTGGAATTCAGAAATCCAGTGATCTCTGAGAACTGGGGCCAGTCAAGCTCGTCGCTGAAAGCCATTGGGAGATTAGCAAATGATTTCTGAAAGAGAAGTTCTTAAATCAACAGAGTTTCACCCTCGCAGACAAAAAAATCCTTTTAGCAAATTTGAACACTTCTTAGTCGGAGCTTTAGCCAGACAGCAGCAATTGTAAATACAGCCAATAGCGGGAATTATGTACGCATATACTTAAAAAGTTGACTCTTGTAAGGCAGGCATATCAAAAGATGGAGGAAGGAGAAGCAGAAGAGATATCTGAATTGCAACTTCTGGCACCCTTTAATTCTGGAGGAGTCCAAAACTCCTCCTGATATGGAGCACGCAGTGCAGGTGCAGACCACCAAGGCAGCAGTTCTTTGCTCCAGCATCCATCCTGTTCAAAGGTGGGTCAGCCTCGGGCACAAGAAGAGATGACAGTGTGATGTCCCCAGAGCATACAGCAGAAGTATAATGTCAAATTCACTCAAAGCTCCCCTGTTCTCTCCAGCAGAATGAGCTGCAAGCATCCGATCCCCTAAAAACCTCTGCCTGGTCCTCAGTGCAAATTTTAGAGATGTCACTAAAGCAACAGAGTCAGAAAGGCCCCTGAGCATGACAGGGACCAGGGAGAAAAACACATCATGTGACATAACCTTCCTGGGAGATACATACATCCTTTTACCCTCCTCTGCTTTTGCTGATATTAGTCCCTAACACTTTTTAAAAGTGACTGCCTCTATGAAAACCTCCCTACAGATGCAAGCCATGTTGCACATTCAAAACACATTGCCCTCTTCCTTTCCACTTTGATTTCTGAATGTCCCCCAAAATCATGAAAGGTTAGAAAAATAGCCTTGATAAATTGTGCCACCCAAGAAGGATGAGAACATGGAGTAAATCTCCAGCATCTCCTAGTCTGGGATATGCTTGCAAAGACAAAAGTATAAATCCAGTGTGCTCATATGGGAAAAACTGCTGATGAAAAAGATAATAACCAAAAGAAGGTCAAAACATAATATCAGAGAACTTACAGGCTAGTTTAATCCATAAAATTTATTAGCTTCATTTTCTCTCCAAGTAATTGTGGGGTTTCCTTAAGACCTCAGTGCTATAACAACAAGCAGGTGGGTAATTCTTTATCCTGGAGGGTCAGAGGTAACTGAGCAGCCACAGAAGACCTATATCTTATGGTCCCTACCAAGTTCTCATTCCCAGAAAATTATTGTTAAGGCAAATGGGAGCTATACTAGGGTTGAGTATATGTCTGTGGATTTTGACTGTAAGAGGATGGAGGGAGATGCAGGGAAAGAGGAGGAAAGGTGAATAAAGGGGGGCTATGGAGGAAGAAATCCTGAAGCCAAGCTCTGAGCAGTCTAATGCACAGCAGATGCCAGTTTAAAGCATGTAACAGCACATTTGACCTACTTACAGTATATCTGCATTAGATACCAAGGTGAAAATGGGCATGTCTTAATTATCTTTCTGTTTGTTCTCTCTTTCTCTCTCTCTCACATATATATGTGTCCTTTAGTGTATCTGTATATACATACATACATAAAAATTATTAGTTTTTTTAGAGGTGGAGGGAACCTTCAAATCTGCCTTCTTCAAATGTGTTTTGTGTGCAAACAACCACTTAATCCAAGGGCACAGCTGTGAGTAGAAGTGGAGGGATACATTATGGCTTAGCCATTTACAATATTTCCCTCCTCATAGTTTTGCACTAAAGATGACAGAAATAGTCACTTAGCACAGAAAAAAACCCTCCATATATGATCTCTTATAAGCCACAGCATATGAGAGATATATCAGCATATCGTATAAAAAGAGGTAAAAATTACTAAATTTTTTTTTTTTTAAATCCTATGATTAATTTTCTCATTATTTCCTGTTGGCACTCTAAAACAATATCTTCATTGGACAAGTCCCAATAACTTTTCACTGTTTGGCTTATTTTTTCCCCCGCAAACTTAGTTCAAACATGAATTAGCCAGAACCTAATTGAGTTGCAAATTGGTTTGGAAAGGAACATTTGAGCTCAAAATTATAGTTGCATTTGAAAACTGTATATACATTTAGCATTGACACTGTTCCAACAAAGCACTTAAGGCCAGACTTTTGAAGATATTTCAGTTCCAAAGGGTGGAGACGAGTAGTTAATGGAAATTTCAGAATGCTGGACCTTAAACTCTGCAGCAATGTAGTTTGGAAAGTACAGTCTAACAGACTGTGTTTCTCTTAGTCTCAGATGCAAATGTGTCCTACTCTGGAGGTTAAACTATGTTGACCTTTAGCATAAAACTCTTTTGAGCGCAGACTTGTCTAAATATCATTCTCTAGACTATTCTGGCTGAGAAACCTACTTCAGCCTACGCATCAGATTTTAGCAGAGAATCAGTGGAAAGTTATTCCAGCCTAGCTTCAAATGCCATATTTTAGCCTCAAATGCTCTAGATGGGTCTCATTTCAATGAATATCCTCACATCCTAGATGTGTCCTGCCTTGAAATATGGGGCAGCCAAAGCCATGGTTGATGCTAAAGGCACAAACGCCAAGCTGTGCTTAAACAGAAGAAGGTTAGGGTTGCTATGGCAAGGGATTTTCAAAATCAGAACACAAAAGGGCACTAGAAACTTCACACTTATAGAAGTTTGTAGAAATGTCAGTCCTGGAAATTCTGAAATCTTTGAAACATCCCTTAATATTGTTCAAGTCCTTGTGAAAGTATTAAGTACCACAGACAACTTTCTTATTCTGAATATACAAATAAGCAAACCTTAACCCTCATGAGAAAAGCACAATATATTTTTTTAAAAGCACAAATAGTATTTCTATTCTGTAAAGCTACAAGGGGCAGAGGTTTGAAATTAGCAAAATTATTACCTTATTTCTCACAAAATGTGGCATCGTAGTCATCACAATACTATCTGGGAGAAACTTGCCTGCATTTCATTGGATTTAAAGGGAAGCTAGACAATGTTTTTAATAAGAATTTCACATGCCAAACTCTTGTTTTTCCTTGTTTCAGTGGAACAAGGATTCAAGACATCCTGAATCCATATTTAAAGAAATTATGAATTCTGCTAATAGGAAGTAAATACTTCCTATAATAAATATATAAATATAATAGTAAATACTACGAAACAGTTACTTTAATGAAACCTGAGAACCCCTGAGTTTTTGGGCAAATAGATATTCACTGGACTGCGGATAAATGCAGGATTTATTTTTCTCTTTATTCAGCATGAAACAGAGATCCAACAGTTTTAAAATTCCTCTTTCTAGAAAGGGTATTACTTCCAGCACATTTATAAATATATAGTGGTTTTATCGCAAAATAAAATTGTCTCTAAAATGAGAAATAAAAGTTGTTTCTATTCCAAACCTATAACAGAAAAATGCTGCATTTAGTAGCTATTTGGAAGTCAATTGCAAGCAGATGGACAGAGCAGCAGGAGCACAATATCCATTGCTAGACACACCAGTGTTTTCAATATTAGCTTTCCACAGAAACCATCCACCTCCAAAAAAACCTCACCGGTATTTCTTCTGCTTTACTAAACCTCATAAAGTGCGTGTCTACTGCATTACACGTCATTTTTTAGTGTACAAATTTTCAGGTCAAAGGAATGAACATTCAGCTCAGTTCTTGTTGAACCTTTTAAGTCTGGCAAACCCAGAAGCTATTGACACGCAGAAAGCCAAAATAAAGTTGACTCATCCCCCTTCTTACAGCTGTATAATTCTCTTCCTGTAAGGTACCTGTGACTTTCCCTAGTGCTACATAGAGAAGGGTGAGGAAGTACTTTTGTTGGGTTTCTTGGTTTGTTTGTTTGTTTTAACTGGGGAAATAACATGCCTGAGCTACAGCTTCCAAAGATGTGTCCACCTTATAATGGATATTTTCCACACCGAGTAATGTCTCCATATGCTCTTTGTGGGACGAACGTCCTCTGAGAGGTATGATAACTGCATATGTGCCTGGCTCCTAGTTAAAGGCTTTGGAAATATCACTGATATTTCCATATAAATATATGGAAATATAAACACAACTCCCCACTCTGATATAATGCATGCTTAAGCTTGGTGAAAGACAAAATGGGTGCCTGTAGCTGCATCGTTGTGTTTCCCCCCCTCAAACCAGCCTCCTTGGTGGATGTAGGAACATGATTCAGGTCTCCACATTTGGTCAGGCGAAAGAAAACAGAAAGACCAGGAAGGCGCCAGAGGACTTGGTATGGGAAAAGTGAATGATGCAACCTGATGCATTCCATGACATGGGACATATAACTAAAGCTTGCCCTCTGCACTGGATTACACTGGGGGTCATTACCCTGAGAGGCCATTGCTAGGAAGGCAGTAAATTCCTAATTAGACCAGGAAGTCCAAAATCCAGTATACAACGTCTTCCCAACAATGCTCTTCAATTCAGTGGCATGGGCATACGAATTCCAAAGCTCATTCAGCCCAAATGCTCATCTCATCACTCCTGTGTTAATCATCCAGCTACCCAAACAACATCCTGAGCCTGCTTCAGTGAGGAAATTTCTCATTCACATTCTCTTTCTTCCCTTACTCATCAAAACTAGTCCTTTGCACGGTAGACTCGTGCAGCATAATCGGGGAAAACCACCATTCTGCAGAGCCTCTTAATGAAATTTTCAGCATCTCTTCTGAAAAATTATTTCTGCACGTAATTAGCTTTAAAACTGGAATTCACAGCTGCCACTGATGTGGTGTTGATTAACAGATGGGGCCACAGCATTGTTACCAAGTGTAAATTTCACTTTATACTTGTATATGTAAACACTTGTATATGTAAAAATGTAAAAGGATAAATATAAATAAGAAATATGTGAAATGTATAAAGCATATAAAACGGATATGTAATAATATAGAAAAACATTAAAGTAATGAAAGAGTACACTTAATAAATCTGAATTAACAGGCGCACAACCTTTTCCCTGTACACATAACAAAAAAAACATGTACAGGGCAGGGGTGAGGAAGCCCTATTTGGAATTCCACGAAGAGGTTTAAGATTCTATTGAAATGGAAATTAAAGCTTTGAACTGACTATAGTATTGACTGTAGATATAACCATTTGGTAAACTAATATTTTTATGTGTATTATCAAAGAAATTTGGACAGAATCAAAGTGAATGTCTTGGGTTTGACAGTACAGGGGAACAACAGGCGCACAAAGCTGGTGTCTTCTCCTTTCTTCTCCAAGCCCTAACTTCATATTCTTTCTATGATCTCAAGTTAAAGATATTTTCTGTGAGATTAGTACACAGACTCTCTGCATTGTCTATGGTCACAAACCCATCCCTGGATGTGCTTAGAAAATCTCCTTGAGGAAAGCTTTTCATTGAAAAAGCATTGAAGCCAGTTAATTTGTTAATTAAACCTACATTTGCCAGTGGCATTTAATACAACACATCAAGAGACGACAGTATTGCACGTTCACAACCCCAAGGCAGTTGAATTGCTGCTATTGACATTCTAGACAGAGAAAGCAAGACAGAGACAACAGGCAAGAGGAAGAGGCAGTGATAAAGTCTGAATTAGCTCCGAAATGTTTTTGCTAGCACTTTTGTGCTCAAGTGTCAACTTTCTTATCCAAGGTGAGCTCCAAATTAAATAACATTTTACTTCTGCTAGAGTTTAATCACAGGTAATAGTTTCTTAATATGACTGAGCTCTCTGTATCTCTGCACTAATATTTAACTGCTGCATTTTTGCCAGATTGGGAGGAAAGCTTGCAAATAGTCCTAGAAAAGAATCTCTTCCTTCCTACCCCAGACCCTCTGTACCACATACACCATGGTGGCTGTGCAGTGCACTGCTGTAGAGCTCAGCCAGCTGTAGGAGGGCTGCATCTCCTGAAAGGGGATTAAGTCAGCCTTGCTTTGCCCTGGGTAGCTGTAACTGACTTTCCCAAGTTCCTCTATGCTACCAGTAAGTATACTGTGTCATACCCACGTCAGAGGTCTGTTTCACACTGCCCCCCTCAGGGTACCCAGCCTCTGAAGGTACACAAGGATATCTATACCATCCTCCTTCACCTTTCTCTACTAGCTCCAGTAAGTGGTATTTTAATGCATCCCTTTCTTACTGGACTCAGAACATATACCACAAGAGACATGTGGGACTGGCTCAAGGCAGCACTGGGTCTGCATGTGAAATCCAGGCTTCTTTTTTTACTCTACTCATACACTGTATTTACCTTCTCCAATTCCAGTGATGTGTTAACTTCCTTTTATTTTATATGCTGTCAGTGGAGTGACTACAAAAGACCAGTGAGGGAACACATCTCTCTTAGCCCTCCCTGCCCCAGTGCAGGGCACTAGCTCTAACCTGGAGGCACCCTTTCTGCAAAGGAAAGTAATCCACTTCTCCTTTTCCAACCAGTCCTCCACTTTTCCCACACTCTGGTCAGATGGAGCTGATTACTGGAAGTGTATATTTTTTGGGCCTTACACAGAGAGCACGAGTTCCTTTCCCATGCAAATTGTTCTACACCCATCAGACAATAACAAGGAGCCACCAAAACTCACTTTGTAATCTACACTCCAGCTCCCAGCCTTGAAGCTTCTACCTCGGCATGCCATTAACAGCCCTTGACCCATCCAGCTAGCGGACCAGCAAGCTTCAAGCAAGAGAAATGCTTTCTAAATTTTCATTACAGTGATAATATAATGCTCACATAGTCTAAAAGTCTTCTTGCCTACATGGCTCTGCTGCCAGCATTACTTCCAGAATCATCATCACCATCAGTATTATTATCATCTTCATTAGACGAGATAATCTCAGTTATCATTAGTTCTAATTTATTATGTTCCTCATCAGCTCTGTCATCAGTGTCATTTGTCTAATAGTTACTTATAAGCATTTAACAGAAAAAAACAACTCTTAATCTGCAACATTTAAATCAGCCCTGAGATCAAAAGTGAAAAAAATACGTGAAACTCTCAGACCTCCCACAGCACTGTAACTACCAACATTTTGGAATAAGAATTGTTCTCCAGAAAATATCCATACCCTTCTACAGAGGCCAGTGGAGGAGTAGCAGGTTTTCACCAGGAAAGGTGGGCAGTGATGATCTATCCGATCACCCCGGTACAGCAGACCCTTGTGCAGAGAAGGACAAGGCACAGTCCTCCCTGACTAGGGAGTGACAATATTTTGGGATAGGAAACAACAGTGAAGGCCAGGAGCACACCTGCACTTTTATCTCCACCCCACAATTGCAGTTTGCTGGAATGATCCTTTCCTCTCAATTATTTCATTATATGCCAGTGAACTGCAACAGACCAGGCTCAGCATAATTCACAGTCAGCTGCATTTTGTTGTTGTTTGAAAATGGGAAATGCTGGGATACTACCCAAAGATAGACATCAGTGTGTCAGTGATCTTTTACGGTCACAGAAACTCTTCCCTTAAGGGCAAGTCTATTATAAATCCTTGGATGACCCTCAAATAGCTGCAGATGTATTTGTTCAACAAGCCTCAAAGCCTGAACACTGGAGTTAACAGACCTATTTCATATATGCCACAGATGAGGGAAAACAACCCAGGGCACGTCATTTCAAAGCCAGATGCCTAAAACAAAAGTTCCCAGACTGTCAGCAGGGTCACTTCTGCAACACTCACACAGCAAGGAGCCATACCGACAAGCCTGCTAATGGCAGGACTGATCTCACAGACAGCACAGGTCTCCTTGAGCCGCAGGCACGTGCGTGGAAAGCCAGATGTCCTGGTTTGTGTTTCTGGCACAGCACGGGGCCACTGCAGCCAAATTCTTCCCTGACCCAATTGCACAGATGTCGGAGGAGCAGCAGTAGCACAGGGCTGCTTTTTTATCTTCGTAAGAGCAGATGCAGGAGGGGACGGATACACGTGAAACCATAACTGTAAATTCCAGTGCAATGAAGCATTTTGCACTTGTTTCCCATTGGCAACCTGTAGCACAGAGGAGAAAGCAAATGGCAACCAGTGGAGCAGTGTTTTTGGCAACCTGAATGTGATTCCTCACCGCTGACATCTCCGTGACGGTCATCCACTCGGGAGGGATGTGGAAGTGAGCGCCGGCCGAGTCTCCCAACAGCACAACCCCTCGTGAGCCTGCACCTAATCAATGCCTTTGGTTAGTCACATGAGCAGAAAGAGCAAACTGAAAAACTGAGCATGGAAAGCAATGCTTAAAGAGGAACAGCCGTGGCAGCTGAGGGAGTCACAGGGTGACTGGCTATACCGCTCTTCATGAGGCTTAAACGTTCAGACCCTGAAAGAGGATTTTCACTCCATCTGCAGCAAAAAATGTCTAGCAGGCATTTGCCACCAATCCTAGAGAAACAACTGGGAACTGGGCATGAAAAACAGGAAGAGGTCTTGCTAATCAGAAAAAATCCTAGTTATATTCAAATTGCATGTTATTTCAGCAGAGGTTTTGCTGTGCAGCCAATGTTTATTTTAACTATCCATAGAGTATGCATTAAAAAGTACTTAAACATTTAGGGAAATCGGATTACTCAGAAAATTGCTCAAAGCTCCTTATAACAGAACTGGGTGGTGGATGTGCTACTCGTACGAGTATTTCTGTTAGAACAATCTGTCTGGTTTATAATTAATGCTACTTAGCATTTGTAGATTGCCTTTCATCTAAAAATATTGAGAAGTCTTGCCAGGCAATGGTTCATTCCCAGGATACTGATTTAAATGTAAGGTGAGGTGCGTGGCAACTGCAGTCAGGGCTGTTTTGTGAGGTTGTTATTTGTGTGGTGTACACAGAGGCACCCAAACCCACCTCGCAGTTGGGGAGATCATCTGATGCCATCACTTCACCTCTTTTGGAGATCAGTTCATGTCATCACTTCACCCCTGTAAGTCCTTCTCCAGAAAAGGATCAACATGTATTTATGGCAACGAGTCAAACTGGACAAATGCTGATGTTAAAATGCTCCCCTAAATCCCAAGGCCATCCGTTTGGGTTAGGCTTCAGGCTCCGCAGAAGACGCAGAGGGGATAACTGTTTGCTGCTGTCCCTGATCTATGTATTCAACTTTGTAACTGAGATGACTTTTAACAGGAGATTACCAGCAGCTGGTGTTTTCACATTTCTTCTTTGCTCATGCTCAGGATAAGGAAAAAACAACAATTTTGCCATTTTGCCTTTCTCATGACATTGTAAAGCTTGTTGAAATGCCTTTCCCCTGCATTGTCAATGACATTGTTTATTGTATTAACGCTAAAGATTTACCTTTGCAGAATTTCTCCTCATAGGGAATTCCATCTTTTGGATCCACACCCTGTTGGAGGGGAGAGATGATAGTAGCTATCTAGCACCTCAAGAATGGCAGTGCAAAACAGAGGCTGAGAATTTAGTTCTTGAATGCTTGCCTGTAGGAAGCACTGCATCATAATAATGATGCTTTCCATTATATTATTTTAATATGTACATTTAAATTAATTATAATAACCATAATTTAAATAATCATAAGCATCAATAAACAAACTTCACTCATAACTGCTTCTCCTGTTTGCTTAGTTTTTAATAAATGGTTCTATTATTTGAAATATCAAAGGCAGCAAATAAATAAGAGTAATCCAAATCAGTTAATAAACCAAAATAAATAGAAAAGAAACATTTGCAGACTAATTCAAAAGGAGGAAAAAAGAGAGGCAGCAATCAAGAAGGTGCAACTTACCCATATGCCATTGCAGTTAGAGTCACTTTTCACATCCCAGTTATCAGGACTAAAACAGAGTTACAAAAGGATAAGCAGTGTTACAGACAATAAAGCAAAAGGGGTTTTTAAGGAAATTGGATCCTTAGTGTCATTTTTTTGCTATAAAGAATAAGAAGTAATTAGAAATTCCTTTCTGCATGGAAGGGTGGGGGTTTTCCTCCTTTGAATCCAGAAGAGGCAATTTTTCCCAACAAAATGCAATATTAATTTAAAGTTAATCCTGGAAGTTGCTGAATGAAACTTACCCTTTCAGGCTGTATATGCACTTAGCTGAAGTGAGTGGGGGTGATTTTTGGAAAAGACAGGCCTTTTTCCCTGCCCTTTTAAGTGTTCACTGAAATCCACCAAGCCCCTCACTCCAAATTCAGTGCAGGGTAATGAGGATTTGCTCTGGCCCATAACACAGTATGATTAGTGCAGGCCTCTCTTGTAGGAAAACTTCATCTGTTCAGTCTCTGAATACCCGTCTATCCAGGTCTCTGTTAGCCCATTTCTGCTGATGTAGGTGTGCTGCCCAGGATGACGGCACATGATTCTTCCAAGGCCATACCCTTAATCTCAGTTTATCTAATCACAAACTGGTTAATGTCTAGTCTATAAAACCAGTCCCGGTCAACAACTTCTTAGCAAAACCGTGGTAGAAGAGAGCTCTCTTTTTGAAAAGGTTAAATAACAAAAGCAAGGGAGAAGGCCAGACCAATAAGACTGGCTGTGCTCCCTGTTCCAGGTGTGCATGAAAGTCCGTGCTCAGGCAGCTGGGAGGTGTGCATCCAGAAGGTACTCACTTAGAAGGGTACATATTTAGCCCTACATTTCCACCAACATACCACGAGGATTGGATGCTGGAGGTCAGCAGCCAGCCACGAGCACCACTGTTTTGCACTCCCACCCTGCTGCTCCCTAAAATAGGCACAGCCTGCGTTAGCTCAAGTGGATTAAGGTTTGAAAGCCTCCGCAGCATGGTTTCCCTCCCCACATTTGGTGTGTCTGACCAACTTTGGCTGCAGACACTTCAGAGAAAGGAAAGAAACCTGTGCACTACCCCTGCAAACACGTCCCGCCCCTGATCTTGATCATCCCCTCGTCTCTATCACAGTGAAATTAAGCAACAAACAACGACGTGCTATCATAGAGTATGGCCAAAATAAAATCTGGAGCTCATTCTTCATGAAGTCACAATCATTATGAAGCCTTTAAAATAATTAAAAGCTTTACCGTCTGCCAGGGTACACAGTGGTGTTTTTGTCATTGCAGTCTCTGCCTCGCCAGTGATACCCCCTCAGTGTCTGAAGGTCAGGAGAAGCACACAGATAGGACAGTCATTATTAGTCTTGCAGTTTTAATTTAAAATATCTAAAATGAGAATCTAACTCAAGGTGTAAGAATAAAACCCACTAAACAGGTTGTATTCCAGAGTCCCTTTGCTAAGCTTTAATAAATGACACCTTGCATGCTTTGATGCAGAAACAAGACAAGTTGGCAACTTTTTTTTTTTTTTTAGTATGACTTTGCTTCACCTCTTATTAATTCAGTAAACAAACCACTCAGCAGCAGAGCAATTTGCTTCTGCAGGGAGCACAGCTTTATGTGTGCATCTCCCCAGGTGGCATAAATGAATGATTGCTTTTTCATCCAAGAAAAATCTCCACATTTTGTGATAAAATCCCCTCCATTCACTTCATTCCTATACCTATTTTCACATGAATGGATAAAGCATTGCAGAAAGTAGGAGGAATCCCATAGACATCCACATTATCAAGGGATTAGTGTACCAAAGGAAAGGCTTTGCTTACTGGGAAAGTACTAAATTTATCTCCATCAAAATCTTCAAAAGGCAGTTTATTTCTTATAACACTGTAAAAAACAAAAACAACAATCATAGTGTTAACATATGGAAGGGAACCTATTCAGAAGGTAAAAAACACAGTGAAGCAGAATACAGAATAGATAATAACTGGCATGTCATTCACTGCTCCATATTCTGTTTTAGCTCTGTGCTTGTACTTCAGCAAAATGATCCTGTCCAAAAGAACAAATTCTGATTTCTTTCAATATCTGCTGACTGAGCTCTGGAGGTGAAGCTGATGGAATCCTGTATAGCTGCAATGTCAAACCTGCGGTCTCTAAAACAAACTAGGACACCAAATCTATGGTAAAAGTGACTATAAATTTTTTTGGAAATAAATACTACACTCAATCCTTGCAGACCTTGCAAACCTCTCAGATATGAAATGCTAATGGAGGTCCTTCTCCCTGAGAAAGATTTGCAGAATGGGTCTCATGCTGATGGAGACTAACTGCCTAATTACATCTTTTTCTTTTTCATTGTGACTTTTGTTTCCAGTAATCCTACAGGTTTTAGCAGCATTAAACAGGTGTTAAAATGATGGTGTCAGCCCTGTGCCCCTTCCTTTCTAGCTTGGGCATGTGATTGCTTTCACATGGTGCTGCCCAAGCATGGTATTTCTCTTTGGCTATGGGACACTGCTTAGCTCACCTATATTGAGCAGCCTTTCATATCTAGCCCAGCAGGCAGCACTCTTAAAATTATATGCTAGTTAATCTTTCCTTGGAAAGTTTTCTTTCCAAGTTTTTCCAGACTCTTGGGTTTGTAAGAGATGTTGAACCTGGCTCAGGGAGCAAATAGATGCAATGGGTGTGGATTCCTCAAGCTCCACAAGCATCGGGGTAAGGAAAAATATAGAGGAGACTGGTGACACGCACTTGTGGATGTGATTGTTATCCTTATCGTGTCTGTAATCAATAATTCCCATGCACTGTTTGGGCTACTTCTTGGCAGTAAGGTTCATTTGCAAGGAACTGTCACAAATCCAGACCACTAAAAAAGTCCAATTGAAAACATTTTTTTTGCAGATACAGAAAGAGGAAAGTAAAAAACCAAAGAGAGTGCGAGAGAGGGTGCATGAGGGAGAGATCAGAAGAGTTGAACTCATTTGATTCAACATAAGATATACAATTTGATTCCCGCTTCCACTGTCTGAACTCACTGGGCTCGAACTCAGCTTACGTGTCCTGCCTAACATTTCAAAGGCACTTACAAGATAGTTCATGTCAATCAACCTATTCCCAATAAACTCCTGATATTTGCAGTTTCAATTAAATGAGCAGAAATAGTTGAGTTGGGTGAATAGGTGCCAAGTTAGTCTTGGTAGTTCACTCAGTCAAATATACAGCTGATAACACTGATGTAGATTTGCTTGACTCTTCCTCCAACTCATTGGATTCCATTTACAAATATGCTTTAGGAGTAATATCCCAGCTCACGTCCTTGGCCTTTCTCAGAAACTGATTCAAAGTCAGCACTGCCTTGAATGGTTTTTCTTGTTTGCCACCCACACGACTTTCTTAAACACCTGGAGATTCTTCTGCACTTCACAACTGATATTAAATTCATGCTCCTCACAGAGTTATATGGGTTCTGGTGGCCTTCCTATGCTGAGCCATGGGCACCACAACTGGGTGAACAAATGAAATGGAAAAGTCTCCTGGGCTTAGGAAATCTCAACAGAAAGGTGGTTCCCTCTTGGAAATGTCATATCTGTGAGTGTGCCACATATTTGACCTCTGGGACATGCTGAAAAAAAGCAAATATTTTAAGTACTGAAAAAATCACAGGGATCCCTAGGAAGAAACTTACTTACTTGTCTGATCTCTGTGTAACCTACCTCTATACTACCAAGACAATAGTTTTCTGCAGGAAACCAGCATAAATAAAGTGTGGGAAGCTTTGTTAACTAAGGATGACTTTTGAAAGAAGCAAATGTACCATAATCTGTTTGTGGTTAAGGACTGAAATTTTATACATACTATTTAATCTTCTCACACAGGTTAGCCAGAAGAGGAAATGTACAAATACTTGAGAACCCCATGAAGCTTTTCTGGAGAGGAAGAAAAATAAAAAAAAAAAGATGGGTGCATTAGTTCACAGAGGTAGTGTACCTTGGGATATTCAGTGTCAGTAGATTACAGAGTTAAACCATGTATTTGCCTAGAGACATCTAAAAACTCCAGTGACACCATTAAGGATTCTACATGCCAGAATATTTAGACAAATCAATTACTCTGGCTTTCAAAGACCTGTAAACTAGAAAGGAATAAAAAGTTCCTGTGAAACTGTCTCCTCTCATGTACCAAACTTACTTTCTCATTCTTTGATAAAAATTACTGTTCTCATGTTTGATAAACATGATGGCATGTGACACAGTGTGAAAACATTGTGAGCCATAAAGTTGATTTCTACATGCTCAGGGAGGAGTGGATAGGCCAACAACCCCAAAGAGAGGAGAAATAGGACAATCCAGAACGTGCACAGAATATCTTTGAATTTTTAATGAGATTTTACCTGGAAATCTTGTAACTATATTTTATATTGGCAAGACCTGGAAGCTGTAAAAGAAAGCTGCTGGAAAAACTTTCAGCATTAGTAGACCACTGCCATGAGCCAATCCAGTTCATGTTCCAGGCAGCCAGGAAGCTTCAGAAGCTGAAAGAGACTTTCCTAATGAACGGAAATATTGTGCTGCATCGGCAATGAATCCCACAAACACGCTACTCATGGCGCTTCACTGTAAGTTCAGGTGGTCTTTAAACACTGAGGGTGCTCAAGTGGTCTATAAATACAGAGGGCTACTCGGTGTACAGCCTAATTAACTGTATTCACTAAGGATACATTTATCGTGTAAATATGGAGCAGATGAGCAGATGGGCACGATCATAACTTTATGCAAAGAAGGGTAATTATTTATATAGACATAGCACTTAAGAGCTCTGTCCTTGGACCAACTGCCTTGTGTTACATACTTTATATACGCAGAAAAAAGAGTAAGGTATTCCTTGCCCTAAAGACATTGCAAACCAAATACAATGTAAAACTGAAGATAAAGGATGGATATAACTCAGGAGAGGACAACGAAAGGTTATTACTCACCATGAGGGGCAGTAACCCCAGTGTATAAAGCTCTGAGTGACAGAGGAGAACACTGAGGCAGCATTGCAGGGCAGGGAACCAGTGGGCCATGGTGTGTAGGGCATTGCCTTGCAGCTCCAGGGAAGGTGTTTGCTTGCACAGGTAACAAGGGGTGATGGAGATATGGGTATCACGCTGCCCAGAGCAGGAGGTCAGCCACAGCAATATGTCACAATCAGGATCTCAATGTGGAGAGGAGGGCTGGGGTAGTGAAGAGGGGATAGAGCCCCTGGTACAAAGATTGCAGCCAACATTTGCGGTGGTGGCTGAAATGACCAAGCAGCAAGATGAAGATGGAAAAGAGTGGTACCTTTTTCAGTTACCACTGAAAAGGAGCAGAAGGAGAGATCTGCAGTGGAGGTGGAGCTGTAATAGTGCACTTTCTGAAGGATGCAAAAGTGAAATCAAAGGAGAAAAAAAGGAGGAAAGTCAGGGAGATGAGACAAGAAACCCAAAAGAAACACACAAATTAATTCCCTTCAGCTCTGTCCAACACACTCAAATGACAAAGCTTGAGTCCCACTGGCTTGGGGGTGAGGAGGTGTTGGTGGAGTGAAAGGAGAAACCTGAACACAATCACAGAAGAAGGAGAGAGAGAGCCAAAACCAGTCAGGGAGTGGGGCCCTTTCATGAGCTGAAAGACCAACCGTGTCCTGCTGCTGTGACTTCACTTGCCATGTGGTCTTCCCTATCCCGCTGCACCTCTGTATTCAAGCTACTGGCTGCCTTGGGGCTATGTCCTTCAGCATGGCAGGGACACAGACCTCCCTTTTGCTTTCTGTCTATGTGTACATGTGTATGGTCAGGCAGGCAGAGAATGTGAGAGATGCACAAGCAGGATGCCAGCTTTTCTCAAAGAGATTTGAAAACCCATGTACACCTTCCTGGAAAGAGGAAAGAAACCACTTTTCCCACCTCCTTCATGCAGGACTAATCCTGCCTACAGAAGCACTAGAGGCTCTTAAAGCTTTCCATCAGGCTAAGATTTGCAGTCTTCATCTGAGTTGTCATGTTTTCACTTCAGCCTAAGTCACAGGATGCAAAACCTTTGAAGTTAAAGCACCTGGAGACAAAACTGCATCAGAAAGAAAAACTACAGGACTTGCAAGAAATAAATACAGAAATAAAATCTCCTTTCAGTCTGCTCACAGGCTGCACTTTAAGTCTACCCTTTGCTGTATGTAGAATAAAATTTTTCCTGCTTTTTTCTCAGCTAATCATTTCAAAATTGTTGCCAACTGGGTCTCTGTTAGTTTCAAAGAAAGACTATCCTGCAGTTCCAGAGACTGCCTAACTTTGGTGGGAATGGTTGTCTGTTGGTGACGTGGAATTGATGTGGGCAATGCTGAGGAGCTGCTGCAGCAGTATTTTGGAGCACAACAACCTCTGGCTCCCCAGCCTGTGCATCTTCACAGCAGGTGGGACAGTGAGGTCTGGAGGCAACGCTTTAGCTCTGCTTGGGGTGGTACAGGAGAGTGGTGTCTTGGGCTACTCTCAAAGGCATAAAGGAATACAGGTTTAAAAAAAAAAAAAAGAGAGAGAATCTTTGAGTGATATAGGTACTATAGGGTCCTTCCCAGCAGAGACAAGCTATGATTGCAGTATGAGTTTTCGAGAGAGGATGGACTACTTGCCCCTGTGTAACATGAGTGGGACACAGGAAAATTAGCTTATGCTCTTCTCTCACTGAATATTCCCTTTGGGCTCCCTCCATGGCTTCCCACTTCTCCCAGTGCCAGGCTGTGACTTGCAGGGACCTCACAGTCATGGCAGGGTTGTATGCATGGTGCCTGCTCTCACTAAATGCTACAGCCACAACCCTATTCACCATTTGTTCACCACTATTGCTCAAGGATGCCCCTTAGTATCTTCTCCACCCATAAGAAAAGTTAGCACTAGAGATGCTCACAGTGATTGATAACACTAATATTTTATTCATTGCCTGTTAATGTTCCCTAATGGCATTTCTGTAATTATTTTAATTGGTTTTACTAAAAAGAATAACAATGAGCCTCTAATGCTTGTTGGTGTTTGGTTTAAGCCAATCACTTGCAGATGGCTGACTCCTTTTAATGAATGGAGACATTTATTAGAATTTCTTGGGTTTGTAGCCACTTTCATTGCATCTCTACATTAGTCAAATATCTTTTCTTTTTCCCAAACTCACAATGATCTGCAGAAATTCCATAATTCCGTAATTCCGTAAATATGAAATCCTGGGATGCAGACAGAGCTCCCATTCTCATTACCAACCTCCATAATCACATGCCTTTTTTTATGGAGTCCCACACAGCTGCCAAGCCAAAATGGGGACAACTAACTTGCAAGAACTTTTTCAGAAGGCTTTTGCTCAACACACAATGGGGCAAAAGCAACCAAAACAGCAGATATGGGAAGAATGAACAGATATAATTTGATGTTTTGGTCCAGCATGAGCCAGAGCATAAAAGAGGCCAGGTGAATGTTTTTCTCTCTCTGCTGATGTGGATGCAGTGACGTCCTATGACAGATGGGGTTTTCTGGATCCTCTTCCTAAGCAGTGAGGGTTCCTCAGCTCTCTCTGCCATGTGTATCTGCACGTGCAGGTAAACAGACCATGATATGGCAGCATTCAGTCTGGGCAGGTGATTTTCTCACTATTTCATCACATGCTGCTACTCTGGGATACATGACTTATGCAAGCAGGATCCATACTGTGCTCTCTCCTAGAGATTCTCCTTTGTGTTTCTCACTGTATCGTTTTTCTGGATCTCAAAATAACTTTAATCTGTGTGAATGGGAAATTGAGGGATACAGTAATGCCTCTAGAAATGTTGTTATTTTTAATTTTCCAGGTTTAAAATAAGTTTACCCAGACTCATTACAGGGAGCACACTAGAAATAACCTCAGGAGAGGCTCAAGCAAGCACACGATACTTTTTTTAATTTGAGCTGATCTTGTGTTGTGCAGCTATGGAGGTTTAGAAATACATTGACTGGATAAACCCAACTATGAGTTTGCTGCTTCTAGGCACAGTCTACTTGTCCTTCCTGCTGGCAAATGGGCAGCTAGGAGCAGGAAAGGGCCAAGGGTGCTGTGATGGAGACTGAGAGAGGTATTGGGGCATGGAGCAGCTTTGAGGATACAGAGAGTAGAGGCAATATAGGAGAGCCTGTTGCACCCAAAGACTAATGCCAACCACGCCACCCTACCCAGGAGAGCCTGAAAGGATGTGGCATGCACTGCCTACAAAGGCCAGACGTGGCCATGAGAGGGATGCAGCCCAAGATGCCAAGGGTAGAAACCTCTGTGAGGGAGGGAAGGAGTCCTCTGTCCTGGGGGACAGCACTCCTGAGCCTGAAGCTGCTCTCTGGCTAACAGAGAGGACCTGCTTGACTCAGAGTGTCTCGCTGCAGGTGTTAAGAGGAGACTTGGTCCAAGGAGAGGGGATTAGGAGTTTAACGCAATTGGAGCAGAAATCTCAGGCCATCAGTAGCACAGCACGGAATAGGAAGGAAAATGAATAAGATCCTGCTGGTTGCTGTTCCGTGGGAGGTGAGACCTGTCTCTCCAGTGCTTTGTTTATTTCCCTGGCTTGGCAATTTGGCAATTGCCCAAAGGCTAATTAGGCACCTCAGTTTTCACTTTTGTGAGCAGCATCGCAGTAAGGAATCAGGAAGAAGCAATACCAATAATTTCTTCACAAACAGCTAAAACATTTGCTCTGCATTAAGTGCCTGAAGACAATTGGAAGTAAACTCTATGGCTGAGCTGACTCACCTAAGTGAACCCAGCAGAATAAAAGCTGTCCCTCCCTTCTCTGCTACCCTTTAGAGATCTTCTACAGATCTGAAAACTGTTAGAGGCAGAAAGATTTCAAATCCTAGTTTTCAAGTTTAACAGGCAAGGGCAGTCTCTCACAAATAAAGGAAAAATATGTAGAATTCACATTCAGACCATTGCTTGAGTTTCAGACAGCTCTAAAATGCACTCTCTGTGCTGTAAGACAGTGGCTCAGTTCATGAGGCACCCATTTACATACAGCTACAAGGGCAAGGCAGGGATGATAAGGGTCAAGGAAGAAGTACAAAAAAAGGAGGAGCAATAATAAACACTGAAAGAAGTTTGAAAGAAGGAAGGAAAAACACAGGGCAAGGCTGAGTGGGAAATTCCTGTGTTGGGCTAGTAAAAGCAAACATCTTGGTGAAGCTAAATTATGGAGCTCACAGATGAGACACTGACTGCTGCATGCATTTTAGACATAAATTTATGTCGTGGATGGATATGGACATAGATTGTTATCCCTTCTCTGCAAACAATCTGCGTTTTCATTAGGGTTTTTTTTTTTGCTCTCCCCATACTTTCATATTTCTTCTCTATTTCTCCCTCTCCTTCTTCCCAGTGTCAGCTGACAGAACAGATCCTGTGCCAGGTAGGAGTGAGTCAGCATTCAGTTCAGAAGGATTCACAGTCATACAAAATAAACAAGGACTCACTCATGATAAAATGCAAGTACAGTGTAAAACACCCTAATGCCATTGACTTCTTACCAGGTCCTTGGAAGTCTTCATAATTCTTCTTGCCTTTTTTATTGCAGTTCTCAGTCCTACCTAGGGGAGCAAGAACAAAATGAAAAACAACCAGATCAGCCTCACAGTATCCCACCAACTTTTCTTCTTATTTCCTACCTTTTTTTTCTATTTTAATATATCAGTCACAGCACAAAAATGATGTATGAGTCCACAAACTCCTCATCAGTTACTTTTTATTGGACTAACAATCAATTATCCAGTCACGATCTATGAAACTCCAGTTGCAGGAGTTCATTTATTTTGCTCCAGGGCATCATTTATTTCCTAAGGAAAAGTCCAGATCAGCCGAAATTCATATCCTGACTGCACTGTGTGAGCACAGAGGACAGACTTCTCTGGTCACTCCTCCTGAAGAACAAGTCATCCATTAGGTGGCTAAAAGAGGGTTATGCATGTAATGTCAGTCTGACTCACTGTGGAAGGGCACAGATTAAACATTTGCTCTTGCATGGATGAGTGTTACACTCAGCTGAGGTTCATCCCAGCAGGGGAACAGCTGGCATGCAGGAAGGTACAAAGCAGGGAATAGAATTTGGAAGGAAAATCTCCTGCCTAGGATCTAGGAAGGTTAGGATTTTATTCTGGAAATACCTGACGTGGAGGGTAAGTTCTTGCTGACAGTGGCAAGATAATTTTTCAGTTGTGTCCATGTCAACTTTTGCTGAAGAAGTATTTTGGGGCACCTCCAAACTGAGGATACTTACATCTACATAGAAAGGAAGAGTGAAAGAACCATTGCAAGAAAATACCTTGGAAAGGCATCATCAGTTTGGCCATCACGAGGCCAAGGGTTATCAAGAAGTCAACTGCAAGTGATGCCCAAATAATACCTCAAATCCCTTTACACACATGCTCCTCAAAGGAGGAAATGAAGTTTTGTGCAAGGGGCACCATCTATGAGTGTGGGTGACAGCCAGGGTCCAGCACTGCTGGAAGCAAGAGAACGGATGTGCCGTGTGTGATGCTGCAAGGCTGTGGTCAAATGAGCACTGATGGCTACTTGTCATGGCCAGGAACTGCCAAACACTGCCGTGGTCCTGCTCTCAAAGCATTCCTTGAGGCTTTGCCATTGCAAAAGCCTCAATCAACACATTTTTGCAGCCCCCCCGGTCCACTGCCCTGGGTTCTGCCTGGCTAAATGCTGAGCCATGGGGAGGAAGCAGGGGCTGTTTCTGCACCACGCTGCTAAGCATTGTCCCCAGCCTTAAGAAATTTGTCTTGCATCACAGCGCAGAAGGCCATACTGGTTCTTCTGCCACAAGGACTCTTCCCAGTCATGGAGGTGGGGAGATGCCCCAGATATGCTCATGCAGTCAAAAATATTTAACAAGAGTTCAGCAACTCTGATGAATAGTACTTTCTAAATTCAACCACATCTTCCCATAGGAAAGGAAGATCTCACAACTTTAATTTAGGGGGAAAAAAAAAAAGAGAAAAGACAGTCACAGGAGTCTGGAAGGTCAGGGTAACACCAGTGTGCTCCCCTCTGCTGTTCCATTTTCAGTTTAGGACAATATTCTTGTGATGACAATTCCCATATGCTGTTCTGCATTTATTAGGCCACCTTTGAAAACAGCCGTATCTGTGAGGCAGTAGCTATGTGATGCCCTCTGTCCTTCCCCTCAGCATTCAGAATGAAGAAGGCTGAAAACACAGCTTCTTTGTACTCTTTCAGAAGGAATAACTACTTATGTAGGGTTTGAGAATCAGTATAAAAACCACCCTAAAATAAAAAAAGGAGATAAAAATAAATGACTTGTGACAATGTTTCAAATGGAAAAGCAAATCTGGAGTATAACAAACATGTTAGCACCTAGTTTCTGCTCAAAATTGTTAGTGAGGACAAACTGTTCTGTCTGACAATGACCTGCCATCAGTCCCTCCTACAGCCCAGCCTAAGGACATAACTCCCAGCCTAACACCAACCAGGTTTATGTTTCTCTGGATAGAGGTACAGAAACTCAACATAGGGACAAAAAGTATGCTTCACCACGTGGTAGTATTAAAGCATTTGGAAAAAAAAGAAAATATCCCTCTAGTGATGGCACCTTACTGAACAGCGGGCATGCCAGCTTGGAATATTACAGCAGAATAAATTTGAATTTAAAGTAATCGTTATCAACAATTTTTTACTGGGCATAAAATTTAGCATGTCATTATAATTGATTTAGGCAGTGATCAAAGCAAATTAATTAACCGTGATATTCAAGGGTCAAAAATTTATAGCGAACAATCCCAGGGATACGGAAGAATAAGCATAAGCAGTAAGGAACAAGGACTTCTAAGTTGCTGGGGTTTAATATACATGTCACTTTAATATATGTAGTTAATATATGATTAATTCATGCTGTCTATGGTCTTATAAAAATCAGGGTATGTCACAAATAGATGAGAGACACCATGAACGAGCCAAGACATTGTTTTCTAGTTTCTTCCCCCTGGGCAACCGCTGTCCCCAAAACCAATCAAGCATCTTACATTTGTCATAGTTATGTTGCACGATAGCAGCTGCTGTCATTTCTGCAATAAAATAACTTGAGAGGCAGATGAGGAAAATGGCTTCAAATTGAGTATAATAGATGGAAAATTTCCAGAGAGGTAGGATTTATCACTCCCTTTCTGCTGGTCAGGGTGGGAGAGACCTTGCCTGCTCACAGCAGCAGCACATGAGAAATGCATGCTTCAGACAGCTACAGAAATATTGCACTCAGAAAGCACAAAACAAGGGAGGAAAGGCTGAATTGACCTTGCATGTAGAAAATTGCCTCTCTGAAGTGCTAAGTATGAGACCTCTCACTTCACAAGTTACTTCAGCCAAGACTTCAGGTTGGGCTGTGGAAGACTGGTAGCTGATACACCCACTCGGGAGAAAACACTCCTGGTTTCATGGGTCACTTGTAATCCCTCGCTGACACCAGCGTGTCAAGCCTGCCACTGAAGGCCATACAGCCCATACACTCCTGCTGCATCTTGGTTAGCAAGGAGCCTCCTTTCTTTCCCATGGCATGAGAACACCATCAAGGAGGGGGCTCCCTAGGCTCCAGCAGCTGATGGATGGGTGAAGTTGCAACCGCAGAGCAGAGGGTGTGCCGCAGTCCTGGGGAGCAGCCAGCACCACCTGCCCAAACTAGTGCAGCCCTGCCACCCCGGCACACCCACACCAGGGACAGGGATTGAGGCGGGGAGGTGGGGGCACTGGGATTTCATTCACTGCCTTCTTTCAATGCTTTCCACAGAGACCATGCGTTCCCAGCAATGATTGGTTTTTGGCAAACAGATGTATTCCTCATCATGAACAAATGCATGAACCAACTCTAATTCTCTCTCATTTATCACCCTCGTTAGCCAGCTCTTTCCCAGGAGAGTGGATATTTACAAAACTCTCCAAGTTTCCCTTCTAACTCATTTCATCATCCTTTTTACCAAGAGTACTGAGATACAAAAATTCTGCAAAATCTGTCAGCATTAAATGGCAGTGACAAAAGTGGGATTTGTTCACAAGCAACACTTCCTTGTCCTCACACTTTTGTCTGCCGCCCTCCCACCCCAAATGCCTCTGTACCTGAGAGTCACCTGAGACTTGTTTTCAGGGGTCCTGCCAGAGGCAGCTTCTACATCAGCATGATGTAACTGCATGCAGCACCCTGCAATTTCTGTGCTACCCTATTTCCTTTGGATTTATTTGGTAGAAAGTTGGGGTTGTGTGATTTGGCTTTTTGGTTGTGTTTTTTTTTTTTTGATTGGTGTAGGGTTAATTATTTTATATCATTTTATTTTCTGCTAGTGAAGAGGAACAGAGGAAATGCTGAGAAACAAGTGAAAGAGTAGAAACTAGTGCTCAAATTGTGCCTTATGCTACCACTTCTCTATTGGTAGTTTATTCAGAGCTCAGTTCTGACTGCAGGAGAAACAACTCACATTTTAGTGGATTTTACCCATTTCTAAAAAGAAAGGGTAAAAGGAGAACATCTTGCTCCACAGGACCTAGCCTGCCTCCCAGATGCTTGTTTTACTGCCTACGGTCTCAAAAAAAGGAAACAGGTCCCAGTCACAAGATCTACCTTTGACTGGTAGCCTGCTCGTACCAGGAACGCAGAAGAACTCCCACCCTGGAGTTTGGTTCTGCCTCACGTCCCAGGAAGTAACCCACATTTTTACTGAGAGAGAGGAATGAAAGCAAACAGCAGGAGTATTTTTATTTTATTAAACCCCAAGGGGTTTCTTTTTTCCATCCAGAACTGGTTGGCTCCTACTTTCTCAAAGAGCATGCTGGCCACAGTAACGTCCATGAGGGGGCTTTTTCCTCTTACAAAGTCAGTCAAAGACCTGATAGAGGGCACACGAACCAGCATGAGTGCTTGTGGAAATGATGGTTATTTTTGTAAGATAACGTAATAATAACATAGATATGTGTATTGCTGCCGATATGACTTCTGTCAAAATCCCATTGCAGCAAATTGCAAAATAGGCAGCCACAAGGTCTCTTATAATCTGGAGCAGAAAAGTGATGGGCAGAAGAGGCACCCTGAAAGGCAGAAAGAAGAGTACAAGCTTCTTCCAACACAGACTGTTTTAGAAATTGCCAGAGCAGGACTACAGTGCTGAAGTCCAGCCATTATTCTGGCCCCAACAAAATCAATTAAAGTATTGCAATTTAACTGAACAGGCCAGCTGGCTTAAAGCAATCTAGAGACAAGCTGAGAATAATCTCCTGCAAACCTGTTTGCTCCCAGGGCCAGAAGGAAAACTTGGTAGGCACTGTCTAAAACCCTTCACTCTATTTCAGGCCTTTTTGCTCACTAGAGGAACACCGCTGTATTACATGACCTAGTGCAGAAAGTCTTCCACCATGTGAGCAGATAAATATTTTTGGCTAAAACATTATCCAGTCAACCTAAAACACCTATCTTGGATGCCTCTACCACTGTCAGAGTTTTGGAATGATGCTGCAGTCCGTATTAGAATATCTGTTGTTGATGTGGCTTAAACCACAAGGCATATTACAGATGTAACTTAAAACACAAGACACAATAAAGCAGCTTTAGATACTGTCTAGTGTTCAGCTACCTTTAGTAAGCCTACGCTTCTGATCTGCCCTATGTTTTTGTCTCTACTTGAAGGAGTCCCTAGTGTTGCCACCCTCCTACTAAAGGGTAGAGGAGAACCTCTCACTGGGCAAGAAACCATGCAGTGGGAAAGCCTATGCATGTAAATCTACCTGCACTCCCATCTCTGATCCTCTATGAGCTACTGGCAGCAAGAAGGGGCTCAGAGGACCCCAGTACAAGTCACATCTGGTCACACAGCCCTGCTGGTGATCCAGGAGCCACAAAAGCCTCTTCTGTTCTTCCCTACCAACATCAGGGGTCTGCTCCTAAAGCTGCCCACCAGCAGAGCAGCTCACCTTGCCCAAGATCCCAAGGAAACACTGAAACAGAGCTGCCTTCGCCCTGGTTGGGTGTTCTCCTCCTCCAGTTCTGCACTGAGAGCACGGAGCTCTGTGCGAAAGGAGTAATATTTTTTATTCATAATTAGAGCAAAGTCTCCTAGAATAATCACAGAGTGCTAATGGCTTCAGGCAGCTTGGAAAAAAAAAAATTAATTTGGGCTAATTTGTCAGACACCAGGGAAATATGTAGTAGGATGCACGTATCATTTACATGGTTTGCAGTATCTCCACTAAGTAGTTTGCAAGGCCTCTGAAGCAGGGGTCCTTCCTTCCTCAAGACACAGAATCTCACTAAAACAACACCACAGAAACAGAAAAAAATAAACTACTGACTGAAAAATCAGCTACACATTGATGTTTTCCACCTTAAAGGCAATTAAAGCCTGAAAATTATACTGCCTTACAAGGACAGGTAACTATTTATTTTATTCCCTTTGCCAGTACAAATATGATACTAATTCTGGGAAAATGGGCATCCAAAAGTCTAAATGAATAAGCAAAGTACCTGAAAATCAATAGAGTTGAACAGAACAGTCATTAGTATTAAAGTCTTGTTCAAACACTCGGCAGGGGACTGCGCCAACATTTGGAGGCTCATAAAACTGAAGTGATCAATCAAATTACAAATGAAAGAAGCAAATGTGAGGTAAACTGCATTTTATGCATCTGTGTCTCTGATTGTATATTAATTTTTTTCACCCATAATTCATCTTTACTCAGTCTGACTTGTCACAGCTACTGTGGGCAATTTATCAACCACTTGAGCATGAACTTGAAGCACTGCTCTTCTCCTCCCATCTCCTCATGCTGTCTCAGGGCACCAGGAGAGCCAAAAAAGAAAAGAGCACAGTCAGTGTAAAAAAATCAGCTTTGTTGGCACAGTTCCCTTATTCCCTGATGAGAAACAAATACACCTTGACAGAAAGGGATCTAACTACCACTTGGAAGGGGAGAGGGTTTGCTTGAGCCACTCACTTGGAGGGATATTCTCCAGGCCACTCAAACAAGAGTCCAAATTTTGTTTTAAAAAACCAACCAGAAGCCCAACATGTTCAGTTGTTTTCCTTGCAGAGGGTGCACTCACTGAAGCTGTTGCTGGAGGTGGAAAGAGTCAACACCTCGGTGCTACACCTGCTCTGGGAGATGGTTTAAGAGCTAACCAAAGATCCTTTTCCTTCTGGCAATTGACAAAGAATTGCAAGACAGGTCTTCTAACTTCTGTACAGAAGTCACCTTGATTTAAACAGCCCCTCCCTCCAGACTTGTTAGCCTGGTTCACTATGTGGTCATGGAGACTCTATCCCTCTCTTTAAGTGCAGTTCATTGCCTGCATCTTCTTTCACTTAAAGAGGCACCTTGCATTTCTGACACTCAGTTTGAGATGTGGGATTTCTCATGGAACCTGTTTGATGAAGTTTGGGCAACATCCTGGTTGAGTCGAGTGAGTGTGGACCCCCTTTGCTGTTTCCAGTCTTCTTTCACCCCTGCCTGGTTGAACAACCATATATCTCTATGTGGGCACATCATGGAGCAGAGTAGTCATATGGGATGCACACCTGCCATAAAACAAATGTTACTGCCATTCTTGGAAGGTAAGTGTTTCTCCAGATCTCAATAATGCCAGAACTAAACCCATTGTGAAGAGGAACCACAGCTCATCCAAGCCCATAAAAAGACACTGACTGATTTCAATGACTATTGGATTAGACCCTGTGTGAAACATCAAACAAACAAACCAACCTTTAGGAATCAAACATGTCTTTCTCCATCCAGATGCAGGGAAAAAGATTTACAAAATAGATGCCTAAGCAAGCCACTCACATAGGCATCTATTTTTGCAAATCTTTTTCAACACTGCCAAACAACCACCATCACTCACAGGTCTTAGTGAGACTGGACATGCATGATAACTGGGAAGAGAAGAACCCCACAAATAAAAGAATCCCCAAACAAACAGTATATGTTTAGACACCTATGCAGATATGTATGCGTACGAGCATAGCAAAGGTCTAGGACATGCAATCACGGACATGCAAGTGTCATAGCAAGTAACTGTACATCAAAGAAGCGGTGGTAATTAAATGTTTCCAGCCTGAGGCAAAAGATTATGCACATTAGCTTAAAACCTCTTGCACTGCAGACTACTCCAAGTCTAATAGCCCTGCATTTGCAGCAGGTAACTTGTGCCTACACAGAGGCTGTCACTGCAGATCAGGCAATGTGGGCATCACTTGTCATGCCGTGGTAATGCAGTGGTATATATGATCTTCACCTGAGTATCTGGTTTGGGGTTATTTTACTGCTTAACAGTGAAGTCCAGAGAAAGAGAGATTTTATTTTCTCTACTCTTCTTTTCTGATCCAGACTGGTACAAGAAAATTTGGCCTTGTGACCCTCACACTACAACTATCCTGTTGAGGATGGTCCACACAGCTAATGCGTGCTATGTACTTTTCATTCTAAAAGTGTCCATGCTCAAAATGTTGAAGTTTATTTCCTAGACAATGCACGTACAGCGGAAGACACTGAACTGTTCAGTTCCAGCTTAAAAGACGTTCCACAATCAGTAGTTTTAAAAAAAGTGGAAAACCAACTCACCTTTGGAGGAGGGTAGAGATGACAAAGCGGTTGTCCTGGATCCTGTTTACACAGCTTCAAGGAATGGCAAACCACATCAGCATTCATTTCCCTGGCTATGCTGAAGGAAATGGTGCATAAACAAAGACCATTATGTTCTTCTGGGTGCTTGAAAGTAGAAGCTATTGCCATGGGAAGCCAGATCTCCCCAACACCCCACACAATAATCTTAGTTCCCTTCACTGTGGCCCATAATCACTGCTCAGTACAGTGTTGGGCTCTAATGATTTTCTGCCATGACATCCTACTCAGCATTTAAAATTGGATCCCAGGATGATGAAAAAACACCATGCTTTATATGCAGCACCTGAATCACATATATTATGACTGTTCTAGTTTTTTAATCAATCATAAGTCTGACAAAGACTTAAAGGTTAAAGTTAATGCATACGGAATTTGGTACATATGAATGTTCAATCATTAACTCCACAAAATAACCAGAAATCCTTCAAAGATCCTTAACCTTTAATCACCAAACATGAGTGCTAGGATTTTTTCTTTCTTTACAGGACACATCTCTGCATTAATCAGGAATTAAATGAAAATGTTTGATTATAGCACTTCTTAGTCCTGTAAACACTTTGCTGTCCCTTGACTAGTCTTAAAAACAAAAATAAAAGCTGTAGGGAGGAGGAAGGTTTAGCAAAAGCTCGGTTAATTAAACTAAGAACTTTCAAAGAGGAATAAAGTGACCTACATTTTATTTTTCTAATCACTTACATTAAATAGTAGGCTTTCCCCAAGAGTGTGAATCAAGGTCATGGCTGAGAGCATGTAAGGGCTGATAATTAGAAAGTCTGATTAAAGGTAGAATGGAAAGCAAGAGCCAAACAACATCAGTGTGATTCTATAGAACCTGTCTCATACACACAGGTTATTCAAATTCCTCCCTCAGTCAAATGAGCAGAATTTCAAAGGGTAATTACATCAGGTGGGCCTGATCTGAGATTTAAGTGGAATATCAAAATGGTTACTGGTGGCAGCCTGTGTTTATTCACTCAGGAATAGTTGTGCCAAATGCCAAACCAGAATCACTCTGAAACATCTCTGCTTTAATAATAACAATGGGATTTTAGGAGTGAAATCCTGCACTTCAATCTGACAGTACATCTGTACATGTCAAGAACAAACTAAGCAAAAATCTGAGAGGACACAGCGATACTTACAGTTCAGCTATGTGTGATCCATAAAGTTCAGCAAGTAAGTAACAGAAACCTTGCACTTTTTCTAGAAAACATAAGTTTTTTAAAGTAGTTGAGCATGATGAAACTGGTTTTATAGTAGTCAAAATACAGTAGTTGGTTCATTAAGGTGAAAGCTGATCTACTTTAGGAAAGGCATGTGACTCTGTGACCTCAGTGTAGCACCAAAAGATGGGAAAACCTGAATTTCTAACCTCACCTAAAACCCTTCTCTCACTTTAGGCAACACATGTGATAAAAACTAGAACAGATAATTACCGTTTGTTGAATGTTCTGAGTACGGCACCATGGAAAAGTCAGAAGAAATAATGCATGCCACAGAATCTCCTTAGAAGTTTAAACAAACAGCTCAGTAGGTTTGCAAGAAGAAGGAAAACAAATACGTAAATCAAAGAGCAGAAAGCGATGTTGGGCTAGAACTTCCTGGGAGCTTCTGGATTTGAGAGAATACGTTTTGTGTAGAGCAGGAGTTGTGCAGAAGTAACTTCATCCAAAAAATGATTTGACACTTTTTGTTTGGCTTCCTTTCACAGTCTGCTGTCATGTGCCTTTTTGAGATGCTGGCTCAGGTGGTTTTCTTTAATCTGGGTGAAGTATGCCCTCCATAAGACACTTCATCAGTGATTTCTTTGAGGCACTGTTATAAAAAAAGGTGGCCCCTGCCCCTGAGCAAAGACACTGTGGGAGAGATTGGGGTTTGAATCAAAAAGGGCATGATGGTAGCACTGGTCTGACAGCTCCCATGAAGGAAAACTCCCTGTTTCTTGGCCTGAACAGGCTACAGCTGATTAACTATGCAAAGGAGATGTCAGTCTTGTTTCAGCAGGGTTGGTGTTGTGAAATGTCAAAAGATGCGGGTACACATAAATGCTGTGACAACAAACTTGCAGCTCCTCAAATTCCTGAGAGTTGTCATTTTCTCTTGGACCTCCATTACTCAGAGAGACTTGGGGAAGAAAGCATAGAGTGTCCTCATCTTTCCCAAAGAAAAGCCATAGAAACCCCCAAAAGAGTCACTTCCCTCCAGCTTTGGGCTAAATATTCAATTTTAACCAGCTGGACATGGCCAGGGCTGGGGGCCTGCTGCATACAAGGTTTGCTCCGAGAAGGGTACAAAGCCTTGTGGCAATGACTCCACTGGTGGGCATGGATGTGTTCTCTCTGCCACAGCTGCTCTCCTGCCAGGACTGCAGGCACCCTGACTGGCAACCTGCGACTGTGAAAGGAGGACTAGGGCCAGGAAGGCATACCAGGGAACGAAGAGATAGTTTTACCAACACTCTCCTGCTCATATGGTGTTGCAGGCAGCTTCTGTAACTATGATAGCTGATTTTTCTTATCCCATGACAGGTGTTTTATTTCAATCAAGTTATTAGCTTCATTTCTTTGCCTCCTTTGCCACATAACTCCTCTCTGTTGGCTCTTTAGAAGCAATCTGCAAGTAAGAATTGGTCTCCCGACTAGAATTAGATTTTATTCTTGTTCACCTAAAAGGACATTGCAGACATCAATAACCCTGTGTTTGGTATCATAGCTGACTAGAACACCCTCTGATGAGGCTTGCCAGGCACCTTCCCCAACACCTCCCTGGTGTATCACGGGCGATGGTCTCAGGATTTTCCCAGACCAGCTGGTTTCCATGATGTTTCTGGCCCTGGAAGAGCCAGTTGGCTGCTGTTACCTGTACTGGTGGCTCTGAGGAGAGGAGAATTTGGCTGCCTGCCAGCTCTGGGGAGCTGATGTAGGGGTTTTGCTGGTCGCACTGATTTCTAGGTGCTGGTTTCCTTACGCGTATAGGAAGCTTGACATGTAATTACCCCATGGCATAACAAATGACAGGAGGTAAAAAGAATAGTAATAATGTTAAATTATGGTTGAGCACAAAGAGTCCTCTTGGAAGATTCAGATGCCATTCAGGCTTTAACTTCCAACAAAACAGACCAAAGCCACAGGCAGTGTTTACAGGACTCGCCCTAGGAACCAGCCTGCATTCATGTGTTAACAAAGGTCCAGCTCTGATAAAACACACAGGGAGAGGATATTGCAGAGAGAAACCTGTGAGAAAGAACATGTGCAAGTCAGAAGGGAGCGGAAAAGAGAGAGAGAAAAATGATGAATAACTGTGAATGTTCAGGGGCAAGAAAATTATGCCTTGGAGCTTTTTGGATTTTTTAACTTTTGTAGATTTTAGAAGTAGTTGTGTAGTAAATGAAGATTTTAATGTAGCTGTATTATATCCCTTACCCTGTAGCATAATAGTTACACATACCCAACCCTGTTACCCCATTTCATATCAATCCCTCTAAATTCCATTAATGTGTTTAGTCTTCTTTTCAAGGTAGAATTGTAGAAAAACACCTTAAGGCCTGGACCAGTGAAGATATCACACAGACACAGCGACCTTCAAGCCCATAACTTTAGAGGAACTCCAAGGACTGTACGTGCTGTGAAGAAGATGAAGATGAGGAGGAAGCGGTTCCAAACACCCCAAAACCTAATTCCCAAAGGGGTGTGTTGTGGGGCAGAACAGGGAGTGGACAGATCTGGGATTGAATGGACCTTATAAAATCATAGAACCACTGTCTGGGTGTGGGCATGTCATGTGTATTCCCCTGGCCTGAGGCATAATTAAAGGACCCAGTCTTTTTAGCTTATCTTATACACTAAGTTGTCCTGGAGTCTTTTTCTACACGGTCTCCTAAGGCAACAAAAAGAGCCTAAACCAAATTAAGTGCTGGAAAATTCAGAGAAAATATAGAGTATACTTGCTTTTGCCCTGTGTCAGGTGAAAGAGATCCCCTAAACTGCCTTGTTCTTACCTAAGTACAATCTGGAAGGTTTTCCTCTATATCTTGATAGTCCTAGAAACATGGATTCTGGCTGAATCCCAGAGGATAAATATTTGAAGAAAGATGCTATTATCATGTTGCCATTTGCACTTGAGTTCTAAGGTGTTTACAGAGCAGTGGCCAACACAGAAGCAGAGCGTGACTCAGAGGCAATGGTGGAGGCAAAGGGTCTCAAAGCACATTTCAGACACCTCAGTTTCATCAAGCAGACAGTCAGTATCCAGGTAAACACATATTCTTGCTAACATCTCCTAACACTGTAAATACTGCCCATTCCCTCAGACCTATCCTTTCTGTCTGCTCAAGAACACTAATGACACTACTGGTCTTATTTTCATAGTTTTATTGGCCACATTGCTTGAATCACACATATTGCAAATATTTCCGTGCAAATGAGGATATGGTTCCATTTTCTACATAGCCTAGGGGATTAAGTGCGATTGACAGGTACTGAATTTTTTTCTATCTTTTTCTCTGTTTTTTGTTTTGGAACATCATATAACTTTACTGAAGGCTTGGAATCATAATTATAGGAGGTCCTTAAAAAAACTTACATGAATTCTTATTCCCTTTTTGGCCCTAGGAAAACCACCCCTACCAGTAATTTGTTGTTGTTATTCTTGTGATTGATTATATGCATGTGCATAATAACAAAATTGTTTCTACAAGTGAAATGCATGACCTGCTTTATTAGGTTTGCTCCTCATGAGCATCCAAAGCTTTTCTACTGTTTCAAGCAGCAAGAAGAAGCTGTTGATTCTGCTGGCCTGCAGTGTTCACCCCCCAGGAGAGGATAAAGTGGGTTACACTGTAGGTCTCACACAATCTATAGGATTTTTCACTGCTTTCAAGTTCAGGGTCAGTTATTTTCTATTGGGTGTATCCATGCATCTCATAGAAGGTAACTGGATTATACAGATTCAACTAAAGGGATAATAGGATTTTATGTGTGTAAAGAATGGCAGCTGAAAAGAAATATCTTGACATGTCAGCAGAACAAGGTCCACTGAGGGAATCGTGAACACAGAGCTAGCATGTCATAATTTAAAGAAGAAAATTGTATTTTAATAGCAGGATCAGTGCTTCTAATTGTAACTTCATGGTTGTGTGCCTGTAATTTAAAACACGGAGGATATGACTTATGGAATAGAAATCAGATAAGCGTCATTCTATCAATGAATGAATCCTAGCAATTAGCTCCCTGCCCCATTCTTCATCAGGAAATCCTCGCTTGGAAAGGAGGAAATTAATATTCTACACATATCTCCTGTAAAACTAGGGTTTACAGAGCAAGATGGTTTCTCACAGATATAATCTGTGAAGTCCTACAAAAATTACTTTTTAATGAAGAATCCTAAGCCATCTTTTTTGCACTCCTAATGTTAAAAAGATATCATGAATGTGAGATCTAGTTACTTAAATAGTTATAGGATTGATCTGTGAGGCACAAAGCTATTCTGGCATTCAAACTGCTTTCTATTTAGGGGTGTGCACGTGGACAGCTAAGCTCCTTTGGGCAGACAAAATAAGGGGCAGAGAAAGGGGACTCTTACATATAATCATATGGAATAGCTATTGCTTTTGAAATTTGTATCACCAGTTACATTTCAACAGCTTTTCTGCCCATACCAAATGCTCACATCTTACACCTGTCAACCTCATCTCATTTTTAAAACTTTACAATGGCAGCTTCCTATATCCACTGGAAACATTTTCAGCTTCACAGTTGCTATGAAGACCCTTATCAACAAGAGGAGTAGTTGGGCATACAGTGAATCTATTCTTAAGCAGCTAACAAAGAGACAAAGGGGAGAAGAAGAAAGGAAAGAGGTCTGCATGTGTTGGCGCTCAGATACGTGTGGGCTTAACACAGCCCCATACACTCTAATTTTAGGGCAGAATCCCAGACCTGGAACCAAGCAAGGCCATGCCACTGACTTCCTGTAAATAGCAGCTTTGTATCTCCTAGCTACGCACATTTGAGATGCTGCACGAGAAGTGGATAAAGCCTTTTCAGACTTCGCATGAGAATTTTTAATTAACAGAGAAATAGAGCAGCACCAGCATAACATATGGCACATTACTTGGTACTTACCAGGTATGTAGTTGCACAGTCTCTCCACGGCTGCCTTTACTGTACTGTTGTGCCATTGTGCAAGTTGTTCAATTACAGACACCACAAGCACGCATCCTTCAAACAAACAAACAAACAAACAAACAAAAAGAGTGAATACGGTTATCTGTGAAGTGTGATGAAGTGCCCTGTGCCACAGAAGAATTTTAGGCATCGTTTGGCATTTCATCTCTTGAGATGCTCCACAGCAGGTAAGTGTTCAAGAGGAAAAAATGCCTGTGAATTTCTGTCTTAATTCAAACCCTGTAAGTTATCACAGAGAGGATGTGGATGCCAGGGGAACACACAGAACAGCCTGGCTTTTACTAAATGATGCTCCTGGAAAAATGTCTCCATTCTTTCAAGGCTGAAAATCAAGGAGTCTAGGGGATAGCCACTGTTACAAGTGCCTGCTTGGCCACTTGCTTTCTCATTATTTCTCACAAGAAAAACGTCACAGGTTTATACTTGATAGGAGTTTTATACCTCTCCACACAAGCCACACGGAGAGCTACCAAAACCAGAAAACAAATGGTTGTGACAGCCTACAAAAGAGACAGGTGTATGGGCTGACCATGACCAAAGCATCCATGGCATCATTTCTTAACAGACTTTACTCCGAAGCTCAGCAGTGCACAGCACACACAGGGTTGCTGGTCCCATGTGTTAAAGCCAAAATGTCTTCAGAGTTCATTCTGCTCTGCTTCTGCGGTTGGAAAGAAACCACTTCCTTTGACCTATGAAGCTGGTTATTTCTCATCACTAATCTGGGTATGAACAGCCTAGCTGCTTCTTGGACTTACCATGGCTGAGACTCACAAAACTGTACACTAGTGAAGCACTTCTTGAGGTGTGCAGCACTTTTCCTGCTGTTTTGGGGATTAAGCAGGTTCAGTGTAATCCCCACTGAACAGTCATTCAAAACCCACATGATGAGCATTCATTGCAAGTCAATTTTAAATTGCTGTAGGTCAGTATTGTGATTTCTCTGCAGTGGCTTGTTTTATGAGGAAGACAGCTTTGGTGATGCAAAGTCTGTAGTCAGACCTGGCAGGCAGACAGAGCGAGGTCCCTACATAGACTCAGAGCCTATGTAAGATAGGAGGGTATCCCAGGCAGACAGTAGACAAGGAGCCAGGATGCCAGCTTCCAGTGGCCTGGATAAAGATTTCTCTTTGAGATCCCTGTAGCTGAACCTGTTTCCCTCTCCTCTGCAAGAAATCTGAGCTCTCGGACTTGCTCCGACACAGTCTAGAAATGGAGGTGAGCTGCAGCAATTTGCTGTGGCTGCAGACTCACCTTTTCCAGAGCTCAAGAGCATTAATGTTCAGGTTTTCAGACTGGCACAACTCTTCAAAGGGAGCTTTTAAATTCCACCCAAGCACCTATGCTCTATTAAATCAAAGTGCTGTTTTTCCACATAAATAACTTTGATGCTTCTGTGGATCAAGTAGCAGGTAAAAGAGGAGGTAGTACAATTGAAACTCATTGTAAGACCTGTACTTTTGAGTCTTCTATTACTTCTTCTACCCCAAATACAGTAATCCAGTGGAAATTACAGTGAACTTGTCACCTCTTTTGCACGGATAAAAGCCCACTTCTCCATACTTATTAAATAAAATGCTCACTCAAGATCTTCTGCAGAATGATTTATAAAGCACGCTAAGAGCCAGTCAGACTAAAAGGATTGGAGATTAAATGGAGACAGATACTACCCAGGAAAAAACCTGAAGCAAGACATTCTTCCCTCTCCCCTTCACCCTTCCAAATAACCAGAAACTAGCTAGCCCAAGGAATTAACAGCTCATTAAAAAAACCCACAATAGCTCATTTAAAAAAAAAAAAAAAAAGAGTGGAATAATAATTTGCCAGAGTAGCATGGGCATAGCCATTACATAGCTTAGTTCCTATAAAACTGTATTATCAACACACATGTGCAACCCACAGACAACAAAAACTACCCTTCCCCTGACTTCTGTGTTTTATTTATGAGGCTCGAGGCTCAGAAAACTACCTAAATGATGACTTAACCACAAAAACACACATTCTCTCTGTGCCTTCCTTTCTACTCATAACAAGGTCAGGTGTTCATCTAACAATCTTGATGTCTAGAAGTCAAAGACAAAAAGGAGTCCAAGAAGAAAGACAAGATATTTTCCTGATATTTTCCAAAGTGCACAGCTTTTGCTGTTTCTCATTCTTTTGCACCATGAGCTTGAGGAATCTACAGAATCAGAATTGTTTAGGTTGGAGCTGACAGTCTCACCTACTGCAGCAGAGAGAAGTGTCTCTCATTTTGCCTGTGCTGTGCAATGCAGTGCTCCTGCACTTGCATTCAGGGTCTGCAGAAAAATGGTCTTATGGACAAACAGCTCAACATCCTAAACGTTGGGCTGAGGATAAAAATACCCTTGGTGTTTCCATTTTCTCTGCTATACAAGAAGACACTGAAGATGTGAGTTTCCATCTCGTGTTTGTCAAAGTACCACAGAGGGAGTGAGGAACAAAAAAGCTATTTTTGGTTCAGCTCTGCCAAACAGAAATAGAATTCTTAATCACAAACACAATCATGCGGGTAACACTACTCAAGGAGCAGTCTCTTGGCAATTAAATGAAAATTTTTCATATTGATTAAGTCAGATAGACACCTTTGTGTCTATTGAACCAGGCCCTAAGGGAGATCTGCTTCACACAAGGATTAACGGAGCCATCACTGAATTTGTGCAGTACTTAATGCAGTACCTCAGGCTACTAGAAGCTATATGAATACAAATAACAATAATAATAATAACCTGACTACTAGGGAAAAACCCACAGAGTTGAACTTCAGAATGTTTGCTCTCATAAATTCGTCTTCACTATCACAGAGAGGATGTTTCTGCTCATGCTATTATACCCTCCCCACCTCAGGTACCCACAGACCACACCTTGATTATTCAAACGCTCTCCTGGTCAAATGCATTTATTCCAGACAAAATGCTGCACCTTGTGGGACGAGCTGATAAAGAAAGTCTTGACTGATTTTCAGACGAGTCTAGCTGGGACATCCCCAGGCACATCTGCCCTGTTTTCCCTGTCTACCAGGGCTTTTACCAACTGCCCTTGGTCTACCTCTCTTTACTCCCCTTGGTCTGCTGACACCTCTTTATCACCTTGTCATGAGCTCTGCCAAAGACTTTCATTTAGAGTGATGTCACTAGGAGAAGCTTTTGGGCTGCAGATTCAAAATTACTTCGGGGAAGAGGCTGAACCCTGTTCGAAGGCAGGAGGAATGTCTAGGGGTCACTATGGTCCAACGAGCCCATCCCACCTAGATTCCCTTTTTTTTTTTTTAATATAAATATGCCCCTCCAGTAATTCAGATTTATCCTCTGGGAAAACCTATCTCTGCTGCTGGACTATAGATATAACTTCAAGAGGTCAGTGTTTATAAATTCAAGATCGTCCAGACCATCCTCGCTTCTACTACAAACCTGCTCTCTTTTTAATCCATTTTAATCCATTATATTATCTTCCTCTGAATTTAGTGTCAGGAAAACAACTGTTAACCAGTTATCCTAGCCTTTAATGGTTCTTAATTTTGCTGGCCAAAAATGGAAAATAATTAGTTAGCTGAAAAGTGCAGGGGGAAATCAGATGTCTTTGAGTGTAGAAATGTCACTGATTTAATTACTTATGATATGTGCACTAACATAAACTTCTAAGTCTTCTGGCATCAGTGGAAAAGTATGTCCTGATCTGGCCAGTCATTATCAACTATTGCTTGCTTTTAATTTATTTGATATTTAGATGTAATTTATATCTCATCATGAGCTGGGCACATATAAGCCAATGTAAATAGGTTTTGTCATTAAAAAAAGCTCTACATTTTTTTTATAGTTGCACATGATCTCCTTTAGAAACAGGTTTCAATAAATTGACTCTGCTGTCTCACTTCAATAATAGGTTTCAATACCCTGACAGGCTGAAGAATGTTTTCTCTGGAAGAACTTCATTGGCCTTGTAATATCTACCAGCCATTAGAAACTAGACTCTGGTATTAATAAAATGCCTGTCTCTTTTAGCAATAGTCTGTGCCATCTGCTATTAATTTCTGAAGAGATAAGACAAGTCCATAACCATTTTGCTCAGCAGCAGCAAGGTGAAAGCTTACACATCAGGAGGTACTTCTCTCCATGTATTTGAAAGTAGTGTGTAATAATAAAATGATATTTCCAATAAGTCTAGGAAAAAAAAAAACATACCCCAATAATAAAATCAAATCTAGAGAAATTAATTTCTTAGCTGTGAAGCCTCTAGCAGTTTGAGCAGACTATTTAACTTAATCCACTTCTGCTGCACAAGTTTGAAAGGCTCTATAATTAGAATTATACCTAGGGATGTCAAAAAGTGTCTGGATAGTGTAAGCTGCCTCTCAGAGTTTCAGATTTGTAGGTCTATTTATTGGAGTAAAACTCTGTTATATTGGATTTCTGACACCTGACACATCCTTCTTTGCCATCCTTTGCTTACGTTTCTGGGTACTGGACTTCTTTCTCACCCATCCAGCCATATCACTGTTCCTTAGCCATAAATTAAATGTACCCACAGAGCAAAAGGAGGATGTAAGTCCACAAAAGCAGCCTTGGACACAAATAGCTCTCTTCAAACCCTGCCAGCCAGCTCACTCCCAGTGAAGCAGGAGCTGGATGCAGCCTTGCTTGGTGAAGCGACAAACCTCTGCCTCAAAAATCTGTCTGCAGCAGCAAGCCTGTCTGTAAATGAACCCACCTATCACATTCCTGTCTTTATACAGAAGATGAAGGCTTTCCCAAAACACAGTCTTTGCCTCTTCCATTTATAGATGACCCCAAGCTCCAAAGCATCTCTTGAAGCCTACAAGTGAGGAGGCCCAAGAGCCTGTCCACAAAAGGCAGTATTGCTACTCCTCATGCAGATGGTGTTATACAGGTATAAAATCTCCTCTTTACAAATTAATCTAATCCAGTTCCAGTTCAACCTGGAACAAGATATTCTTGTTTGAAATAAGAGCATTCACATGAGGAGCTAATAAGAAGTAAGGTTTTCTCCTCTGAGAT